CAGTCATATAAAGCCAGATAAAGAACCACGACAACGTGTCAAGTGAAACTACATCTACATCTTCCTCCAACTTTGCAGGGAAGTGTCGTCCCACTCTCAATGTTATTTCAGTCTAAACAAGCCACACCCCACAAGCTTCAAAAAAGACTTTAAGAAATGAGACCACAACTTTCCCAGAGCATTTGTACCCACTGGGATAATCTTGGGTGCTAAGCCTAAAGATAGTGCAAGACTGTAGTCCCACAGGAAGCAAAATTTCAACCCCCGAACATGTGGAAGACGGGCATCTAGCCATCTTTTCAGACCTCTCCCCTGTCGCCCCAAAATGGTTCTGTGTAACAAACTTAAACGGCGCAGTCAGGTTAACCAAGTATTGCAGAGAGAGAAAACAGCTCTCTCCTGACCTTGACGTGATGTTACTAGGTGACACATTTTGGCACAGTACACAGCTTTACATATTATGTTCTTATGTCTTTGTTCATGGGAATGTCCTTTACAAAGGTTTCTAACCTGCGTGACCTCATAGCATGATTATAGGGTTTGTTAAACCTGGGTAGGGCAGTGTATTTTAGGCGTCATTGGGGGGAAAAATCCATAAAAACCTTTCAGAATATTCTTCTTCAAGTGGACTGACAGAAAACTAGACTTCTGCACCTTCTGTTGGCTTTGTTTTCAGGCTGTGACAGGAGACTTTAGCTGGTCACAGGTCAAACCGTGGGGAATAACCTTTGACAAAGAGTGGTGTGTGCGTGTATATGTGTGTGGTATAGCTTTGTCTTTCACAAAGCCGAGCAGGTCCAATTTCTTTTCTGGCGTTAGTCAGCGTGAGAGTCTTATAATGCGCTGACACCCTCACCTGGCACACAAGTCATGTTTACCACATACAAAGACCGGTGTAACCAAGGCAGCATAACTGAAAAATTAAGTAGTAGGTGTATTAACACTGTGATCCAATTTCATCTGTTTTTCTTACAGTATCAGACAGGCAGCAATTGCAAACCTTTTTTATGCACACAATTAAATGAATCACTTTAATGCTTCTGATTCCATGCAACCTACCTTCCTAATCTGTTTCCCATTATGACACAAAAATTGGAAAATAAAAAAAGGGGTCTTTTAGAAATGGTTAATGTTAGCAACAATGTAACAAACTTTAATAAAACCATTTCCCATTTAACTTGACCAATGACCTTTGAGGGTATCTTGTAGCACATCAGGGGCACTACTTTTTATCTGACAAGTCCCTGGGCAATACTATTTTGTGTCACTAAAGCGAGGAGCCTATCACAGTTGTGGACTGGAGACCGACATATTATCCATCCAATCTTCACAAGATGCATCAATATTTATCAGATTGATCATATGAAGAACTGTTAGCAAAAGTGGACGCTCTTCTGGTAAGCATGCTTGACTGTGTCATCACCAAGGGATTATTTGCACACCTCTATCTTAAAGGTGTGTAGGATTTAGCGTCATCTAGCGATTACATGTTTTTGTATTTTCTACTTGATCTGCCCCTTTAACACTTCCACGTGTGCTAGTCTCGAGTATCAGACGGTATGAGGCTTTTACTATTATTCTAAAGTAACCATTACTCTGCAACTTCATGACAAATGAATCCACTCTCAAAGCCCTCTTTGGAGTCAAACTACTGTGTTTCATTGTTAGTGGTCACACACACACATAATACATGGTTAATCAGCATTCTTACCAGTGTTTAATTTGGGGTACGCGTAATCCACCAACCACCACATATTTTAATGATAAATCTTGTTTTTTCCTTCTATTCCCACGGTCTTCTCCCACTGAAATAGTGAGGCTGGTAACAAGTTGATGCAACAAAGTTGGCCAAAACGTTTGTATTTATGTATTATATTGATGCCGAATCGACAAGAACACTGTTGAGATATGATTAGTTTTTTTTCTTGTGATTCTACAATTATGTGCTTTAATGTAAACACAAATAATTGTTAATATATGGTATTTCTTAAATGGAGCTTGGCATAATATTGTCCTGGGATTATGCAGGAAGCATCATGGTTTAATTCAAATAGCTAAAGAAACTGAATAAGTATTAATCACAATGATGGGAATAATAAGTATGTATTAATAATAATAATAATAATAATAATAAGTAATGGTATCAATAACACTGATAACAATAGTTATATTAATGAGTAAAACATAATTAAGAAAGCAAACTATTCTTAATGTGCATATATAGGCAGTGTAGGTTTTTGAAACTTTGAGAAAAGTGTCCCCCTTACCTGTGAACATAATATGAACGTTGTGACGTTGTAGGCTTTTATTTTGAAACACCACCCTCAGCCCGATTTTCAAGTTAAGAGTCCAGACCATTGGTCCAGACTCAGTGTGTAGTTTGCTGTCCAGATGTTGTATGGGACCTTAGTTTGATTAAATCTAAATCTGACTCGATGTTTTATTACATTATTAAATCTGTATTTCTTGTGTCATGTGTTACAAGTTGAAACAGATGCCTAATTAAGAATGTAAGTATTATTTTGTGAGGTTTAATTAGCACAGTAATCCTCTCTAGCTAGCGAGTGCTAGCACATTAACAGCTTGTTGTCCTCCCTAGCAAGCACAAGCATAGTAACACCTTGTCATCTTCTCTAGCTAGCTAGTGCTAGCATATTATTAACTTGTCATCCCGTCTAGCTCGCTACGTGTGTGTGTGTGTGTGTGTGTGTGTGTGTGTGTGTGTGTGTGTGTGTGTGTGTGTGTGTATGTTCACAGTCAGGCTTGTGGGGCAGGCTTTGGTTGCCAAGCAACCAGGGCCAGGCCATCAGTGCTTTCCTACCAAAACTGGCCTGGCCCTGGTTGCTTGGCAACAGCAGGCCAGAGCAGTTAAGCGCAGCTCCAGGCTTTCTCTCTGTCTCAAATCTCAAAATGAATCCCCTCGAACCATTGGCCAGGAACGCCCAAAATGAAAACCGAAAAGACCGTGAGCACCGTCATCTTGTTGACCATAGGACTGCCGAGTTTCAGTGGCTAAAGTTAAAAAATGTGACCTCAGGAGATTGAGGAAGAACAGGTGCTCCGAGCTCCTTTCAAAATGTCTCCTCTCCAATTTACCTGGCAGTAGATGGGGCAGTGAGGGGGTGTTGCTGGTGCATCAGTGCGTTTCCCGCCAAAACTATTTGTCTGACAGCTTCAGCAGCGTTATCACTACGACCCCATCAGATTTCCCTATGTTTCTTTTCTTTTTTTTGGGGGGGGGTATTTTATTGCCTTTATTAGATAGGACAGCTGAAGACAGACAGGAAGGGGGGGCAGAGAGAGAGGGGGTGACACGCAGCAAAGGGCCGCAGGTCGGATTCCAACCCTGGTACATGGGTCGCCATCTCTACCCACTGAGCCAACCGGGCACCCAAGGATTTCCCTATGTTTCTATCTATAAATAATTTCTGTACAGTGACATCTGTGGCCTCGAGCAGTTTTCTCTCCCTCTCCACTCTAGAGATGATGTCACGCACTCTACACTGTATTCCAAATTATTATGAAAATATGATTTCAATTAAAAAAAACATTCGATTTTTTGTTTTTCAATGAAAGTTTTCAATTGTGCTGCTTCCCATGTCTGTTTAGATCTCTGCCATCAATCTCAGACAGGTTTGTCTTTATTAGTTTGCCAGGTGAGCCTAATTAATGGGAAACTACTTAAGGATTTTGTTTCACATTATTAAGCAAGTCACAGGTTTCATGCAATATAGGGGGAAAAAAATATCTTTCTGCAGATGAAAAGCGTGAAATAGTGCAGTATCTTTCAATAGGTATGAAACCACTGGATATTTTACGAAATATTAAGAGAGATCATCGTCCTATGAAAAGATTTGTGTCTGATTCAGAGCGCAGACGGGTTCGTTCAGATAAAGGCGTGTTAAGAAAAGTTTCTGTAAGGCTAATTCATTGTATTAAGTGAGCAGCTGTAAAAAAAAAAAGCCACTGATGAGTAGCAAACAGGTATTTGAAGTTGCTGGTGCCTCTGGAGTCCCAAGATCCTCTCGGCCACCCTTAAACCATGCCCACAAGGAGACGTGATTGCAGTGGGCTCAGAAATACATGAAGACTAATTGTCTAACAGTTTTATTCACTGATGTATGCCGTGCTACACTGGATGGTCCAGATGGATGGAGTTCTGGATGGCCACTATGTCCCAACAAGGCTGCAACGTCAGCAAGGAGGTGGTGGAGGGATGTTTTGGGCTGGAATCATGGGAAGTGAGTTGGTAGGCCCCTTTAAGGTGCCTGACAAAATATGTCGAGTTCCTAACTGCCCATTTCCTGCCATTGTTTAAAGAGAACAACCATGCCTTCCGGAGTAAAATCATTTTCATGTAAGACAACGCACCATCCCATGCTGCAACAAATACCATTGAGGCCTTGGCTCCGGGCATTAAGGGAGAAAGAATCATGGTGTGGCCACCATCATCTCCTGACCTCAACCCTATTGAGAACCAGTGGAGCATCCTTAAAAGGAAGCTCTATGAGGGTGGGGGGCAGTTTACCTCAAAACAGCAGCTCTGGGAGACAACTCTGGCATCCTCAAAGGAAATACAGGCAGAACTGTACATGGACTCACAAGTTCAATGGTTGAGAGAGTTGTTAATGTGATATCATAGAAGGGCTCCTTTATTAACATGTAACTCGATCTTTAAAGATGTTTTTGATTTAAATAGCTTTGATTTGAGAAAAAGTATCCCCTCTAATGCAAAAAATAAAACAGATTTTGGTTTTCAATCCTTTAGAAACTATAAAGTGTTTTGAAACTGTTTTGCATAATAATTTGGAACACTGCATTTTGAGTTATTTTGCAAAAAATGCCATTGTCATCATTGGTAATTGTGTTTAATAAAATCCAGATTATGATATATAATTGTTGAGGAATAAAAAATCCCATTGACTGCCAATTATATCGACTATTTAGTAAGAAAAAGAACACACAGGCACACTAATAAGCAGAGATTTAAAGAGCCCAGCTATGCAGACAGACAGTTTATTTTTCAATTGAACATGATGATCAGCACTTTTTTGGTCCAGAGAGTCTAACATTTGGTTCTTAATTGTCTTTCATCATATCTCAAGAATTTCAATAAATACGCTACTCTATTACACAATCAGAGTAAAATGCAGATCAGCCTGCAGGAGTAGTATCCTTGATGTAATGGAGAAATGTCTGACTATTCCTTACATAGACATTCACATTTCTTTCACCTTAACATAACCATAATGGACAAAATTAAAAAAGAAAATCTTAAAATGACCATCGCATCATATCACATTATATTTGCAATCAGCTGTTTCTTGTTTTAAAAGGTACAATAAAAATAAATAATCATATGTTTTATGTTTCTTATTTATTAGCTATTTCTTATAAAGTTACTGAAAATGATTGGGGTATTTTTGCCACTGATTTTGTTTCCAGGGTTGAGAAATTACAGCAAAATGCCGTAGTGTGCATGAATACAGAGAATGGTTTGTTAGTTGCTTGTCTCAATCATAAAAACAGGCAGTGATCAGCATAGTTCAAGAGATAAAAATAGTCAAATAAAAGGTTGTGAACAGCCAAAAACAGCTGTATAAGGACACTTCTTTTGGCCAACTTTTCTAAACTTCAAGTAGTATAAAGAGATTCTACATGTGACTCCTGTCCAACCTGGGATTTACCTTGATAGTTTTTCATCATGAGTGATTTTGAGAGAGTTGTACAACCTGCTTTCCAAAAGCTCTCCACAGTCAAACTGAAGCAACCATAAATCACATACTTTATAAACACACTATTACAGAGCCTGATAATATCCTATACTTTCACTTTCAGAAATGAAACTGTGTTCTCTCAGTTATACTGCAATATGTTGGGAGATGTCAGTAACTCAGAGTGACTTAACTGCATTTGAGGGACCCAACCTAACATATTGTAGTAACATAAGAGAGCCACAAGATGGCGGTCAAATTCCACCACCATGTTTCCAACGCTAGGCTGCTGTCAATGCAAACTCAAAACAAAACAAAACACTTTATCATATCAAAAAGGTTCCAGGTAAGAAAAGTGATTATGTCCTCGAAACGGTGAAAGTATTTTTCAAGTATCAAAAGATTTACTTCTATAAATTGACAAATTAGAGGTAATGGCTTCACAGTTTGCATCCAATAAAGAACTGGTCCTCTCTTCATTTGAGGTAAACAAAAGCTCCAGTATTTATTGAGAATTAGGGCAGTTTAACATGTGTAACCAAACTGAGCAAGTTATTGTGTTAGAATGATGTGTTCTAATCACTTGCTGGGTTTTGTTTAAGCCGTTAAGTTTTTAGTATTTGAGAGCAGCACGTCATGAATAGACTCAACATGATATCAAAAACTGATCACAATCATGGTCCTCACAAACCCTTTAGGAACCACTGATATTGGCAGATGACAAACACCGAGCTACACTAGAAATAATACACAGACATTTGTCTACTGCATCACCTCCAATGGCCGGAAGAATCCTGGAGGAATGGAAGCAACAGTGAGCCTAAACTGCTAGTATTTCTTTGAATTTAACAGTGACAGTGTGGCTCAAAAGTGCAACCTTCATTTCACTGTTGTCCATCTGGGAACTGTTAAAAACCCAGCAGGTAGGAGTGTAAATTCTCAGATGAGGAGAGGATTGTCCAGCACAGCCACTCCTGCCGCTACACCTCCATCTGAGTGTTCGGAGCTCTTGGTCCTCAGCAGGTGACCCACACACTCATTCATCACCATATCTTTACCTTGCCTGTAAGGAAACAAAGAGAAATGACAGGTAAGATCAGTAAATGTTGAAATATTTAAAACTAGACAAGGTTATCATTAAGAAACAATTACACACTTGTAATCCTAAATTACATTTAAGTTAAATATGCTATATCTGATTTTGTTTTGGCCACTTGGGGTCAGCGGAAACAACACTGACATATCATATCCTTTTAAGTTGATATGGTGAACAAAATAGTTGCTTATTTACACATCCAGGAGTTACAGAGCAACATTATCATTCATTTGGTGTTGTGTTTGTGTCAGGTGAACCAAAACCAAAAAAAGTTAAGGGTTGGACAGCTGAACAGTGAGCTGAAAGACACTAAGAGCCTGTTTACACCTAACATGTGTTTTAGGTGATCAGATCAGACACTGGAGATGCATGTGGAGAAGCATTTTAACGTCAGGTATGAACTGGTGTTATTAAAGCGGTCCACTCGTGATTGGATCAGCCGAGACACATGTTAATGCCAGGTGTAAACAGGACCTAAAATGCTCTGCGTAGCCGAGGAGAACTGCAGAGTCTCTGTGCATATTAAAAATACTCAGTTGTTTAATTCTGAATAATACTAAAATAGAGAGTGGCTCAGGTTGCTTTATGTTGATGTTTTAAACTGTAAAAATGGTCTTCCTAGCATGCTGGCTCTGGGAATAACAGCGAGTATCTTTACTGTAAAACACCTCAATGGACATACAGTAGTGCCCACAAAGAAAAGTTTTATTTGTAAAATATCCTCTTGAATTAAACAATCAGATGACAGGAGCATCACATTAGACTTGCCTGAACTTGGCTGCTACAGCCTGTGCAAGATTTTGTCTTTCATTTCTCGATTCAAGATTCAAGAAGCTTTATTTATCCCGAGGGAAATTGCTGTGCAACAGTTGCGATACAAAAGTGGAGGGATAAGAAAATAAAAACAAGTAACTAAATGCAACAAAGTGCAAAGCACAATAAGATAAAGCAAATATATAAATAAAGCAAATATAAAACAAAGTACAACAGTAACTAAATGCAGCAATGCCACAAAAATGACAGTTAACGTAGGTATATATAATATACAACAATACGCACTGTGCAGTAAGCCGCATAAATTGAAATAAAATAAGTACAACTAAATATAGTGAGCGATTGTTTAAAGTGATAAACAGTGATAAAGTGATAAAATTGTCTAATGCTGGGCTGAGAAGCTAATGCTGTAGGGAGGGAGAGGATGAAGGAGAACGCTCTACCTACTTATTGGCAGTGAGTATAAAATCGAGATACAATCAAAAAGCTTCATAATTCTACATGATTATAATAATAGACTTTGAATAACGTTATCGAGAAGCAGTTAAGCTCAACAAACAAAAACTTCTATTTATAGTGATTACATACCTGACATAGGTACCAAACACTCCCAGTTCACTGAGACAGTTATTGAGTTGAAGAGGAGCATCTCGTCTCAGCAGGTAGTTCTGTACAGGGGCAGGATGGATTTTATCCATCAGAATATAGGCCATCCTCTCTGTGCTGCCCTTCACTCCCTGCAGGACCTGGCAGATCTCTGACCCATAGATGTTGTTACCTAGAAAAACAATGGTGTAATGAAGTGTGGAAAAACCTTAAAGAACCAGACTTGAGTCCTGATCTGGACTTGTCTGCTTTGAGACTTACTTTGGAGTAATTCGACATTAGTTAACACAACTTATTCAGTCACTTGCCCAGGTTTGGATGCCAAAGACAAAACGCTAAATACTAGTTCCAACTACATTGGCAGGACAGCTTTGGCGCGTGTGCCTTTGGGACCAAGCTTTCAATGCTGTTCGCAGTCCTTTCTGTGGCGTACTCTACCACAGAGGGACTGACATTTCAAACTCTCCTGGTTTAAGCAATGATGACCAATGTGGCAGGGGTTTTAGGGTTTTGCTGCATGGAAAAAAAAGATCTGTTTCTCTCATTGTACCTCCTCCCTCTCGCTGAGGCTTCAGGACATAACGGTCTGGTTCTTCCAAAGCCATTGTTACCGTTTTGTCACCCTCTGGTCCCTACAGACAACAACAACAAAGAAGAAGAAAACTTGCTGTTAGAGCATTAGAATGCAACGATTTGAGTAAATTGTAAGTGTAACAATCACACTTTCAAGTTGTACTTTTTTACTTCACAGTAACAATTACCGTGATGTACTCGTGTGGATTATATACAACTCCATCAATAAAACACTGAAACAACTGTGTAGCAGGCGTTATTTTCTCACCATGTCTAGAGTGTAGAGGCCGGCGAACGTTGCTCTGATCTGCTCCACTACTTGAGGCTGGTCTGGGAAGAACTTCTCCAGAACTCCAGGCCTGGTGAGCACCTGCTGGACCTTCTTGGTTCCAGCCAGGTGAGTGCTGATATCTGGACATTTCACAGCCAGAGAGCGCTCCATCAGAAGACGAGCATCCCAAGTCTACAGTTTATAAAACAAAAACACAAATGTGTTTCTCTCCTTCTGGCAGGAACTCTGATACATCAAGTACATTTTACCTAGCCAATGATTCAATACAACTGAATGCAGACAATCAATACATTACAGTGCACTGCAACAGAATGCCATATGAGTAATTTATACTTTACACAAATATCTATCCATGTATATAAATATAGCAACATAATCATTAAAATGACTTTCATATTATACTGTCTATAACAACAACCTTATTGACACAAAAATTCCACCAACGCAACCACTTCTATTTTAACACAGGGTTGTTTTCAGACTGAATGCCCACTGAGAGTATCTGATGCCTGCTCTCTCTTGGTCAACATTCCTGACAAAACTGAGGGCACGCTGGGCAGCAGAGCATAAAGACATTTGTTTTTAGATTTTTTACTTAGGGGGGCAGGGAACATGTGGCCCAACACAGCAACAGAAGAATGAAGTACAGCACTGAACACACAGTCAGGTTGCGTTCACAACATTGATTTTGAAAGACATGAGAAAAAATTTCACTTACTTACACTTATCCCACTTGCTCCCAGCTTTGGCTTTAATAGAGACGTCCCAATAAAGTTTTTAAAGTCTGATAATTTGTAGTTCTGATCACATATTCATACTGTTCTTAAAACAGCTGCACAGTGCACACCTCAGTGCATCAGAGTTTATGCTACCCCTTTTTTCCCCCGACTGTATATCTGTTAATATAGCACACAAAGGCTATGAAGGCTATAAATACATAACGTATGTAGGAAACAGAGAGAGATGAAACAGAGGGATGATGGAAACGGAGGACAGCGTGACGATGTACCGCCCAATTTCTTCCTTAAACATCTCTCATTTCATTGATTAATTTAGTCAACACTTTTGTGCCAGTTGACTGTATTTACCTGATCATTTTAAGCAATGCAGCTCAGGGTTCACTTACTTTTGCCCCTTTACAAAAAACTATTAGAATTAAGTCTTTTCACTTAGGGCAATAGGGCAATGTGCAATAAACAAACCAGCACCGTAGCACTTTAATTCTTATAGTTTCTCACAGTCTCTTTTTCAGTTGCCACATTGTCAGTGTTAAAATGTATAGTGTCTTCCATGTTTTGAGATGTTTTTATGGTGATTTTGTAATTGTTTTGTGATGTATGTCTGTTGTTGAGGTATGCTTGTTTCTGTGAAGCAACAAACTGTAGCACTGTGCCCAAGACAAATTTCCCCTTGGGGACAATAAAGTTTATTCTATTCTATTCTACTTCTACTGATTTACTCTACTTTTAAGCATATGGAATTGATAAACACAAACCTGTTATATCATATGAAAAAATACTGGTTCTATAGTTAAATAGTTGTAAAACAATAGTAAACCCCAGAATGCTCAGGAGGTTCACATACATACAGCACTGTATGTATATGGCAGCTAACGTAAACCCTGCAGTGTAAACCCAATCAAAGTTTGGCAAGACATGCATGACAGCTGAATAGCTCTGCGTAATCGAATAATAATCATGTTTATTCTTTAAATCTAGACTAATGAGAGCCTAAATTACTCTGCCAATGTACGTCCAGTGTGGCAGAGAGTGGCAGCAAAGAAGAAAGAAAGTCTGTCCCTCAGAATGTAACTCCAACTGTTTCATTTGGCAACACTACACACAGCCAGTTTTTACTCCTCCATGTCCATTCCTGCACTTCACACAGTCAATAACTAAAACTACTACAACTAGGAATAAAGCTTCAAATGAAGACCTGTTCAGAAATGTAGTTCTGGGGCATGTAGCCGTTCCTGAAGTACACCACTGCAACCTCTTGGCCATCACTGAGAAGAGAGTAACATAAATGCACAGTAAGTACAAGTGATCATAATAATATCTTACTGTTATTTATACACATCATCTCAATGTACTGTATGAAGAGCACATTGCATACAATTTATAGAGATTTAGCAGACAGAAACAGACTTACACAAACAGCCTCTTGTCCTGATCGAGGGACCCTGTCTTACAAACATCATCGAACCGTTTTCTTTTTGTGGGGATGTTTCTGAAACACATTGACAACCATGTGCACCATTTTTCACACCATTCACAAGACAAGCCAACTATCTCGAGCCACAGTGGATCAAAGTTGCAGATGTGGTCATGTCTTCCATTAAAATGATGCACTATTTTCATAACAAATATAATGTTGGCTAAAGCTGTTGGCTTGTTTCTTCAAGAACAGCTCCTCTTCCACAATACCTCTTCCACAATTCACTCTCAATGTATCGCTGATCAAAGATGTTCCTTTGGCTCTCTTCCACCAAGAACATGACGACTGCTCTGTAACGACAACAATTGCTCCTGTAAAACACTCACTGCTACTTTTAAACAGGACAGACTGGACATCTGGTTATTTAATATTATTTAAAACATTTCTTTTTAAATCAACTCAGAATGAGGCCTTGCAGTTACAGTATGTCTGCTGTTACGTCTGATGAGTGACATATGGTACCTATACCCTTATGCTTCCAACTACATAATGCGTATATTACTTTAGCAGGAAAGGGTATCCTAATAGGGCTGTGATTGTGATATGATTCCCAATTAGTGTTGGAATGATCATTTAGGCATCATAAATTTAATTTTCACCGAAAAATCATGATGTTGTGACAGTTGCTGAGGTCTGCACCAAACAAGAGAACAGGATTTGTAGATCAGGGTATCACTGCAAAACAACAGTACTTCATTATTATACTGCTTTTTACACATTTTACCTTAATCAAAAATGAAGGGATTTGCATTTTGAAATTGACCATATTGTTTTTAACATTGCGATTGATTGCGCAGCCCTATATGCTAACATCAGCAGATATCTATATTTGTACTGGATCCTACTGGACAGACTTGATGGTTTCCATCCACTATTAGTTCATTGGTATGATGCAGCTGGTGTTTAAGAAACAGTAAGAATATTCCACAAGTCAGATGTTTGTACTCTAGGCTCTTTCTAAGGTGAATTCATTTGGTCAGTACTGTAACAGTATCCAGCACTTGATCTCTCAAAGTAGATGGAACAGTGAGTGAGTAAAGTAAAGAAGTCCATTAGACAATGACATGCAGTTTAATAAGGCTGAATTCAGTGAATGTACTTAAGTCCTACCTCTCTGATCCATAGAGCTCCCAGGCTTTGGCCACAGCCCTGGCTAGACCAGCTGCTGGGTTGTTGTCTAGGATGTTCTGGCTCTCCTCCAGTCGCCCAGCCACCTTAAGGACGTGTCTGTCAGGTAACATGATAAATACTTATGGCAATGCTAATTGCAGCAAATTATATATTATTACTTTCTGACGGCACTTTATTCAGGGAGTTATTTCTTCATCTTGATTAAAGCAATAACACACCCCAGGCAAGAGACTTGTTTTTAAAACAGGAACAGTAGCTGCCTAAAGAGGACAATGGACCAAACCTCACTGCCTGGGGCCACTGTTGAACCCTCCTGACGCATATTTTCAGCACCAGCTACAGAAATTTCATCACATTTCAGAAAGCCTCACTTTATAAATACCGGTCTATGGGTGATATGCTAATGACTGACTTACCGGTGTACATCTGGCGTGCGTGATGAGAGACCTCCAAAACTGGCAGCAAAGGTGTTGATTTCTATCTGCTTCAGAGACGACGAGCCATCATCTCTCTGGTCCAGCATGTAGTCGGACCGATTGAGACCCAACACGATAGACTGGGAAGAAGGAGAGGAATCAGACTTAGATCACTGATGATCAAGGCACACGGCCAAACATTCAGTACAGACTGCTATGTGCAGGCCCCAGACAACAGCCATTTGGCCCATGAACAGAAAATAATTAATCACTTTTATTACTTTTCAAGCAAAAATACCAAACTGTCCCAAGTTAATTATAAGGATTTGCAGGTTTTCTTGTCTTATGCATTTGTAAATCTATGATTTAGAGATTTGGACAGTTTATCAGACAATATTTTCTGACATTTTATAGATAAGTAAATAGTCAATTAATCAAGAAACGAGGCAGCAGATTAATCAATAATGAAAATAATCCCGGACTGAAGTCCTAATATTGTTATTTCAGTGCTCAACAGGGATGAAATCTGTTGATTCAAGTGGCAACAGAAAGAAGAGAAGTCACACAGAACAACTTTGACTTTCATAGATAGTTTAATCAGGAAGATTCCCAACTCCTAATAAACTGGTTTATAACTTCATTTGGATCCCATCTTTAGCTCTATAAAATACTATAAAATGCCAATCTAAGTAAGTGTGCAAATTCAGATTTAAGGCCTTCAACTTCATGCTTCTCTTTGCCCTGAGCCTACTCTATACTCCCCTTTTACTGCTAAACTGACAACTATTGATCCTCCTCTAGGAAGATGAAGAACCCCTATCTGACCAGGCCTCCTTTCTTGTAATGAAAGTCCACATTTAGGTAGTTTATGCAGACTGGTGCCATTATTATCTATTCTGTGTCTATTCCTGCTTGTATTTGTTGTACTATATTGTTGCATATTGCAATGCTGCACTTTAAGGTTAAAATGCTATAGGTTCTGTAAAATCATGAAACTATCAATGCTTAACTGGCTTAGAAAACTGAAAAACACTGCAGTGGCACAGAACATAACTATTCATCTTGATTTATAATAAATAAATCAAAAAGTGTTATTTGTCTCGCAAGCCACATTATATTTTGGTTGCTATGTACTTACATGAACTGTGACATGGTCAGGAGTCGTCTGTTATTATTTGTTGTTTGTAATGTTTTTGGATGGCTATGAGTTTGAGTTATTCAAATGATGGGAGCGGTTGCAGAATGTTGTTTGGCAGGTGGTTTTTTTCCTTTTGTAATTCCATTCCAATTATAAAATGCAAACAAATACTCTGTTATTCCTGGCTATGCGACAAGGCCTCTAACCGTTAACCAACTAATAATCTTAAATTAAAAATGAGCCAGTATCAGCAAGGGCCACCTATTTGACAGATTGACAGAGGTTTTCAACATCACCTACCTGGGACCTTCCTTCTTTGAGGATTTGTTGGTGGAGCTTGAACAACCTCGCAGTGAAATCATCCACTGCAATGGTGCTATAAAAAAAATATATATATATTGTCACTCCCTTTAAATTCTGAAATTTCATCAAAATGTTACATTTGCCAAACTAATAATGTGATCTTTAGAAGAAGTTTGATCTCAGAATGCTGTGCTGCTACTTGAAACCACACAGCATAGCCACATTTCCAAACTAGTGAAAATGCATCATTATTGGAGGCAATAGAGCTACCTGGAGAGAGCCTCTTCCAGAAAGTCTGTGTCCTGACTGATCTTGTCCACCAGTGTGTTGTAGTGTGTTTGCACTGCCAGAGCCTGAAGGAACACAGCCTTAGGCACAGGTGTGGGGAATAGGGTGAATGGAGCGTAGGTCACCAACTGGAAAACAAGTTGTTATATGTAAGAGAAGAATGCTGACCTCGAAAAACAAGCACTGATGGAATGTGAGGAGAGAAAATCAGCATTTGGGCTACAAATCCCTGTAATTGCCAACACAAGCTTAATAAAGATCTGTCCTAAATCCTGTGCCCTAAAGCGTAATGAATTCCTAACATGACTTCACAGTGAACACGCCTGTTTTAACAGCAATGGCTTAACAGCCCACTGGTATGGGATCATGTCCTGTCTTACTGGCTGTGGCTCACTTTGTTCATATCACATAGGCTTTTTAAAAATAAATTAAAAAGGCAAAGCAACATTTTTTATAAATGACCTAAAACATGAATGCATTTAACAATTGAAAGGCCAGTTGTGCATTCAATTGTAAATCAATTCCTTTGTTTCATTATCAACTAACCAGCCAGTGTGAGCTCTGTTACTCTCTAGCTTGGGAATGATGTTTCAATAGGCCTTTTCAGACAACACTGTAACATTATAACAACACTTCATCGATCTGTTAAATGTACAGCATGCATTCTCTGTCGCAAGGGGGTCTCTCACATCTAAACAATAACAAAAGATAACGTTGTAAAGTAGCACAGGATCATAGGAGGAAAGCTAGGAAACGCACTGTTACTTTGAGTAAAACTGCAGATTTCTCTGGGTTTGAACATTTGGGAAGTACACAACTCAACAAAATATAGATAACTTGGGTCTAGTTGTTTTTAGACATTTTAATGGAGGCCAGTTACATGTTATAGCTTTAAAGTGATGTCTTTTTGTCATTAAAACATGGGTGTCTTTTTATGTTAAAAGCATGAGAGGAAGCAACGCTGCTGTTGAAGAATAGTAATACACTTTTTGCTCAATTTCATAATTTAATGTTATTAGAGAGAGGACTCTGTTGTGTCTTCTATAATGTCTGAAACAGAATTCATTCATTCACCATGCAGTTTGCATGAAAGAAAAATGAACATATAGAGAGGGAGTGCTGATAACTACCTACGTTTCTTTTTCACCGTGAGGGGAAAAAACATTTTTATAAGCTCACCTAATACCAGAAAAATTGCTGCAACAACTTTGGCACATTCACTGTGTTTCCTGGCTTGTTAAACAGCTTTAATTCCCTTTGTGCATAAGAGATTCTACTTGAGTGATTGCTTTATTACAGCGCTCTTGCTTTTTTATCTCTCTCTGAATTGTGTATTGAGCTGTTCCTGTGGCCTTTACGTCAATCTGACAGCAACAGATTCAGACTAGAGCTGCAACAATTAGTCAATTAATCGGTTCATATCAACTTCTGAATTAATCACCAACTATTTTCATAATCGATTATCTGTTTTAAGTCATTTTTCCATGAAAGATTCCCAAACTCTGATTTCTTAAATGTGAATATTTTCTGGTTTCTTTAGTCCTCAATGACAGTGGACTGAATAGCTATCAGGTGTGGACAAAACAGGACATTTGAGGACGTCACCTTGGTCTTTGGGAAACACTGATTAAAATTTTTAACCTTTTCCTAACATTTTATGGACCAAACAAGTAAGTACTTAATCAAGAAAATGATTAACAGATCAATTCATAATGAAAATAATTGTTAGTTGCAGCCCTATGTCAGGTTTGTGCTGTGTTGCTACGGGTGAAACTAAAGTAATACTAAGATAGGCATTATGACTCTTACGTAACAGTGACCCAGCCAACAGGAAGGCAAGGCTATCATGACCAAAACTTACGGTCCGTCAAATCTAGTAGGTAAGCGTGAAGAAATGATATTGAAGTTGGCAGTAGGTTATTTTCACACAAGGTCAGCTGTTTGTCCACTGTTCTGATTCATCTTCCTATTCACTTCATGTTATCCAAGAGATCTTTAGAGTTGTTTAGAAACACACTGCTCATTCATCTGCCCGTGTCTTGCTTCTGTGTACCTACTGCATCTCTTTCCATGTAAAATTCTCCTCTGGCTGTCCTTTTCTTCTCTTTTCATGATTCTTGCTCTCTCGTTCTTTTAATATTTGATATGAATGATTAATAACTCATTTAACCAAACTTTTATTGAGCAACATTTGGCTGCACAGCATACATTTGTAATAACTGACCCACAGGCAGGTTCTGTCACAACTGTAATTGATGAAGCAGTTTTGACCTTTCAAATAACCACTTCTTTACTTGTGGCAATTTACTGTGTCAAAACTTCATTTTATAAATGACTGGACAGTCTTCATCATAAGAGACAGAGACGTTGTAAGATTTATTGAATTATGCAGAGAAGCCTTTGAATTGACAATGTTTCATGCCGGCCAATGCAACTTTAATATGTTATGTTTAATACTATCATGGTCTCTGCAGGTCAACTTAAAAATGCCTGTGTTTTTACTCCTCACCTCTGATGAGTTGGGGGTCTCCTGGATCCTCATTAGAACACCCTGCAGAAGCGCTGCATCTTTTGCCACATCCGCCAATTCTTTTATCAGTGTGTCATTCATCATCACCTCGTCTGGTATCCCCTGGGCCATTCTGATTTACTGAGATATGAACAACAATCAGAAACTGGTCAAACAAGAGTCCAATACAACAACAGGGGAGGGGAACACACACCGCACTGTGTCATAAGATGTAAAAGGAAACAAGACAACCTATTCTTTTACTTACAGTCTTACTTAAATGTATTTCCATTACTGATGTACATTAACCTTCTATGACACTGCAAAACATTGGGGACATAAATGTACCTTAAAACATTACAAACACAAAAATGGATAAATAAATATAAGATTCAACATAATTAAACATAAGAAAACCTCCGTGAGTTAATGAAATAACATTAAACGGTTTATAAAGTTGCCTCTTGGAGCTTGCCTTACCTAGCTCTAACTGGGAACATGCAGGTAGCTAACGTTAGTTAACACCTATATACCGTCAATGCTAGCTCCATATATATTGTCTCTACGAGCTAACAGTTACATATATAATGTCAATGCCTATATACACATATAACGTTACCGTCAATACAAGCTACTTATATAGTGCCAACACTAGTTACCTATACATTGCCAGTGCTGTATACGTTAAACACCGTCGGTGGCTGGTGGTCGTAACACTTAACGTTCCTAGCTATAGAAGCTTTCTCCAGACAAAGGTTTAACGTCCTGTTTGAAAGGCTTCACAAGCACGGTGAGTAGGTCTGCATTAACCGAATAACATTATTAAATACTATTACCGTTGGAGGTGCGCTTCTATCCTCTGTGACAGGACGAGAAAGATATCGATGAAATATCAACACAGCCGCCAGCACTGTATGAAAACCGGATCTGCTGAAGTCCTTGTGACCAGGCACCGCTGATTGGTCGGTGGGGACGCGCTAGACGGAACCGCTTGCTTATTCAGCCAATCAGTGCTCGTGTCGTCACCAAAAAGATTAAAGTCCGATCTCTGCTGACTGAAAGTTGATGGGCTAAAACTGCTGACTGAAGAGTGAGACAGCACTTTTAGTCCCTTTCTAAATGACATGGGAAGAGACATATATGTGGCAGGTAATAGTAATAGACCAATTTTGTTTTACATTGTTTTTATTTATTTATTTATTTATTTATTTATTTATTTATTATTATTTAAGTTTTTTGTTTTGTATTTTTATTGATATTCTTGTCAGGACAACAGATCATAAAAGATGTTATGATAGATCATATTTATAAAATTCAAAAGACATGTTCACAGGCAATCCTACCCATATAATTGTAAGTGTTTTAAAGTTTTACTCTTTAATAACATCATCACACCCTTAGAACTGGCATCCATTATAATAGTACATTCATATGTGGTGTGGACATTATAAACAGACAAAAATTCAGAATGACTCATTAAAATACCTTCTGGATTAAGGGATTGTCTTATTCAGTAAAAAACATAGATTTGTGTTTGAATAGAATGTTGTGGTTTTTCCAAATGAGTGAGAGTTTGCATGCCTATTATGAATTATACAACATTGTTCATGTAGATTTATAGAAGTCAACATGCTATTCAGCACGAATTATGTGAATTATTGTAAAAGATATATGCAATAGGCTTCATATTTACCAATGAAAAGTTCAGTCCAGGGCAGGGATTCCCCCAGTTGTCAGCCTGCTCCACACCAGCAGAGGGAGCTAAAACTTTTTGATACAAGTCCCATAAAGATCTTCCTTTAAGCTTCCTGGTTGTGCATAGCTTTCCATATCCTTCAGAGTAAATTATTGCAATCCACCGTAAAATGAAAAAAAGAAGAAGAAGCTATCCATAAGCTGTTTCTCCATACAGACTCACAGGCCTTCAAGCTGATCAGTAGGATCCTCTCAGGTCTGCTGACTGAAGCACATATGGGAGGGAGAGAAAATAACAAAGAGATGAAGTGTATTGGGATGATGTCACATTAGCAGCACATGATGAGGGGGGGGGAGTGATCAGTAAGCTCTGAACTGTGTCATTTTACTCTGTGTGTGTGTGTATATTCTTGTATAGATGGCGAGTGGACAGCTGTCGAGGGCGGAGGCGTTAGTGTGCTCAGGCTGCAGGCATGCATGCCATGTGATGCTCTACTCTGACACGAAAACAAAGCTGTTTGGGAGAATTCCCATCAGACATATCATACTGGTGAGTGCACTGTGTGTGTAAGTGTCTGTTAGTGTGTGTGTGTGTGTGTGTGTGTGTGTGTGTGTGTGTGTGTGTGGCTCATGCATGTGTTAAAGAGTTTGTGTGGTTAGTGCAGTACTGTATATCAATGGAATTTATTGCATGCACGAATGGTGTAGACCTTTGCTTTCACTGTTTCTGCCGGTTTGCATAAAAACTGTGTGTGTGTGTGTGTGTGTGTGTGTGATGTGTGTGTGGATGCATCAGTGTGTGAGTGTATAACAGTCTCTGTCACTTCTCACAGATGCAGATGCGCTTTGACGGTCTGCTGGGTTTCCCTGGCGGGTGAGTCTTTCCTGGTGCCACTTTTGTTTTATCCTCTTACGTGCACAGGTACGTTTAGCTTAGGTTTGTAAGTCTCTCTTTTTCTTCACAGATGAGCCCCGTCAAATGATGTAAACCTTTCACAGCACTGAACAAAATATTCACACACTGTCACAGGAATGCTCAAACCACAAGGATGAAACAGTGAAACGGGAGAAAATGTGCATGACAGGTTCTCCTGTAAGGTACCTCATCTTGCCGCAGAAGAACTCTTTCAAAAAACTGGATTTGCCAGACACATAGTACTTGATTAGTATTCAACTTAATATGAATCACTTGTGCCTTTGTATCTGTGATTTACAGTATAGTCACTGCCAGAATTTCTGGGGCATCATTCGCCAACACGGTGAAATTATGTAACATGGCAAGACGAAAAGCCAAAAAAATGATGGTGACATATGCAAAAGGGAGGAAAACTGCATTAGCAAACAACAGCAGCAGTGTCCTAATACATACTAAATGTATACAGTACATTCCATATAGAAATGGTATTAATATACTGTGTTTGCACAACATTTTTTTAAAATTAGAAAAGGACCACTTTGGTCCAGACAGAAATCTCTCTGTAACTATTGGATACATTGCCATGAAATTGTTTTACATTCATGGCCCCCAGAGAAGGAATGCATGTGATTCTGGAAATCCTTAAATTTCCTCTTGCACCAATAATCCCAGACAACTATTGGATGGATTATCATGAAATTTGCATTCATGTTTCCTTTATTATGAATTGTTAATTAATTTAATTTGCCTAGTATTTTGGTTTAAGACTAAATACCCGCAAACCTAAAGACATTCCCATCAGCCTCAGCTGTACTCTGTGTTCAGTACTAATTAGGGTAAACAGGTGACTGAATACACTACATACCCACAATCATGCTTGCTCCCCTATCCTAACCCTAACCCTAAATGACACCTATCAGCATGTTTCTGTGACAATATTAAAAACTATTGGCTCACAAATAAAAACAATTTGGACAATGAGAGAAGGTTATTCCAGATGTTGGGGTTTACTGCTGTACGTACAGTTGCATTTCACTGATGGAATTTCTAATAGACCTACAAATATTAAATTGTCTGTGCTTTGTGAGTTGTTTGGAGTGTGACCCTTTTCACTTGTCTGTAACTTGACACCGCCACCAGGATCCAATGACTTGTGACGTTCTCGTGATTTAAGCCAGCTCAGCGCAAAAGCTTTAGTTTGAGCTTTAAAATTCAATGAGCTTTTGAAGTGGGTTTGATTTATTTTACTTCTGCCCTGAGGAGTCTCAGGAGAGCAGTATGGCTGATGTTGTTTATCTGCTTCCATATCTGACCCTGACCTTTCACCTCCCACGCTTCAGGCTCGTTAACCCTTCGGAGGAGACCCTGGAGGCGGGGCTTAGCAGGGAACTGTTGGAGGAGCTGGGCGTGGCTCTTCCTATATCGGTAGAAGATCACGTGGACTCCTGCCATGCCCCTGCTTCCTCCTCCTCCTCCTCTTCCTCCCAGCTTATCACTCACTTCTACGTGAAGAAGATGGAGGAGGAGCAGATTAGGGAGGTGGAGAGAGCGGCTGCATCCACTGCAGCAGACCATGGACAGGAGGTAACGTGTGTGTGTGTGTGTGTGTGTGTGTGTGTGTGTGTGTGTGTGTGTGTGTGGTGTGTGTGTGTGTGTGGGTCTCCTTCTAGAATGACTGATTGAAACCATTTGAGTGATCTCATGCTCTGTTCCTCATCACCTGCTCTCTCTCTCTAGGTTCTGGGAATGGTCCGAGTCCCACTCTACACCATGAAAGGCGGGGGAGGCCTCGCATCCTTCCTGTCGCACTCATTCATCGGCAACGCTCGCTCCCAGCTGATCGACTCTCTGCTGCGCCTCAACCTGGTCGCCCCAGAGGAGTTGCACAAAGCCCTCACACACTCTCTGGGGACACACACACACACCGCAGAGGACTTGAAAGCGGCCCTCGCGCAGACGGAGGCGAGGGGGAAACGGTTTTGAGACCTGCACGTGCATCAGCACATCCTCTCAAGCATTCACAGATAAACACAGTTTGGCCATCAGCAATGTTCACACACTTAATCATAAATACACACACAGTGTCATACTGAATCTGAGCTGCTGACTCATAATTGCCTACTGTGCATCAAACAGTTTGGGAAAAACATTCATCAACTGCTTCACTATTAATGGAACTACTTAATGGAAATAAAATCATTTACACTGTCCGTCATATTTCAACTTTTTCTGTCGTTGTTCTCCTGATGTTGATTTCAAGCAGAAAAATTGGAAATCTAATTACATGATGTGTGAAAGCAATTGTTAAGGTAATCAACACTCCTTCATCAAACATTTTTACGTCTTAATGTTGTGAGGAAGGCAACATTTTAATGACTCCATCAGGCATTTAGACACATATTAGCATCTCACAAGCTGGTGACATTGATTGTTTGATTCAAAAATACCTGACAGTGAAAAGAAACACATCACACTACGATCTGTGCTACCTTATATGGCAATGCATATAGGCACCTTGTGGTATTGTGTATCTGGCTGGTTTAAAGGGGCTCTTTTCCACGAGGTAGAAGTCTTTTGTCTGTCTCTGCTGCTCACATTTTTGCTGGTTTCATTTCTGATGATACTGCGCGGCGGTGCTGGTGCAATCCAAGGATTAATTACGTCCGTGACATACTATAAAGCCTACAGGCGAAGATTTGATTCTGTTTAAGTGTGCCCTCGGTGCACGTAACGCGCCTGCACCAGATGTTAGTAACCTCATTCCCAGACAATGTTGCTGGCAGTGAGCAAGAGCAGAGACACGATGCTGCCTAATGTTCATGATACCTACTGTAAGTGTGCACTGTGAATCTGCCTGACATGTTGGATGTATTATAAGCAGTGCATATATATACACACACAGAGAATCCAACAAAATACTGAGTTCAACTTTGATTCATTAATCATGCAGCAGGTTTTTGTGATAAATCATCCTCAGTATTGATGAATTGGATACAGAATGTGCCTAAAAGATGATAGAGTGAAGGGATGAAAGCTGCTGAGAGAAACACGCTCCTCTTTTATTCAGCTTTACAGATTTATTGTAGTCATTGCAATTTGCAAGGGCATCAACTAATCCTACAGACTGAGCAGGCGTTAATAGAATTAGTGATGCAAGTACAACTCATTTGTGGGTGAAGTACAATGTGATTTGCTGTCGATATGTGTCTCTCAGTCAGTTTGTGTTCTTTCTCAGCTGTCAAGAGGAAAAAAATGCACCACATCCGGCGCAACAGACAGGAAGCACAGGAGACGGTTGCTACCAAACACCGTTGTCTGTGGATGTGTTTATGCAAGTCCGTGGCTCTTTTTGTGTGCGTGCGTGCATGCAGCTGCTCGAGGACGTGCCTCCATGCTGCGTGCGTGTGTGTGTGCGTGGAAACGGTCGCATCCTGCACGAGAGTGTGTGAAGAGAAAGGATGCTGTCATGTGATGGTGCTGTGAGGGCGAATAATACAAGGTCATCAGGAATACATTTCGAGAGAGAAAGGGATGGAGGGAGGGAGGGAGGGCAGTGCAGGCGAGGGATGGATGGATGGATGGATGAGAGAGAGCTGGAGCGAGGGATGCTGAGGGAGGAAGACGGTATATTCATAGCAGCAGCGGTATTTATAGCCGCCCAGAGGAGAGGAGAGAGCGGGGGGCGTGGCTTGGGTTGTGGCTTTCGCACTGCTTCACAAGGCAGAGAGGGAGAGAGGGAGGGAATGGGAGGAGAGAGGCAGCTCTGGCGCGAGTGAGAGAGGGGAGGCTATTTGGCATATTTGGCAGGAGAGGGAAGAAAGAAAGGAGGGAGGGAGGGCTGTTTTTGAGTGTTTGTGTGTGTGTGCCTGAGAAATGAGAGAGAGAGAGAGAGAGAGAGAGAGAGGGAGGAGGGTACTGAGCTGAGAGAAATCTGTCAGATTCAAACACACTGCTCTCTCTCTGTGTGTGTGTGTGTGTGTGTGATAGAGAGAGAGGGATGAGAAGAGGAGAGCTGAGGAACAGATAGAAAGAGACAGAGGAGGACCACAAAGTGAGGTACGTACGGCTGTTCATGAATCCAATAACAACCTGTGTGTTGATATATGTGTGTGTGTGTGTCTGTGTCTGTGTGTGTGTGTGTGTGTGTGTGTGTAAAAGTGTGTGCATGCTTGTGTACATGTGTGACTAAAGTGTATGTATATCTAGTTTGGTGTTTTATAGGGACACTGTATCCACTTGGGGCTTTCTAAGTGGACAAATGGATGTGGGCTACTGACTGTCAGGGATATCAATTATGTAATATGTGTGCACCATTTTCAGTGTTAATGCTCTGTGTGTGTGCGCGCGTGTGTGTGTTTACATGCTCGTGTAATTATGCCGAGGTGTTTATGTGGCCATTGTGTGGAGCACTGATACAGTGCCTTGACCATATGGGGTGATTTACGGCCATTGTAAATATAACTCAACACTCCTGTGCTGTTAGAGCTGTAGAACTGAATTCCACCCCCCAGCGCCATCAACCCCCCACCCCTCTGCTTATCACCTGCACTGTATTGACAGCTAATTCACACTCTGTTATTATATAATGAAGATCAGCGAATGGCTTAAACAGCCTTCTCAAAGTAGCATTTCCTTTGTGCTGTTGGTTTACGGTGCAAGAGCAAAGATTGTGATGATAATGCTACAGAGCAGCCTTTCCTGAGAAACTGGAACTGAAGCTCTTGCAGGTGGGTTTTTAAAAAAAATCTTTTATTTGATGAGTTTACCTAACCCTAGAGGCAGGTCCAGTTTCAGCATCAGTTGCAGTTTTCATAAACGTACAGTATGGTCGTGCCAAGATTCTGACTCTCTGTTGACTGTTCACATTGATTTTACTCATCAGCAACGCAGCTCACAGGTTATATAGGAATACTGTACTTTTAAAAACTGCAGAAAAGCAAGTCCAGTCCAGTCTGTAATGATGGTTGACCATCTTGGCTTCACTGCATCAGAACAGCTATGAAACCAGTTGTTTTACACAGACTCTCTGGGACTAAAAACATGCAGAATACTCTTTGTACCAGTGAGGAACGTGTAACAAATGAAGTATTTCATGCATAAGGTGCATGCATTCTGATTCATTCTGCATCCTTAGGCAGTGGCTAACCTGTGAGCTGTGGTGGACAACATCATTTTACATCACTGAGCAGAATAGTAAAAGTCATGCATTCAAATTTGTACTTTTTTACTAAAAGTACAGAAGTATTACCATGAAAATATACTTAAAGTACTCATTATTCTATATATAATATTGTTGTATTGTAATTATTAACCCTAACCCTAACCCTAACCCTACTTTAATGTGGATATGTGGAGTAAATGGTGCAATATGTGCCTCTAAAATGAGAAGTATAAAGTAGCATATAATGATATGAATCAAGATTATACTTCAGTACAGTATTTTGAGTATACATAGTTACTTTGTAGTAACTGCTACTACCTGTAGTGCAGTAGACCCTAATCTAAATTGACCTATAACAGCTCTGTCATAGAAAGCTGTAGGAAACTGCTGGTGGAGAAGTGAAGGTTTCAGCAGGGCCTGAGGAGCGGATGTGGCCAGCCTCTCAGCCTCTCAGCCTTCACAGTGCCCAACTGTTTTCATTTCACTTTTTTATTCATGTATTTTTTCCCCCAATTTTTGCCCCCTTCCAGGACGTACAGGTATGCATTCCACAAACATTATCTGTAAATGATCCTCCACATAAAACTCAAGGCTGGCTGGACCTGAGAAATGTAGACAGCAGTGGAATTTTTTCTGTGCCCTTTGGCTTTAATTCTAAATTCTTCAAAAGACCTGTCTGAGGCTAAATTCATCTCAGTGCTATTGCAATTAGGTACCACGCCAGAATCTGAAAGGCACCTTACACTGTGTGTAAAATACCAAGCTACATTGCCAAAGACTATTAATTTCCACCCTTAAGACATTGGTGGCCACACTTTATTTTATGTGATGTATTATAAGTTCTCCACTGCCACCTTGAAACTAGTCGTCCCTGTGGTGCGTGTTTTGGCAGTGACGAGAACCTGGATTAAGCAGTTGCTGAAAACTTTTTGAGATTTGCAGGTACAGAGTAATTCTCCACAGATGGTGTGAGAGTAAAGCCTGTGGTGGCATACTATGATTTGGTTTCCTGTTTGCTATGCACAAGAAGCAGCCGAGAAGGATATAGAAGAGTGTAGAGAGACTTTGGCAAGAAGCAAACTTGTGACATGATGAATACTTATGCATAGCTAATCTTGCATCGCCCTAAATCTCATGACACGTTCTAAATGAAACCTGGGGCCAGAGCCAGTATGAGGGCACTCTACCTGTTGTAGTGCAATGAGGCTGGCTATATGAGCTGCTTTCAGATTTGCTTTGCAATTTCGCAGCCAATGAATGAGCTGATGTCAGTTAGCTTCAAAGCAGATCAACTTCAGCGCTTTGCAGAAGCATGCCTGTGAGAAAGTACAGGCTTAGAATCTGATTGGTCGTGTATATTTAATCTGGAAGCAAGACTGTAATTTCTGAAAGAATAAACAACACTTTCTTCCTCTTACAAAAGTTGTCAGCCATAAAATGCACTCTCACTTAATTCATCACAGTCAGGGCTTTTACTGCTACAGCCTTACTTGGTCTGCTTTGACCAGTAGCTTAAAGTGTAAACTGAACATAGATACAGTATTTCTGTGTAACTAACTCCTCTTTTCTTCTTCCACCGTTAAGCCAAGTTTTAGCATCTAGCATTATCTTGGTCCACAGTGGCTGCTGTTCAGCAAAGGTTACATAGGGTCGCATTAAAGGGCTAGTGCAGTGATTTAGTATTGTCATTTCATAAAGCTGATTTTTTTTAAGCAAATTTTTAAAAGAATTGTCAAAATTGATGCAGCAGAGGCCAAGATACCCTCAGTTTGAGTCTCTAATGTGAGTAAAGCCCCAAGAATACTGGAGCTTGCATTTCCCATAACGCCCCATAACCATGATGATATCATTCAGTTATTTTGCTATACAGAGCCAAAGAAGACATCATACAACTATTTTCAGTCTGAGTAGTACTTCACAATGTATGAACCTACCGACTATTTTTGATGACAATTTAGCTGTGGGGGCTTCCAGTGAAGCCAGCGGATATCCGGGCCAAAACTTCCTCTGTAGTCTAATTAGCAACTTGATAGGTGCGAGGAATTACGAGAAACACACGTCTAACAGATATCTGCATATGCAATCAGCAAATAAAATATCTCTTTATAGAAATCACCCTTCTCAAGACAAATAAACTGACCTTTATGTGTGAAATAGGTGGAGTGCCCCTTTAATTAAGTGATCTTTCACTGGAGGGAAACTGCACCATATTGCCAGACACTGTACGTCCATCCAAATAACATCATTCAAGAAAAGAATATACATGACAGAGCCCAGCAGCTGTTGCTCTACCGTAAACTGAAGCACATTTTAATCTCCTGCTGTAACATCTTCAGGACACGATGAGGTCTGTAGGACAAAGCTGCTGTGAGCTGTAACTTTGACAGCACAGGTTCAGTCTGTCATTGATTGTTTGATCTAATTCCACTACGGTTCATGTCAGTGCTGCACCTACAGTACTCCACACAATAAGGTAACACGATGCACACTTATATATACTGAACACATGAATCATTCTTAAAGGTTCCATATGTAAGATTCTGAAGCATTTTACATATTATTTCTATGTATTAATTACTTTTGAACGGCAAAGTGTGAACAGGCCGTTACTTAGACCGTCCCCAACTTTCTTAGTTGCCTGTGGACTGATTTCTATGCATTTCTATGGTTTCTAGAAAGGAAGTAACGTTTATTTTGTCATCCCGAGTGCCTTCTCTCACCACTTCCCTACAGTGTCAACAATGTAAAACACTAGCTAATGTGAGCTTATAAATGGAGTCCACTAACATTGACATACGACTGGCACCCACCACAATACAGAGTCCAAAGTCAAAGCTAACATTACTGCAAAGCTTGTAAAATGTATTGTGATATTGTGGTTTTAGCTGGCTAACGTTTGCTTGCTCGCTTACGCTTAGCTAATGTAGCATAATACTGTAAGCTAGTTACTTTGGCCCCCCCACAACGCCAGCTGGCACTGGATAATTCAGCATGACTGGTTTACAGCTGGCGGGCTAATCTTAGCTTGCTTGCTCGCTAACGTTATTGCTGGCAGAATACTATCTGAGTGAATATGTCAGTTGGCTATGTTAGCTTGCAAAAGACTTTACCAGGTAACGTGATCTGTGACAGGCCCTACGAACTTATATATTATGACAAACGGTGTGGATTTTAATCATCAATACATTTTGTAACAGTACAAAGCAAATGAATGCTTTCATTTCAGGGCGAAGCCAGCCAGGGGCATCCAGCTGCTTGTGGCTTGGGTCTGGCGTTGGTTACTTTGTGGTGATTTGTTAGGGCAAGTTAGTTAGTAGCATGGAGTGAATGGTCCAAATTAAATATAGAAAACATTGCAGATAATAATGCTGTTCTAAATATTATTAAATAAATATTTATTTTCCAGCGTTAAGGCTATTGTCACTTTTGGCCCAACTGACTGCAGTTCACTTAATGGCCACTGGTGTCGCTATGGTTTTCTTAAAGTTACATAGAACCTTTAAATGGCTGTAAATTGTTGTATGCTTTAAAGCCATTTTGTGTTCATCAATCTGTCCTATTCTACTCCATTATATTCTTCCAACCGTTGTTTATCTCTCTGATTCCCTCTGCAGCAGAAATTGCAGCATGCATCTTTTCGCCTTCTTGATTGTGTGTATAAGCCTCTCCAATCAGTCTGTCAGACAGATGAGAGTCATTCCTGACTCTACCTGAGTTCAGAGCAGTGAATGTACAGCTATAGCATGTGTGACAGCGCAGATTAGCACAAGATCATGTTGATAACACTCTTGCACCCTTTTAGCATTTCAGTGCTTATCTGGGATCATACTGCGCTGATATACACGATACTTCCAACGCCTGTGCCTGCTGTTACAGTTCAGCTGAAACCCAAAATATTTCCCAAAAGTCATGGAAGTGGAAGGAAGGAAGTGAGATCATCTAGCAAAGGGTCTCGTGGACACCCATGTGTTTTCTTGTTGGACATTTTCTTTTGCATTAGCAATGGTTTGGCTTCGTCCCAGGTTTGCAGGCATCAGGGAGGATTTTCTACACATAGGATGCAGCTGTTTAGAAAGAATGCAGCTGTAAGGATTTTTAGAAAATGGTACATTTTTGCAAGAAAACATGACACAAGATAACGCTCTGTACTGTAACAGCGTAGCACAGTGTGATTGGTCCTCTCTGTAACGTCTGGAAATCCCCACACAATATAGGCCATAACTTCAAGCAGAGTATATCATTTGTGTTACTTCTGCTTAGTGCCTGTTTTTTTTTTTTTTTCGATGAAATTAGCAGAAAATCCCCTCAGTGGTAATAAGGATCTATCGCTCTGTACCACATGTATCCTCTCTTGTCTTCAATCTACTTTATATTCACTATGTGTACCACATGACCTCTTTCTTTCAATGACCTTGACTTTAAGTGTGAAACCCTGTTCTCCGATAACCTCCAACTCTCTGCCCCCCCTCGCCAAGATAGTCGTTTTCCCTCTTTTCCCTGCTCTTTTGCTGTATCTCTCACAACCCCTCCTCTCTCTTTCTAAGATCATTTACATTTGCTTTGTTCTGTGCAGATTAGGGTCGTGCGCTGATGAAGGCCTCCAAGGTCTCGGGGCCCTCGCAGTCTCATTTGTGGAAATCTCTCCTCATTTGTCTGCTGCACTTCTCTATTTACTCTCTGGTTCTGTCTGAAACCGCCACTGAAGTGTGTCTGGATCACATCCACCGCACAGTTTTGGGAGAGGAAACGAGAGTGAAGATCGAACAGCACTTCTCAAGTCCTGAATGATATGCTTTAGTTATGATAGCGCTGATATATGTCAGGTCTCTTAAACAGTTCCTTCAAGGTTTCAAACCTGCATCAAAAATAGTTTTCCCATAGTGCTGTGGGTTATAGAAGACTGCATGAAACCAGGTCAGGCAAAATTAAATGAGGTTAGTGTTGTAGTCAGTGTGTTTTTCTGGTCACATTTTGCTTCAGTTGCTGGTCAGGGTTTTAACCAAACTCAAATCATTGCTTGAGGCTGATTGAGGAACAATGTTTCCAGTTAAAGCAGCACACGTTGGCACTCATTGCAGAGTGCTGAAACCTGTTGCGAAAATGACACAGGATGTGGGAAGTGAAGTTGCCTCTGTGTGTGTGTGTGTGTGTGTGTGTGTGTGTGTGTGTGTGTGTGTGTTTGTCTTCATGCCTGTATGTGTGACAGTAAAAAGCATGCCACAATGTGAAGTCATCTTCTCATTTCAGTTTACGCTGAACAAATAGATATCTATTTAAATACCTGTGTGTAATGCAGTGTAAGCATTTAGTCACATGCATGTAGGACTAATTTGATAGACCTTTAAAGTAGGCGAGCTGGGCCTTTAACTTCTTCTGTATCAGTTGATTCCCATTGTCTTCTCAAGTTGGCTTTGTCATTTAACAGCCTCGAGCAGTTTTAGTCATTTAAACCAGGCTTAATCTTGCAGTGATTTAGTATTGCACTTCCATGACGTTGCAAAATTTGCAAGAGATAGTAGTACATCTCAGTGCATCTTTTCGTTATACCATTTCTGCCTGGTAAGCAACCATATCTTTTAAATTGGCTTCCTCTAGTTTGTCGCACATACTTTCTATTGCTATTTTGGTTGTGGAAGTAAAATTCAAGCCCCCAGGAAGAGTGGCTGGCTTTGAAGACACTTTGACATAGTGGCCAAACTGTGTGATGACAGCAAGGGTGCTTATCAACGGGCCCCAAAATACTTTTTCCCTTAAGCTCACATTGTGAAAGAGGTGGTTGTAAAACGATTGATACATATTTTTGAGCGTCATAACCCCCGCGAAATGACTAAGGATTTGATTAATTCTGTCTGATAGTATTTGAAAAGTATGCAAGAGCCGCACAATTCATTCCATCATGTAATGCCCATTCATGTTAGCAGAGGGTTAAACCAGAATTTAGCACGTTGGCCCCAATCAGCCTGGTGGAAGTGTCTAGTGTGCTTGTTCTATGGGCCCCACAATGCAGAAGCATATGCGGAAGATTCCTGTAACTGTATACAAAGAAATGGATTCATCCCAAACATCCAATTTACCAACTCTTCAGACGTTAGAAACACCCACTGAGTGTGTGAGTTTGTGTGTGTGTTTGTGTTCAGCTTGGCCTCTGACTGAACTCAGGACTCACTATAAACTCTGGTTCTTCCTGTTATACAGTCTACCTCCCTTTTCCTCCCTGTAAATTAATTTTTTAAAACAATTTTTTGCTCCACAATTCGCTCCACCTTTGGCGAATTCTTGTCTCATTACATATTTTAATTGATTTTTGATTTGTGTGCAATGTGCTGCCACAAAACATACACTACAAAAGATGAACAAATGTGTTCTGTACATAAAAACTACAACTCCCAGGGTGATTTCAGTAAGAAACATCCTCAACTTCACAGGCCTGTAACATGAGCCACTAATGGCTGGCAGAAGATAAAGATGATGCTACTTACAAAACTGAAAAGACAATCTGCAGCTTAAATGAATTACATTTTGATTCTGGTTCCATTTTGGATGAATTTAGCGACTATGGTGTATGTCATAGCCATTTACTGGCTCCTTATCCATAGCAACAGCGGCTGAGGCTCATGGGTATTGTCGTATTTCGACCCATCCACTATATAACAAAGTTCAAATAATAAAGTTTCTATGTTGACAAACCTAGAGATCATTACAATAATATTCTGAAATAGGAATTGAGTTGGGGAAAATGCTTCTGGAACCATTGGCTCCTCCCACTTTGCAACTGTATTAAGATGACATCACTAGGGTTCTTTTGCCAAAGCTCCTCAAAAGCTATGAAAGACACTATACAACTGTTTTTCCCAGGCTCAGAAGTACTTCTCATGATGAGCAAACTGGCTTTGATTGGTGAACTTTCCCTTTAACATGTGTTAACAACAGTGGTAACCCACAAAGCTACTGATACTGTTAACACATCAACAAACCACGAGTTGAAACCTTAAGTATATCAAAGGTCAGGTTCAGGTGGCTCTCATTACATCCAATATGCGATATTACAGACAACAGTGACATACTGACTGATGTCTCATCTTTGACCTTTTGCTTATACAGTTTGTGTAAAATAAAATCATTGGAGGCATTTGCTTGTGTGTTTGACCATTACCTTCATGGACATCCCCAACCCCCGACCTCAAGGCACTGTATGTCCTTCATTACTGCTCTTACTCATCACCTCTCATCTTCCCATCCCCCATCCACCATCCTTCACCCTTCCTCCCTCACATCCTCATCACTCTGCCCTCTTACTGTCCATTCGGCGCTCTGCCCCCCCTCCCTTCCACCGCTGTCCCTCCTATTAAATCTCCCTTCTCTGGTGTCACTGTCCCTTTCTGTCTTGTCGCCCTGGCCTCATTTGTCCTCTCTGGCGCTCTCATTTTCACATTCTGGTCTCAATAAATTCTCTTTCTTGCCCCCTGTTGATGTCCATTTCCACCTCCTCTCTCACAATTATCATCTGTTCTCTCTATTTCCCCTCTGTCTGCTGCTCAGGCCAGTCCACCTATGGATCAGCATTCATATCAGAAACCCAGGGGATTCCACGAACACATCGACTGACATCCCCACGAGTGCAGCCGATCAACACTGATGCTGATCCCCTGCACGCAGCTGTAGAGCAGCAAGGCCGAGGAGTCAGGGGTGAAAGGTCACAGACTCGAGACCCGGAGCAGGCGCTGAGTTTGAAAAGGTTTCGAGAGGGGAGACTGTGAGGCTACAAGAAGAATCAGGGTTCAGGAAGGAAGGTCTCAGTGACAGACGAGAGTCAAGGGGTCAAAGATGATGACATCACATGGAAAGCTGAGGAGGGAGAAGGGGAGTCTGGCCGAATACGAATCGCAGATGAAAGGTAAGTCACACTGGATGTGCATATGTGTGCGTCATGTGCTTGTCTCTGTGTACGTCTGTGCCCTTTATTGCACTTCTGCTTGTGCATGTGCACTACCTGCATGCATGAATGCATATAGGAGGGCACATGCGCATTCATGCATGAATGTGTGCGGTTGCTCATCCAGCCATAGAACATATTTGTTTATATATATAGATGCGTGGAGGTTGTCACAAACCGAGAAAAGCACCCTTGTTTGGAGCTTGATAACAATCCATGCAGGGTCTCTTAAGGCCAATAGTAGAACAGAATGCTTTAATCAAAGTAAAAAGAGGAGCATGATCGATATTGACATTACAAGATTTTCATGTTACGACAGCAGTGTGTGTGTGTGTGTATGCTGAGTTTTTAGGGTGCATGCCGTGGATGGGTGGCTCTCTGTACTGTACTACAAGGGTGTATTTATAGCCAGTATTAGTGATGCTGTCTCCTCACATCCAGTCAGCCCCAGGCTGTGTACTCACACAGAGACAGAGAAAAAGAGTAAAGAGGGGAAAGAGGGAGGACTGGCGGACTGGGGGGTGGGAGGTGGGGTTGAGCAAGGAAGATAAGAAAGAGAGAGCCAAGAGCAGGTAAGAAGAGAAGAGAGAGAGAGAGAGGGGGGAGAGAGCAAAGCAAAGGCGGCGTTATTTGAGAGAACGATATTTGTATTAGCCTTTTCAAACCAAAGTGCAGCGAAAGGGCCATGTCGCTACTGGCTTAGCCGTGTTTGCATATGAGCTTGTGTGTGTAATACAAGGTTATGTTGGGTTATTACAAGTGAGCTGTGTGTAATAATGCTGTCAAATTAAAAACAGTGGAAATCACACCTCCAAATGACAGCAGGGATTAAAACCTGTTCCCTGGGGGAGCTGTGTAGATAGAGAGATTGTTCAGGTGAAATGTGTGAAAAGACATTCTTATATATTCTCTAATTGGATCATTTCTTATTAATTCAGTTATCGTATGAATGAACTATTCTTCATGGACCAATGGATGTCCAACCACAGCTCTAAAAATACAGCAGTGTGAGTTATAAACTGATTGTGTGTACAGGTATTGTTTCCTCATGCACGAGCGCACATGATTAGATTCTTGCACATGTGTGTGCTTTATACTGACACTCTGTATATCTCCATACTATACACTGTATGCCTGTGTGCATACATCTACAAGCAGGAGCAGGTGTGATATGCATAGATCCTTTTTTCCTAATATTTATTAACAAGCAATATGAGACAAAACGCATATATATATATCCCTCCCTAGAATGCTCTACAGTACTGTATATGTGTAAGGTTACACACACGCATGCACATACCTCCAAATATGTACATACATACTGTACTTTTAGATCCATATCTACTTGTTTCATAAAGGATATATGCTTAACAAAATAACTTTCCCACCACTGAAAACCAAATTTGACCATTTTCTGTTTTCTGGCTGCTTCCATTCTGAATAAATAATATCCAACAATGAAAGTACCCAGAGCCAAAAAGGTTGGGAACCACTGGTTTAATCTTTAACAATACCTTGGATTTTAATGTGTGTTTTTATGTGTTTTCATGTAAAATCTTAACTAATCACTGTTAAGTAAATGTAGTACAATCTACAATACTTGCCCCTGAAATTTAGCGTAGAGTAGAAGTATAAAGTAGCATGAAAATACAAAATACAGGTACCTCAAAATCACACTTAAATACAGTACTTGAGTAAATGTGATAATGTATGTGCAGAGTTTGACTCTAGAAGGATGTTTTCACATTCATCTGCTGAAAGTGGAAAGTTTCTCTGTGCTCATTGAATATCAGATTTTAAGGGGCGGGGCCTACCAGCACGATATGTGACATCACAAATAGTCTGGAAGTCAGTGCTGGTCCAGTATGTAACTTGTACAGTATGATGTAGAAACTTGAAGCCACCAGTGCACATCCACTGAGAATGGACTTTACAGTGAAGTAGGAGACATCTTTAGAAATTTAGAAATTAACAAATTTTGCATATTCAAATATTCCGAAATCGTTAGCTAGCTAGTTAGCTGGCTAGTTACATCTGATTGCTAATGTTAGCAAATGGTTGTCTTCGTCAACATAGACGAGCCTAGCACATATATAGTACGGGAAAGGAGAAAACTGACAAGGTTCCAAGGAAGGGGTTAGGAAAGGTCAATTATGAATAGATGAAAGAAGGAGGTCACCTCTTGCAAAAGAAAATCTGATCACTGTGTTCATCCCTGTATGTGTTCTCTTTTCACACTCTTTGTTTGCATATGTCAGTATGTGTCTAGGGTTATAAGCATATATTCGCTTAAATCACTGTCTTCCTCTTTCCCTCCATGTCTCTCTGTCTGTCTGTGCCTGTCCATCTCTGTCTGACTCTGTGTGCGTCAGACCTGCGGGCCCAACTGACCGACCAGATCAAGATTTTAGACTCTCAGGTGGAGGTGAAACAGCAGCAGCTCTCAGACCTCTCTGAGTTTCTCCGGCGTCGAGGCGACATCGAGGCTGAATATGCGCGGGCCCTCGACAAACTCACCGAGAGGTTCACCCACAAGACTAAGAAGTGAGTGTGTATACAGTCTACAAGTGCACATGTGTCTTTTTTCTCAGGTGATTCTGAAGTGTTCCATTAGACCACATCTCAGTATGGATGCCTGTTCTTTCTCCAGGAAGGAGCAGTGGGGTCAGTCTGTGAGTCAGGTCTGGTCTGTTTTGCTGACTCAGACTCGTCTGGAGAGCCGGGAACACGCAGCACTGGGTGACACCTGCTGCAACACACTCACACAGCGGTTGACACACAGTACGGAGGATACACACCGCCTGCACAAGCGGGTGAGTGGATGTCACATCTGTGGTGCAACAGAAACACCAGACACATACAAGACTTACAGTGAAAGGTACAGTAGCTGTACGCAGGTAGTCGTCACGCAGCCCCCCCCGTGTGCAAATAATCCATTCAACCACAGATTCTTGTTTTTACATTACGATTATTTTGAATGTCATCTTCCTATCCTCCTAAGCTAATGTTGCTGATCATATTCAATGCTGAGATATGGGGACGTGGTAAAGCTGCTTGGTGCAGTTTAAAGCAGCATATTATCAGACTCTGAGAGTGAAAACAAAGGTCAATGTTGTTGAAAAACTGTTCATTGTAAATGGCAAGGAAATTTTGCAGCCTTATCTCCTAAATTTTGACTCGTCACAATGCTTAGTTGTACAAAATTGCCTGGAGTAAAATGGTATCATTAACAATAGAAACGATGGCCAAAACCATTCAAATAAGGTTGTAAGAAAATATAATTTTCTTCAATAAGTCTTTTACTGTCTTAATTAAAGCAGCTACAAGGAACTGTTTGTTTATGTAGGTCATCAGTATTAAATTGAGACTGTTTCGTAACCAATTAAAAACTCCTTGTAGTAGGTCTAAGTCTTGTATTTTTAAATCAAGTAGAGGTGATCTCACTTAATTGAAGGCATTTGCTGTAGTCTGTCAGTATCTGGAGCAAAGCAGGATAAGCAGATCAGTACACTAATATAAAGTTACACTAATAAACAACTGAAATCTCTCCACTCTGTCAGCTCTGTCTCTCCTGTAGGAAAAATAAGCCCAAGACTCAATGCATAAATTCACAAAGATGGTTTTATTTTTAAGTGCTGGCAGATTCATTTTGTAATATAGCACAACACTCAAATAAGTCCAGTTGTTTCCTGCCAGCCTTGAAAAGTGAACAGACTTTATAAGTTGACACACACTGGACAAAATGAAAGTCTTCTTATAAATGCCCCTTCATGTATTTGTCTTGGAACCGCAGTAGCATCTGCAGTCTCCTTCATTCATCAAGTACACACACTGATCTTGCCCAAATTACTGGTTGTCAGATACACTCTCTGTACCTTCTCATAGTTGAAAAGTGAGCAGAATTTTAATTAAGCTTCTACAGTCGTTTCAGAGCACCTAAGAGGTGTTGTTAGGCCTGACGCCAGGCAGAGCAAGACCCTTTTAGCTTCTCTAAAATCACTGCCAACACTATATTCAATCTGTTATTGCTGCCATCAATGTAGTTTTATGCACAAAATACCAAGTGATAATGACTAAATTAGAATAAACATGAAATATTAGTTTTTCCACCAAAACAACACAGTTGCAAAGTGATGAATTACTATTGTTTTGTAGTGTTATTTTTGTATTTATTTAGCAACTTTAATTTGAGTCCATTTTTAATTCAAGGAACAATTTGACATTTTGGGACTATTTGCTTTCTTGCTTAGAATTTGAACTACAATTGCAGTCTTATTTTCTCCCTGAGGTTGTCTGGCAACTACATAAATCTAGCACAAAACTCTACGTAAGACAATTTATTGTTTTGACATGGTTTGATTTGATCAATTAAACTAGATATAACAAAGTTAATTAGTGAACTTTAGAGATGTGGGAGGTGTATTTTTCAACTTTGGACAGACGAGGCCAGGCTAGCTGTTTCCCCCCACTTACAGTCTTTTTGCTAAGCTAAGCTAATTGCCTGGTGGCTCTAGCTTCATAGGTATTTAGCGTACAGACATGAGAGTGATATCGATTTTCACCTAACTCTCTGCAAGAAAGCAAAGAAGTGTATATTGCAAAATGTCAAACTATTGCTTTTAAATAAATCTTATGCCTTCAAAAACATAGATATAGAAATTTAGATTTGATGTGCAACTGTGAGGTCGCCATATTGGCATTGAGTTGCCTGAATTAATTGCTTTCTCATTTTTAAAACAAATCAAATCTCATGAAAATAGGGTCCAGAATTAAATGAGTTACTGTCGATTTTGTAGTGAAGTCTACATCTCTCAGTCTTGATAACTAGCTGATCTTGACCTCCGCAAATTGGTGGTCGCGCAGACATATAGCGCTGGCATATGGCAGCAGCCAATGATGTATCTCTGTTTCTATATCTATGTAGTGTAAGTGTCAAATGTTTCTATCTATGTTGTAAATCGCAGAGCAAAGAAGTTGGCATCCAGATGCAGGATGAGCTGCTAAAGGTCACCACTGAGCTGCAGACGGTGAGCATTTTCTGTTGTTGTCCTTGCATGCAATAAAAATAATGTAATACGCATTGACACTGGCAATGCTGACATGGAGTTTCCACTATGTGACATGTGTGTTAATGAAGGCTCTGAAGACATATAACCAGTACCACACGGACTGCCTGATAGCTGAGGGGAAACTGAAGGAAGCCGAGCGGTTGGAGGAGAGGCATACCGGCAAGTCAGCTGAGCTCGGCCTCGGCCAATCAGGAGGACAGAGGCGGAGTTCTGTCAAGAAGATGGAGAGATTGATGGAGAAAGTGAGTGTGTGTGTGAGAGAGAAAGAGAGAACAGGACACAGGAGGTAAAATTATCAAAAGCATTTCCTGTTTTTTGAGTGTGATTAGGTGTATAAACCTCCTTTGTGGTTTTGATTGAGATGAGGCATGTTACAGTCATCTTTTATCAGCACATGTGGCTTTTTGTTCTTGTGTTCATGTATGTTATCTTCTCTCACTTGTTTTGTTTGTGTGCACACACACACACACACACACACACAGAGGCATGGCAGAGTGCAGGAGACCCAGCTGAAGTGTACTAAGGCTCGTAATGACTACCTGCTAAATCTAGCAGCAGCCAATGCAGCCATGAACAAGTACTACCTGCAGGATGTCAGCACTCTCATCGACGTAAGAAACACGCAGTTTGTGTCATGTGATTTTTTACTGTTATTTTCTGAAGAAAGGCTTAAATATTATGCGGAGAAAGAATAGAATAGTTTAGGTTTCCTAAGAAAAAACTGCCTAAAATAAAAAAACCTTCTGTCTTATACACTTTCTTTACCCCACACCACCATCATCACATCATTTGTTTATTCTTTCTGCCCCTTTCTCCTCTTTTTTCCCCCTCTTCTCCATCATTGCCTTCCCACCTCATCATTTCCCATCTTTCTCTGTGTCATTCCTTCCATACCCATGTCCTTTCTCCCTCCCTGCTGGCAGTGCTGTGACCTGGGTTTCCATCTGTCCATGGAGAGGGTGATGAAGTGCTACCTGGCCAGTAGGTGGCGCATCCAGAAGACAGAGGAGACGGGGCTCAAGCAGCTGGAGGCTGCTGTGACGTCCCTGGACCAAGGCGGAGACCGAGATGCGTTGCTACAGCAACACGATGCTGCCTTCTGCCTTCCGTTCAGATTCAACTACCATCCACATGAGGGAGACCAGGTGAGATCACTGTACCTCTGGTGGAAGTGTATGGTTTCCATCGAAGCCCAAATCTTACTTTTTGTTAAATTCACAGGTATTGCACCCATTGTTTAATGGAAGACTCTTGGATATGCAACATAAATGCTATTTTGGTTTGTTACTTACCTACTGCATGGACCCATTTTGCAATTAACCAACTTGCAAAGTTAGCACTAATTATCCAGCTAGCTACAGTCTATAAAGTCTGCTAGCAGCTGTTGCTTTTGTCTATTTCTGTGTGAAATCAAAGACCCAGTGTTACTAAATTACTGTAATTACTAATAATTTCAAGTGTAAACCCTGACACTGGTAATATTGTCAACTGCATTAGTGTCCAGTGAAAGTTTGGCAGGCACTGCAGCAATAATTAAGCAGGGTGGGGCTTTCATCCAGCGTGCAGTCCAGTTAAAAGCTGACCCTGATGCCTCTACATTGTCCAGTTTAAATTTAGACCCTGTGGACTGTGATGGTTGGCCTTAATAGTTATATATGCAAAAATCCCTGCTATTAGATATTGTACTAGAGCACCAAGACCAAAACAGTTGGGCGCAACAGCCTATCAGACTCAATTGACGAAAATTTTACCTAGGAGATAATCATAAAACCCACTTCCAACTGGACAGAAACAAAATAAAACTCGCTTTTACCATCTTTGTTAGTCTTTTCCACTTTCCATGCGCCTGTCAAATAATTCCACTAAAAGTGCTTGTTTTTGCCACTGACTCAGATCGTTATTGTAAGTGTCTGACAACACTATGGAAATGATCCTTGCAGAGACAGACCTTATTGTTAAAGGGTAAGATTGTTTAACCAGAAATCGCTGTTATATTGCTTTCGCATGCCACCAGACAAAAAACAACAACACAAAATGCTCCTCAACTCATTAGTGTTTTTAAAGTCGATCAGAAATGAGGAATGAGGAAAAAAAGAATTTCCTCTGAAAGTATCACATACTTTTAAAGTATCCCACCCCTCCCCAACAAATACAACTTTTATTTGATTTCTCTCTCCAAACAACATCCCGCTGGTTTGCAGTTAATGCACCCTTGTAGTTTTATATATTCTATTTATTGTTTGTGTATTTCAGGTGTGTGAGGTGAGTGCGGAGAGCCAGGTGAGGTACGAGCTGGAGACCAGGTTCCAGCAGCTTCAGTCTCGACTCGCTGCCGTTACCTTGGAAACAGAGGAGGTCCGATAATTATTCTCACTACCTGCTTTCATAATGATCTGTTTATCTGTCTGTCCCCGTCCGTCCGTCCGTCACTCAATCAGTCACAAAATTAATTAACTGAATTAACAAATAAACATTTCTTCCCTTTCTCAGGTCAGTAAAACGCTTAAAGCCACACTCACAGCCCTGCTGGACACTATTTGTGACAGCGACTGTAACCCCTCCCCCGACGTGCCCAGCAGCCTATCACAAGAGCCCCCTGGAGGAAACACCGCCCTAAAACTTACCCTTGCCAAGCGTCGAGCCAATCAGCAGGAGACAGAGACCTACTATTTTACAGTAAGTTATTGCACTTATAGTATACCATATCTGCCAACAGTGATGGAAGAAGTACTTGTTGTACTTATAGTATTTATACATTTATGCATTCAAAATATTTCCTTTTTACGGGTTTCCACTGCCTCTTGTCGTCTGATTTCAAGGGGAATTTGACTGAATCCAAACTGGTGGCATTAAGTCTCACAACCCCTCAAGTAAAAGTAGAAAATATACAAAATATACATAAAATATATAAAGTACTCGAAAAGATTGAAAGAGAACACAGTTTCAGTACCTTCTGCTGTGCTGACACAGCTCTGTTGGCTGTCTTAGCTTCAACAATGATAAAGAGGAATGTCATTTTGTTGGCAGTGATGCACTCACCAATCAATTTGTTCACTGTTGACACATGCGTTAAATGTTTGGAGTGAGTAATGGCCTTTTGAAGGACAAATGAAATGTGAATTGCTGTATAAATTATCGTGATGATTGCATGTTCTGAGAATTGCCCCAGAGTTTCAGAAAGTGTGCTGAAGCAGTTGAAGGAAAACGTGCAACATTGAATTATTTTGGTTTATTTTTTTGTCTTAGAAAGTGAAGGAGTTCCTCACCAGCAGTTCTCTGACCTCCAAACTTCAAGCCAAACATGACCTTCTACATGATGCCATACAGAAAGGTACACTTATACTACAGTGGTAGATGTTGGGGAGGACAGTTTCTTCTAATGTTACTATTCCAATCTGTGAAGGACCAGTGTGGGTTGACAGGCTCAAGCCTCTGGCTTCAAGCAGAGATGAGGAGCAGGGTAGAGGTCTGATAAGCTCACCTCTTTTTAACGCCACACCCCCAGGTTGTTGTCCTTTTCAAACTTGTAGTCTTCAGACCCAACTGACGCTGACTTATAAAAATCACTCTAGGGTTTAGCAGACTTCACGCAGCTCCCTCGGGAGACACTAAAATACTTTTTAACACCTATGCAGTACTGCATCCCCCTCTCCATCCCCTAGTAGCAGAGAGAGCGCAGGGGTTTAGTTGAATATGTTAGTCTAGTCTGCCAGCCTCATTGATCCTTTATCTGACTGGGTTTGTGCAAGTTAGAATCCATGGCCCCGACCATGGCTCTGACATATCAGTAGCCTAACTGTGCTGTATTGATCAATCCATGGCTCGGTCTGTGCTGTAGAACTGGCAGATGGATTTGTAATTGCGCTTTTTCTTGCAGTCCCACCCAGTTCCGTGTTGGATCTATAATATTCTCTCAACTAAATAGTATAAATTCTCAGTTCTCTACTATACTGTAGGCTATATACTCTATAGGATAGTGTCCCCTTCATGATCAAAGTCGTGGAAGAGCTAAATGATCATAGAGACACACGCTACCTGTAATACTCCTTTAATTTTCCTATGATCATTCTGTAGCGTCTGTGCTGCTGAAAATACGCCCTGCTGAAGAGACCCATGGGGGTTAGTAACTCTACCCCTACCCTTAATGCTCCCAATGGGCCATCCACCCTGTTAAAAAATAATAAACTCTGTGTATGTGTAAAAGTGGTGTTCCCCTTTAATAATGCTGCACATTGTTTGCACCAGGAGCCTAAACCAAACCTTACTCTCTTGTTTTCTGTCTCTGTCTTCCAGCTGAGGCCGTCGACAGTGACCCTTCCAGGTAAACAGTGTATTTACACAGCCAAGAATAAAGAGAGTATGACTGAGAGAGGTACAGAGACATGGAGAGAGCAGAGAGGACAAGGAGAAGTGGAAAGAGATTAAACAAACTATGGACCAAAAAGCAACTTTGGGCAACTTTCTGTTATGTATAAAGAGGGGGGAGAGGGGGGAAGAGGTGGGGAGATACTAAAAGTGTAACTGATAATAGTGATTAGCAAACACTTTAGATCTTGAGTATTAACACCCACATGTAAAATTGTATTTATTATATTTCCCAGAATGCAATGTGCTCGGTCAGTGCGTGTTCGGAAGTCCAGACCTGTTTCCCAATTCTGCCACACACTCTTCACCACAGACATAGTCTCCTACATACAGGTAACACTCACACACACACATGCAAATACACATAAGAAAGCGTCCCTTTGAAATACACCCTTGTTTTTACCTCGTTTTTATTTGCTTGCTGCACTGCGCTGCACTGCTGTTCAACCCTCAGAGGGAAATTATTTAGAAAAGCCTGTCACACTGAAGCAGAAGAATCTTGCAGCACATGCACACACTGACAGTCCATCCCCCCAGTGTACTTACTGCTGCCTTCATGTGTATGGTCATGCTTATAGCTTATTGCTGGCTTTCTCTCCTTTCAATCCATTCCCCCCCTTTTATCTCTTCTTCTCTTGTGAAAGGGATTAAAATGCACTGGCCTCTTTGCTGCCTCCTCTCTCAACTCCTCTACTGAGTGTGTGTGTGTGTGTGTGTGTGTGTGTGTGTGTGTGTGTGTGTGTGTGTGTGTGCTTATGTGCGCCTCTTCCCACTGCTTCTAAATCTTTATTCCCCTTATTTCTTACCCTGCCTTCTTTTATAATCTGTGCTTTTTCTCTGTCTCTTCTCCTGCTGTGCTTGGCTTGGTGCAGAAGAAGAAGGAGAATGTCTCGGACACAGGTACCAAACGCCATCTGTGACTGCTTCTGTGCTGCATGCAGGCTGGTGGGCTGTTTACCACAGTGACCAGGGCCGTAGTGTACCACTGAGGACCCTGAGGTCATGTCTGTGGGTTTTTGTTTGGGAATTTGGGGAACATTTGTTCAACATATAAACTGTGACTGCTGTAAAAATGTTGATTTATAATAGAATTTTCAACCCCCAAAGTTATAGTAACCTTTCTGACATTCATCTCAATGTTGAATTTGAACAACTTTTGCTGTGTGAATTCATTTTCCTGTTAATAATCTCAAGGAGTAATTCATCATTTTGGCAAATACTCTTCTTTGTTTTCTTGCCCAGAGTTAGATGAGAAGATTGATACCACTCTCATTTCTATACGACAAATATGAAGCTACTGCTGGACAGATGCAAGACTGGTATCAATCTTCTCATCTCTTCCCCAAATTTCAAACAATTCTTTTAAAAATGCTGGGTGTTTTGTAGGATGATTATTATTGGACTTTTGAACGCAACAAAATATCTAAAGTAAAATAATAATAGATAATTCACTCTCTAGAATTTTACAAGAGTTTGTTTTACACATCCCTAAATTCCCTAAAAATCTTTCCTATAACAGAATACATATTTTGGAACTGATTACAAGTATAATATTGTTAAAAGTTCGTAGAGTTTAGTAGGTTGAGTTTATAAGCAGTTGTTACAGAAGAATTTCCTTCAGCAAACTCAAATGTGAATGTGAGTATTTTAGAAACACATTTTGGTGTCTGAGAGGATTTTGAGGGGGCTCAGTACCTCAGTATTTTCAAAAATCCCGGTAATCTACAGCTTGCATCAACCAGAACACACTAAAAAAGCACAGTCATTTTAGTCCTTAGCTCTTGAAACTCTCTTCCACTGTTTAATCACTGTTTTCCTTGCATTAGACCTGCCTTTACACATTTTTCTTCCTCTTATGGCTCTTATTTTCCATGTCTCTCTTTGCATCTCTAGCTGCTCTCTCCTTCTGTCTCTAACACTCTCATCTCATCTCTCCTCCTCTACTCATCTGTTTCCTCCAGAGCTCTGGACAGCAGATTCCTGTGGTGGTTGAAAGCTGCATCCGTTTCATAAACCTTCATGGTGAGTCAGTTTTTATGATATAGCAATGAGCAATCCTGAGAGAGCTTCAGACACTGAGAATGAGTAGGTGGAGGTGCTTGTTTGTGTATGTGTGTTCGCAATCCTGTTTGTGGAATATCAGGCATCTATGGACATGTGAATAATGAATAAATAAATGATGTGAATGTGTGTGTCTCCCAGGCCTCCACCATGAAGGGATATTCAGAGTTCCTGGAATGCAGAGGGAGGTTAACCTCATCAGAGATGCATTTGAGAGAGGTAAAGGAATTTCTGATATTGCATTGCGTTTTCCTCTGTCATTTTTAATCATTATTCTTAATAATGTTTCTGTTTTAGATGTTACACACAGGTATTTACACGTTTTAGCCTCTCTAACCTCTTAACTGTATGAATGTACACTTTTCAGAATTATAAGAGAAAGCTCACAAACTCATAATTCTATTAGCAAGGCCATATAAGGTTGGAAATATGCAAACCTCTGGCCTACTCTTGTAGCAAAAGCACCTTTAGCTTGGTTGTATCCTCCAAAGGACACAATTAGGGGATGGGAAGCCAGTGAGGGATCACGTCCCACCATTACAGATTTTTTGGATCTATCAGGCTCTTTAGCTTCTAAATGCTCCTCTATGTTCACCAACTAGCTGCTGCCTTTGTCCAGCTGCTCTTTGGTGCTGGTGTACAGTGGTGTACAGTGAGCAGCCAAAATCAGTGCTACTGTATGAGAGTGGTGATAGTTAACAAAACAATCAGCTGAAAGATGCTAACAAGCTCTGTGAGGGGAACTGCATAGTCTGTGATAAAGCTCTGTCACTATGAGTGCCACCATGGTCATTCAATCCATTGCTGACATAAAAATATTATTATAACCAATTTCATTACTAATAAGGAGTAATTAGTAGATTTAATTACCTTTTATTTCCTGTAATGGAGTTTATGGCTATGATGTCTACAGCTAAAATGCTAATCACAATGATAATTAACTAATATATATCACTCACAATAATTAGATTAAACATTTTGAGGAACACAATTTTACATGACTTATAAAAATAGACAGTAACGTCTCAGCCTTTTTTCTGCATGAAACATGTACATAAGCCTGTGTTGCTACATGGACACATTGATCTCACATGTCTTGTTTTACTCTCTAGGGGATGATCCTCTGTCAGACAGTGAGTGTGACCTGGACTCTGTGGCTGGTGTGTTGAAGCTCTACTTCAGGGGTCTTGAGCCTCCTCTCTTCCCTTATGACAGCTACTCTCAGCTGCTGGAGTGTGTCCGTAAGCTCCCTTTATCTAAACTCTACATACGTGTGTGTGTTTGTGTTTTCACATCGTGCAGGTTTCTCATGTCTGCTTTCAGTGACGTAGTTATTTATGTATACAATGGTTTCTAGAAGCTTGTTCTACCACAGTTTACCTGATTAACCCCCACATGCACAGTAGATCGAGAAGCCTTTTAGCAAATGAATAAACCTGCTATTTCTGATTTAGCTTTTGGCAGCTTGAGTAGTAGCCTTACTTCACTGCCACACACACAAAGTAACAAATAGATGTAGTGTTGATGCAAGGTGGTGCAATGTCTCCTCTCTCCTCTGGTGCGACTCACTGTCTTGTTTGCGCTCTGTTGTTATCTCTCTCACTGTCTCCTTGTTATTCCTTTAGGCGTATTCTGTTTTCCAAAACAGAAACTCTGAGTCAAACTTTGCACAGCTAATCAAGGTTGTGAACCTGCCTACAGGTTGTTTACTACCCATAAATACTTAGACCTTCCTGTCAGGGGCCGAATTAATCAACCCAGCCACCTCACCTAGTAGTGTCAAAACATTTCAGAATTTTGGGTGATTTGTGCATCTGACACAGTTTCTAACTGCTTCTTATAATAGTTTAATCTTTGCTTCAGCTCATCATGCTCCTTTTCTCTGTCATGATCAGAAATCGAGGGGGTGACGGAGAAAGCTGCCCAGATTAAAGCGATTGTCTCCACCTTCCCACGGCCACTCCTCATCGTGCTGCGTTACCTTTTCGCTTTCCTCAATCAGTAAGCTACAACATAACCCAGTGTGCGATTTTCTGTCACTTGTGATATCTGCTGTGGTCATAAAACTCCACACCCATGCCAAAGATAACAGTTCATTGTATGTGTGTGTGTGTGTGTGTGTGTGTGTGTGTGTGTGTGTCTGTTTCTGTGTCTGTGTGTGTGTGTGTGTGTGTGTGTTTTCCCAGCGTGTCTCAGTACAGTGATGAGAACATGATGCAGCCCTACAACTTGGCTGTTTGCTTCGGTCCGAGCCTGCTGAGGGGGTTGGATTCGGATGACGCTGTTGCTAGGCAGCCACAGGTCAATGATCTTGTCAAAACCATGATCCTCCAACATGACATCATCTTCCCCAGCCAATCAGAACTGCCGGGCCCTGTCTACGAGAAGCACATGACTCTGGAGCAGGAGTACTGGTGAGAGATGAGTAGTCTTTGATATAAATGTGGTATTAGTTGTAAAATGCTGTTAGCCTCCAAAAATATGGAGCGCTGGAGCAGTATAATTATAAGACAAATCAGAAATAATGGTGAATGGATCAATAATTAATATTTACAATTGTTACATAATGGAGAAAATGGAGAGTTGAACTAATCAGTTTAAATAATATAAATTACACTGTTAGTTACTAAGCATTTTAGCTGACAGGCCAACACGAACAATGTTAGCTAGCTAACACTATTATTAATATTTTAGTTTGTTTTATCAACTGATAGTGGCAAGGAAAAATAAAGCTTTTTGCTTTTTAACCAATTGAATGGAGGTTAAAGGAAGCTTTTCAATTATTGTACTGTACACTCCACTGTAATTATTTAACCATCAATTTTATTTATTGATCTATTTGGTAATATTTTGGACTTGTCTGATTACTTTTACTACATGGTGTCAGTTTCATGGCTCGGAACAAAAATGGTCTCATTTTTTTTCTTTGGTCAAATCTAGTTGAATGGTTGAATTCATCTAACTTGAAATGTGCCAAGAGGCTTCCATTACTTTTGTTTAAACATAATATAATTTTTTCTTTGAAAAACAATCTCCATTTATTTCTTTCCTTGGATGATTTGTAGTAAATGAGCATCTGGGCAACAGCCTCACATTCCTCCAGAGATTTGTTGGTCTTGTTGGAGTTTAAGACTCAGTCTGAGATGGTTCCAAGAACGCAGAGCAGCTTCCCCCTTAGCCCCTTTTTCATGGCTCATCCTCTTGAAACAGAATTACATGCCATGCCAGAGGCATTTCTGGGCAACTTGCAATGCTTTGTGTAAAAAGTGCTTAATACTATTAAGCTGATTGCTCACTAAAATTGAACACAAGCCTCCAGCCTATCGACAGTGTCCATGGAAACCTCAGACACCCGCTCTTTGGGAATTCAGTAAAACTGGCTGTTTTATCCATGAACATTTATGTAATGTACTTTTTGACATTTAACAGAGCATTATCATTTATTTGGTCCTTTCTTTTCTGAGGTTTTAGGGTCATTTGAGAAATCTCACAACAGTATGAAGTATGTGACGATGCAAAGACTAATACCTCTCAGACCTCATCACCAAGAGCAATCATAACTCCAGGATCCTGTTTAGCACCATACATATTTTATTATACTGTAGTTAATCTTTCTGCTTGCTCCACTACAAATTCCTCCCCAATCGGCTGTGAGTAGTTGAAAGACTTCTTTCTAAACAAAATTAACAACATTAGGTCAAATATTTCACACCTTATCAAAGATTTCTAACTGACCCTTGAGGACACTCCTGCTTTTAATAATTTCCACCCAGCCTCTTTACCCCTACTTGGACGCATAACAAATAACAATAACGAATTGCATTTCATGTAATTTCATTGTCATTTGAAGCAGCTGGTCCCAGAAGAATGATTATGTCTTTTAATAGTTCTCTGTCCACAGGTGCATTTAAGGATGCCATGTCCCACCCAGTTATTTCAAATAATTTCAGGCCTATTCCTTGTTTTTCTAAATCAGATTGTAACAGATTCTCCTTTTTAAACCAAAACAATATTTTTGAGAAATTCCAGTCAGTGTTCTGTGAACGCCACAGCACTGACCTCCTCTGTGCTACGGATGCCAGTAAATAATTCTTCTAGATCTCAGTGCAGTCTTTGACGCTGTCCACCACAGAATTCTCCTGGATTGCCTGACACACTGGGTCGGCATTTCTGTGTCCACCCTTGATTGGTTCCATTCTTACATTTCAAAGAACTGTTTCCATTGGCATCTCATCCTCCACACCTGCAAAAATTTCATGTGGGGTTCAGTTTTAGGTCCACTTCTTTTCTATCTTTACATGTTCCCATAGGGAAGAATCATCCAAAGTCATAACATCACTTTTCACTACTATGCAGATGATACTCCGCTCTACCTCCCCCTTAATTCCATAAAATCGGGCCGATGTAACTCGATCACAAAAGTGTCCAAGATATTAAAGACAGGTTGGCCCATAATTTCCCTAATTTAAATGTGGACAAGACAAAGATCCCACTTTTTAGTCCCCCAAATCATAGCACTGTTACAGCCTAGAACCTCAATCACCATTCTGCCTACATCAGACTACATGCAGTTTTTTATTTTTTTTTGGGGGGTTCCAACTTATTTTTTGTATTTTAATCTTGCTTTATTTCCACAACATCTGTTTTGCAGAAAAAACTTGAAACTCACGTGAAATTGCATAAGCGAAGTGAATAAGGGTACAAAGAAAGCCAGTGGTATGACAGTTGGTCTGTCTGTTATACAGAAGAGGAACTGTGCATGACCACTGACTTTCGTTTTTATGCTTGTCTGCAGTGAACCAATCACAGAGGAGGGAGATGGAGAGACTGAGCATTTGCCCAGTGAGGACGGTGAGTACATACAGGTTTCCATTAGACATAGGCGATGTATTACTCATTATACTTCACACGAATGTACCACAAACCAAACCACATTTACATTTTGAACAACCATTGTAAATTATGATTCATAAGCATACATGAATCATAAGGATTTTGGATAAGATTATTTAACAAAGTCTTTGCATGTGTGTACAGAGTGGGAGGCAGTGGCTATGTTCGACTATGTGGCGAGATCTCCAGCAGAGCTGTCCTTCAAGGTGGGAGATCTTCTCATCCTTCAAAGCAAGGCCTCCTGTGATTGGTGGAGAGGCGAAGTGGGAGGGGTTAAAGGTCTCATTCCTCACAAGTACATCACTGTGCTGGATGGGTGAGTGACATTTCTACTTCCGAACCATTCAGGCAACCATTTTCTAGATACTTGATGACAGAAATGGATCTTGGAAGCCTCTATTCCAGTTTGAGACAATAAATTTCATCTGAGTCTTGGCTCCTATAAGTTGATGTTTTTGTCTCCCAACTGAGTCAAATACTCTTTCTTTAGTGCCAGATTTCTTGAATACAATACAGGACAAATTAAACTGAAATAATTTTTTTCCCCCAAAGTGAGTGCCCTTGGGTGCTGTAAGGAGTGCCAAGATTTGTTTGCAAGTACAGTAGACTATGACAAGAATGACTTATAATATTGAACTTCCTTTTTCTGACCACACTGCCAGAGGCGTAGAGTTATTTATTTTAGGCACAGTATGGAAACAATGCTAAATCTATATTTATTTAAATAAGGACCAGTGTGTAGGATAAAATGGATATGAAAGCAGTAACCAAAATGATTCTTATTTTCATGTGATTATACACTAATGAAAACATACCTTTGAATATTATAATCAATTTCTGCCAATAGATCCTCCTAAACTAACTGGAACTTTAAAGGAATATGTCATGAATTTCTGAAATGCTTTCCTGCATTAAGTAAGGAAGACTTTATCATTCTCACATCTGCCCATTATATATGAAGCTAGAGCCATATGTTGGCTGGGAGCATGGCAAAACAGCTAGACTGGCTGTGTCCAAAGGTAAAAGAGAAGTGTAAATGTGATTTCAGAGCCCTATGGTTACGCCAAGACTCCCAACCTTTTAAACCCCCTTAAGAAAACAAACAGCAATCATGACATTTTTTACATTTAAAAAATCAACATTACATTCATTCAAAGTTTACACTTTGGCTATAAGTATTATTTCTGCCACGATATCTAATGTTTGCTGGTTTGAAGAAAATTCAGCTTGCCATCGCACGTGAACATAGAAATAGCAGCTATCAGAACAAGTGATGAAAATAGATTTAAAAAACTTGCATCTCAGCCCTCAGCACACTGCACACTGGGTCTGGGACAGACCTAGAGTCAGGTGCTATTAAAAAGAAATAAATAAATAATAAATAAATAATTACCTGTACTTGTGTGTATGGGTCTTTTTACTGCATATCTAATTCATACCGCCTTATACCACTTTATGCAGGTTGCATAAATAAGGGTACAACAAACAACAGAAAAAAAATTATAATATCTTACAATATAACACCACTAAAAGCCATGGCTTCAAAAATCTCCATAAATTTAAATGAACATTGACACAGGTTAAACAAAAATTGAGCATTGCAAGTTGCACAAAGGTGATATTTTTGTAGAAGACCACAATTTTGCATTATTTTGTCCACCCACTATATATTTCTGCCTCATTTTGTGAAAAGATTCCATGTAAAAAATCTGGTCACACGTACTCCAGTTTCTGCTCCATCCTACAATTATTTTGTCACTCAACCTTCATCTCATATTTAAACTTGTACTGGTTGTACTTTCTGTAGTGAAATATATACTTAATATATCTCTCTCTTCTTCTCCTCCCTCAGGTCAGAGCGAGGGAAAAGAGAAGAAGGAGGAGGAGGAGGCAGCACTGGAAACCTGACAGCAGAAGATCCACAGACGGAGAACACAACTCGGTACACACGCACAGACACGCACACACCCACATATTTGAATGCACAACAGATGTAGCAATAGATGTAGACAGCAAAATACACACCCAGACAGAAATTCTAATTTTCACATTATTGTGCATGAATGCACACAACATACAGTTGAAAAGTTTCCGTGCACGTCTCGACAGGATGCGGGTGAACAGCGACAGTGCTTCGTTGCCTGGGAGACAGAGAGGAAGTGAGGGGAGCCCCAGCCGAAAACCACCAACCTCTCCCGCCACACGACATCTACCAGTGTAAGACTGACACACACCTCGGACACAGTGTTTTCTGTATGCATGTAATTTCATTTTCATCACTCAAATACAGTACAAAGAGGTTTATAACCTCTTGAGATAAAGGTGATAAATATTGTTCATGCAGAAACATTAAGGGAAATAACACAACATTACCATTGGCATTTATATTAACAATGGATCATATGACTGTGTATGTGAAATGAATGACAAACACACACACAATTATCACCTGACTCTGCTGTTTGAGCTCTGTGTAGTTGTTTAGTGTCTTTCAGCTCATTGTTTTCTTTATTTATGGCTTGCAACTTTCCTGTTTTGGTTCACTCTCACCGCTCTCATCTGTGTTATTTTTGCTCGACAAAGCAAACTACTACCAAACTACGCTAGGAGACATAGTAATAACACCATTAATAATCATGTTTAATTAGGAAACTAGTTTAAAAACACGCAAAAAGGACAACCATTTATTTCTCACTAAAAATAAGTGCTGGTAATAACTGGGCACAAGAAAATATATAGTATTTATACAACTATTTTAATTTTAAGTTGTGAAATGTCTTTATAAAAACTGTTTACATTCTGCAACTGTTTCATGCATTGTGATTCCTTTATATTTTGTGGGGCTAAGAAAATCCTATAGTAAGTAAAGCCTTCCATGATGGCAATGAAATGTTTTTATATGTCCTCCCAGCAGTAGAATAAGCCACTATAAACCTATTTAAAAGCTCTGTCATGCAAAAATAATTCCACCCAGCACTACCCATACGCTACATAGTAAAGTTTAGTTTAGCAGCGAAAGAGCCGGATACAGTAATTCCCTCAGGAGTTGGTGGAGATCAAAAACAGAGCTAAAAGATGATTGAATATTGGACATTGCATGGACAGAACCACAAGGCAACGGTTTGCTAGGAAATTCCTCATATCAACTTACTTAGCTGTAAGTTATTAATATGTCAGTGTTCAGAGTTTGTTTGCGCAAGAAATGATTTATTGGGCGCCTGGATAGCTCACCTGGTAGAGGTGGCGCCCCATGTACCAAGACCGAGTCCTTGCTGCAGCTATGGGTTCGACTCCGACCTGTGGGCATTTCCTGTGTGTCATCCCCTCTCTTTCTCCCCTTTCCTGTCACTCTTCAGCTGTCACTATCAATCAAAGGCAAATATTTTGAAATGAAATCATGTTAATCTTAATCACCTACCAGGCAATGAAAGGACAGTCCTGCACAGAGCATCAACATAGAGGACTGAAGGATGGCAGTGGTGGTATTGGCATGTGCCAATTTAGCTGTGAAAGAGAAATAATTACAGTAAAGGGATCTCATGTTTGACTGAAATTTGGACAGTTACCATCTGATATTAATTATAGTGTGGGAAGATGAGAGAAGCTTTTCTTGCCAAAACATGAAAGGAGGTTCAGATGAGATTTGGCATTCAGAAATCAGCATCTATCTTTATCTTTCAGTTCAGTTTTGTCTTACCTTTGTTTGTCTTTCAGGTCTCAGGAGCGAAGGCACACTTTGGACACTGTGAGACAGGGCGGCTTTAGACCCCCAGACAAACCTCCATTTGTTCAGCCAGAGAGAACAGCAGTTGACAAGGTTAGTCATTCTTGAGAGATGGTAATGACGTAGGCCTGCTTACTTGGGTTTGGCAATGCGTTAAAATTTTACAACCGGCCACCATCAGCCCAACAACCCACAACTTCCTGGCTCTACACAGTCACTGTCTCTCGAATGCCTGAACTCCTGCATGACGCCGTTCCTGTCACCGCCTTAACTCGCTAAACATGTCTTTGTTGAGTCCTGGTCAGAGACAAAGAAAATCACCTCGATACGGTATTCCCTGTGGTCAAACTGGTTCAAAATAAATTTTTGTCATATTTGCTGAAACTTTCACTATATCCTTACAGTAGTACATGGGACAGATCATCTGTGAAACAATCAGGTTCCTCTGGCTCCTCCTAGTGCTCCTAATGGCTCCAACGGGCCTGAATGAAAACATCCAATCAGAGTAGAGAAAAATAGAAAGACGCTTTTGGTTGGTGGCTTGAAGATAAGTGATTGTTGAGTCTCATTCCTAGCAACGGTATTTGATGACCTGGGAATGAGCTTCAATAATCAACTATCTTTCTTGGCTCTGATTGGTTGTTTTCGTTCAGGCCTGGTGAATTCTTGTAAATGCAATTAGGAGCACTAGGAGGAGCCAGACACGCTGAAGAACATTTAGGCTCTATTCAAAAAAGCAGATTGAATACATTTTCTATATAACTCACTTACATAACTAAATATAACCCAGAATATGGATTCGTGCAAAAAGTACTAACTGCTTCGTGGAACATGGTTCAGATTTGGTGTTTAGATATCAGCTTATAAGCTATTGGTAGTATCTGATTGGCTAATGCTGAACCTGTTGTAGTACGTTTCATTTGCACACAACCAGCAGCTCATCTTAACCTTGCTTGTTAAGCTGCTTTTCTGAATAAACCTGCATGCTATATATCTAGCTAACTTTCCCAGAAATCAGTTCTGGTTTGTTGCGCTGACACCGCTGAAGCTACATCCTGCAGTGTTTTGGTGTCAAGGCCCAAAGATAAGACACTTATGATACAATAACGTCAGTTTGAAAGGAAATCCCCTTTCCACTGAAAGCAGCTTAGCTAACTTTGTAACACAAAGACCTTGCCTCTGCAGAAATCTCTCTTCTCTCCCATTTGTATTTCTGTTGCTACAAAACTCACACACAAAAGAAATTCATGTGCATTTGGATACATATTAAAAGGTCCAGTGTGTAACATTTAGGATACTGGCGCAGAACCAACCCAAATATGGGCCCATATGCATTTCTGTGCGTGTTTCGCTGCAACCGTAGTTTCACCCTCAGGGTTGGAAAGGGAGGGTGAAACCAGGGACTACACCATTAGATGCCACTAAATCCTACACACTGGACAGCAGGGTTCCTCTCCTGTTTATGGTAAACCCTGAGGGCCTTTGGGCTGGGCTCAGACATGAGCACAGGACTTTTGACAGATGACAAAAAAGTTCCAGCTAGAACACCACAACAGTAGACACAGGCTGAGGCGTACGCGGGGCACCTGACACAAGAATTGTACAAGACTGTTGAGGAAGTGTAAAAGGTTGAGACACTCAGCTGACACACACTGGATGTATTACAGCAGGGATACTCATCTTGCTTTTCCCGGGGCTACTTTTGCAAAATGACAGGGGCCAGTGGCCAGCTAATAAACAAATATTAGACTTATCAGAACATTAAAAGGCCCATAACTCATCTTTCTTAGAAATTCTTTATTTTCAAATTAACTAATTAACTAAATTAACTTGGTACAAGGATTGACATTAGGCCTATATAACAGATAAATCGGATATTTTACTGCATATAATATCTGCGACTGCATGTGAATGCTTACATATACATAGCTGGAACCTCTTCCATCATGCAATCACTCAAACGTTGGAATGATTCATAAACATAAACCATTTTTAAAATTGCTTTTAATGTTTAGCTTAGTCTGATGTGTTCTTATTGTTTTACTATTTGATGTTGTTTTGCTGCTTTTATGTTTTTATGTAAAGTGTCTTTGAGTATTTAGAAAGCGCTTATAAATAAAATGTATTATAAACTGCTATTTCCAGGGACAGAATAGCATATTTAAGCTCCTTTAGTGTGTGTGGCTAATATACTTTTGCAAGTAACAGCCAATTGAGGATTTACTAATGACAAGAAAACCTCCAGTGTAAATCTATTTATTTTCATTGATTCCGCCTGTGGGCCGCAAGTTGTGTATCACTGTTGTACAGTATTTTTCAGTTACTGTGGCTCAGTTTTCACAACTGAGTTTCAATTTTGCAAAAGTCTGAACATAGAATGTTCAGACTCTTACAAAAGGAACTTATCTTTAGGTGATGAGGTAATACATAACGCAGCATGTTTATCAGAGTTTATTGTGTTTATTAATAAATCAATGTTGCGTTTTATAGTAAAATTATCATTATCAAATAATGTTGTCAAACAAACCAAATAATACAAATATTAACTTTATCTATATAGCACCTTTTAAGTGTTTCCAGGAAAAAAAGAAACATACCTACAAATAAAAGCAATGAGCTCCCAAACTTAAGACACAAACAAGATAAGCTCATTTAATAGATAGATAGGCTTTAGAAGGGATTTAAAAGAGGACACTGGGTTTGCCTATCAGAGATCACTACAGTCTACAGTGGTCATTTCCTTTGTGGTAATGCAATTTAAAGGTCCAGTGTGTAACATTTAGGAGGATCTATTGGGAGAAATAGAATATATTATTCATACATTTTAATTCTAAAAGTAAGAATTGTTATGTTTTTTGTGACTTTAGAATAAGCCTTGCTCTGGATGGGGCCGTTTTTCTCACATTCGCAGCCACCATAGTTTCTTCTTCTTGTTTGGAAGGGGAAGGTGAAGCGAGGCGAGTTGCAATCTGCAACCTCATCGATAGATGCCATTAAATCCTACACACTGGACTTTTAAGTAGGAGTCAATGTTTGAGTAAGAAGGACATTTGAAAACTTTAAGTTTGTTTATTGTAAATGCTGTCTGACTGTAAGTACAGATGATGGTGTCTGACGTTACCCTGCAGTAAATCCTACATTCATGCAAGACAAAATGAAACTGCCTCAGTTTACTGTTTTTATTCATACCTTGGATGTTTAGTTTAATCATTGAAAATGGGATAAGCTATAGTAATACTGTATTGTGATGCTGGAAAGCATGTAACATGAAACCGCAATTTGAAACAGACACATTCTAATAGTAATGGGAAAGAAAGAAATGATTTTTGCCATCACCGCTTTACATTTGAACTGCAATGCTGCTCAGCAGGGTAAAGGTGTTAAAGTTTTGTAGACACACGCTGCATTCATTCAGTGATCTCTACGAGTAGTAAAGGGCACTGAAACTTGAGCTAACATGAGGTCTGTGTATTCTGAGGACTGTGACTAACACATCATGGGTTTTACTATTTGTGCGCAAGGACAGCATTTGGTGTTTAAAGGTAAAAGTCAGCTCGGCTCTTTGCTTTCAGAGTTTTGCTTAAAACTTGAATACCTGTAGATAATTAATTTATTCCTGAACACACCTTGACACCAGGCCAGGATTAACCATTCATGGACGTCATGTACTTTTAATATGATAAGGCCTGTCACAGTGCAAGAAGAAATTAGATTCATAATCTGGCCACAGTCACCTGATATCAGTCTTATGAATCACCTTCTGGATGAACTGAGTGCAGCATTAATGCAGCATCTTGTGCAGTTCTGCAGAGGTGTCATCAGGCTTTACTGAACGAGGGCTACATTTTCATTAACCTTTCATGTCTCTGTCTCCCTCCCTCGCTTCTCCTCCTCTTGCTCTCTCAGGAGATGATCAGCCGTCAGATGAACTCGGTGTTCAAGGAGCTCCTGTCTCGCCAGCCTCCCGTGCAGCAGTCCACCCTCGCCAACCCTGCCGCTCCTGCTCCCTCTTCCTCCTCCTCTTCCTCCTCCTCCTCCTCTTCCTCTGTTCCTCAAGCTGCCCCCGCTGCCAAAAAAGTAGGATTCGGGCTCAGAGGACGGGCCCTTTTCAGACCGTTGGACTGAGAGAGAGCAGAGGATGACTGGAATTACTGATTTATTATTTGACGATGATGATTATGGTGATGCTGATGATACATTTGGTGAAGATCTTGATTTATTTTTTTGACACGTGTATAATATTTGCGTCTCTGCCATCTCATAGTGCCATTAGTCCCGGTGCCGTGTTACTGTACGTCCAGTGTGTCTGTTTTCCAGCTGGTTTTTGGTCTTTTTATGTTCTGGTCTGTTTTTGTTCTCCAGGCTTTTGCAGTTTTTGGAGAATCAGGGATGTGACATCGCCAGTGATATCACCAGACTGACTTTTTAAAGTGGTTGCCATGATACAACAACAAAAGACTTAAGCTGCCCCCTAGTGGCTCACCCTTATAATGTTTGCTTTATTTTAAAAAAGAAAAAATACTCTTGACTCTTCACATTTACTTCACTTGAAAAATATCAGATTTCAGTTTGAACAGCATAATATGTTTTTTAAAAAATCATGTGATCTGGGAGGGTGTTTATGGAACCCCAAAGTGTTCAATATACAATAATGAAATTATGAAATCAATAATCATACAGATGAACTGAAGGAAATCAACCAACATTTAAGGAAATAATTCAAGACATTTTTAAAAATCAACTCATTACTTTGAAATGTTATTTCACAAAAAAGACATTTACAAAGACATTTTTCCTGATTACATTTCATGATGTCACTTCATGCCAACGCGGCTGTCACCACCATCTCCCCTTTGAGCCAGTCACTTACCCCCTCCCCTGCATTTTAAGCTAGCAAAATCAGCAACTGCTATAGATTAGCCAGTTGACTCATTTTAGCTAGAGCAGCAACAGTGTCGATGTTATCCTGAATAAACCAAGCTCCCTCACACACGGAGAAAACATGGACAATGTGGACAATGAGACACTAATAATTAATAAATTACATAAAATAATATTCCTAAAATAATTGTATTTAATGTATCTATCTATGTGAATGTAGCATTAGCCTAACCAGGCTGCTCATGCTACTGACATAAAAGGTTGTTTGAACTATTATTCAGCATCAAGTGAAAAGTGTTAGCACTGTTAGCTATACGGCTAGCTTGTGTTGGCTTGAGTGACAACAGAGAAAGTCATTTTGTTCGCCACAGAGTTGTGTCACAGAATCAAAATGTGGCCGAAGTCATTTTGAATTAATGAGCTAACGTTAATGTTGTCTCTTTGTCTCTATGCTGAGTAACAAACAAAGCTAAAGGAAGTAACAGAAGAATCTTCTGGGTTTATTTACAGTAGCAGCTACGTGGTTGATTCAGAATTACTTTGACATTGCGTTAGCTATCAGGAGCTAACTGTGTTAGCAGTGTTCAGGGGGGTTGTGAAAGGTGAGAGGGCAGTGGCATTATAACATAAAATATTTCCTACAGTATGTGATGAAAACAGCGATATCGTTTCATTGATATCAAGGGGCATCTGACTGAATCCGACACAGTGTTAGGCATTAAGAATAATTCCATTGAAATAGCCAATCTTCTCGCTCATGGTTTGGTTTATGTGGGTCATATAGAGGCATCAGTATTAAAATTAGACTGTTTCATAACCAGTAACCAACTCCTTGTAGAACATTTAATATTGAACATTTTGGGGCTCCACAGATGTTATCTTGGAGAACTGTTAACAGTGAAGTCAGTACTTTATAGCAGCATGCAGCGCACACACACAAGGATGGAAAACACATTCCCCTTCATATGTGATACATGGCCTGATACACGGGCCAAAACTCAGGGCTTTTGCAGAGTTAGAGACGGGCTAACTCAGGTTTGGCTTCGAAGGAATAAGTAAGAGTTTCTCACTCAGGGCTTTGGTTCAACTGGAAACTGTGCCCTAGCCTCAAGAGCCAAAATGGCCCCCATAAGAGAGAAATTCCTCTGATTTAAACTGTGAATGCAACGGCGACATTTTGGAGCCGCGATCGAAACTCTTGTCTCATTCATCCACACATTTTGGCCCCCCGACTATATCCAGCACCATCCACAGGTCCCATTCAAATGTGCGTTTCAGGATTTTTGCAGTGTACAATTACTTTGACTCCAAAAGCATTTGAAATGTTTTTTACGTTTTCCCCTCTGTTGTGTTTCAGTATTGGAAACATAGAAGTAGAATCCTTTTTTCAAGCTGATTCTGCTTCTATGATTGAAACGCCCTGTTGTTCTGGATCACTGTTTGATGATGTCACTAAATTTACTGTGTCCAATTGTATATGTGGTAAAAAAAATATGAATACAATAAAGATGACAAAGTGGTGAATGATTAATGGGTTGTCAGTGTATTTGAACTTCTCTGGGGTATGCTGCCACATATTTACTCCAAACCTTTCCAGCTCCTAAAACTGTAATTTCAAAACACTATTCAGTCATCGCTGTGGCCCTGACCTGTCCGGAGCACCAAAATAGGCAATAAATAGTAGGAACAGCACAGTCAGATTCACTCAACCTAAAGCATACCTACCAACTAAACAATGTACCCAAAAATTTAATCTAATCTGAGGAATAAATCAGAATATAAGAAAATAAATATACAAACAGCCTGCATCCTCAGACTGAGAATATTTTAGCTATGATCTAAATATCACATTTTGTTTATTGATATGATTGTAGTGTATTAACAAACTCCGACAACACTGTAAAGCGATACGTTATTTTAACTAAAAAAAATTGTTGAAACCGATTACATCATTTTTAAGTAACATAAACTCAACTTTTTTTAGTTAGATTAGATTCTTGATTAAGCAGCTTTTAGGTACTTTTTAAATTACAAATTAAGTCATTGTCCCTTAAGATTACTAAAGTAACATGATCAAGAATGTTTTTAGTTAGTTTTACTTAAAATGTTCACTGTAATCAGTTACAACAATTTTTTTAGTTAAATTATTTTATCTGGTTTTACAGTGACAAATTTTAATCAAGAGATCATTTCACACAAAGAAGTTGGTGAACTGGAACTTCTGATAGAAAATGAAAATTAAGCGAAACAGAATAGATATTTCCAGCTTTAGCAAAAATAGGAAAACGCTGAAGATTGTAGGAGGAAGACATGGAGCTGAGTGGATGGATAATAACTAAATGTGAGGGATGAAGAGCTGGGTGAGAAAGATGAGACAGGGAACATACCACATGTCTCAGTAAAATAACAAGCTTTTAGTTGTTGGGTTTTTCCCGCAGTGTATATGCTCAAGTAGGGACCCTCACCCACTGCCTCCCATACCAACCCTGCCATCACATAGAAAAATGTATAGATCTGCCACCGCTGTTCTAACTCATCACTTGGTGCGATAAAGTATCCACTGGAAGGAATTATATTATTGGCGTGAATGTTTGTGTGTTTCATTGTTTCAGTTTCTGTGTTACGACGGCACCCAAGTGTTGTAACAAGATCTTTTAGACCCATCCGCTCCTCCTCCTAAAATAACCCCTTGCCACAGCCACCCAACACGCACACACACACACACACACACACACACACACACACACACACACACACACACACACACACACACACACACACCACACACAAGGAATAAGAGGCACTGTACCACATTAGCACTTCTGCTGCTCTAAGTCAGTGTCAAGCTCTCTAGGTGTCTGTATGAGTTCTCATTTGCCAAATCAGCTCTGAGGGACATTGTGATTAAGAGGCTGAACTGATCTCATTGACATTTTAGATTAGCACTCTCTGCAGGGCTCCCCTGCCCCGTCTCTCTGCAAGCGTCTCTGTCACTGATACAGGATTAAGATAGCACTTTAAGTAAGGTAAGTCAGACATGATTCATCATTTCTACTGTTAGTTTGCCCGTTGTGGACCTGCAGCGATGGCTTCTAACCAAGGACATGAGTTATCACCTCACAGCACCTGTTTCATATATATATTATATATATGTATATATATGTTATATTTAATATATGAAAGCTGATTTAAAGTTTCTTAATCAAAGCCTTTTAATGATTTTGATGAAAGAATGCTGATATGGGATGATTATACTATGTGTGTTTCATTTTATAAATGTCCCAGCGGCTATTTACAGATTTTGGTATGACTTCCTTTTTGGGGGCTAAAGAACAGGTGGCAGTGCCAGTGCAGCTCGCTGTTACACTCTACATGCCTGCAATCTGCTGCAGGAGTGTATTTGTGTGTGTGTGTGTGTGTGTGTGTGTGTGTGTGTGTGTGTGTGCATTGGTTTACAGTATAAATGTGTGCACGTCAGGAGAGGGCCAATGCAGGTAACCCCATGTGTTTGATTGTGTTCATCTGTCTTGATACATGTGAAAACAAGCACGTTGCTCTTCCCCCAGTGAGGATGATGATGGTGAGCGACGACTGTCTGGTGGAGTGTGAGATCGATGACAGTGATGAGGACGAGGGAGAACAGAGAAACACTCCTCCACCTCCTCCTCCTCCAGAGTTTGCATCCAAAGCCCCGACTCCAGCGCCCAAACCTCCGACCCCTCCCTCAACCCCTGCTACGCCAACACCCACCCCCACCCTCAGCCCCACCCCCACCTATCCTGTCAACAGGGACCCTTATGGCATCAACCAGCACCTAAAGGTTCCTTTTCTCATTTCCTCCTTTTTAGAGTTTTAACTTCCATCATCTGTCATTGATAAAACTAAATTCTGCAGCTGTATTTACGGTCTTTTTATCATTCTGTCCCTCCTATTGTTTTTGATATTTGGGCCCAGTATGTTATCCATAATAAACACCTCTCCACTTAATGGTTACATCCTCCTTGGAGACCCAAAGAGTTATAATCATCCAATATTTCATATTTATCTTGTGACTCACTGGCAGGGCCTGACCCTTAGATTGGGAACCACTGAACTAAACTACCCTAAACTGTAAATAAAGTAATTAAAAGTTGTTCCACTTCGACCTGCTTCAACAGTGTGATGCTGCTTACACACTGCTTATATTTAATTATGCTTTCATCTCTTCACGTCTATACAGTAACTGTCTTTGTGTGGGAGTCAGTCAGTCTCACCTGAAGTTATAAAGCACGTCAGTCTTTTATTTAAGATGTTCTATATGTTCCCTGGCCTGTAGGTGGAGGTTAGTGACGTACTGGCGGAGCCCGCCACACCTCGTAGCATAGACCAAGTGTGGCTTTACAGTGTTGTTGGCTTCGAGAGGGCTCGTATCTGGACGTACCGCTGCCTCTCCTTGCTGTTTGCTGTGCCCTTCGCTCTCCTGTGTGGTATTTTCCTGGCCATTCTTGCCTGTCTACATGTCTGGTATGTTGGTGCAATAAAAATGCTCGCACATGTAGGCATTTACATCAGTGTCATGTTCACTCACTCACAGTGAAAAAACACTATAGTACAGAGGCTCTACACCAGTGGGTCCCAGTGTTTTTGGTTTTGACTCCTAACGTTAAGCAAAGTCTTCTTGTAATTACATATATCTATAGGTATATAGGTAGTACTTGTAGGAGTATGCCTGCAATCAATGATCATGTTCATTCTCAGTTAATATGACCAATAAGTTGCAAATGCACTTATTTGTACAATGTGACAATGTGACATCTTTCATAATGTAGCTTTGTTTGAACAGCAGTTCTACACCTAAAGATATTCAGTTTACAGAGACATGGACGTAAACATAAGAAAATGATTGATCAGTGATAAAAAATGTTGATGAATAATTTTCTCTTGATTAAACAATTGATTAATTAATAATTGTTTCAGCTTTATAGGGCCTGAAAAGGTAAAATCCTAAATTCACAAGAAAAAAAGAGACATTGGGGGAAAGTTGTGAACTATTGTTTAACCCTTTGGTTCAAGACCCCAAAAGGGATAACAGCGTAATTTTAGTGGGTTAAAAAGAGGATACACTTTAATATAAAGATATCATGCTTGCAATGAACCAAAATAAGATTTCTGCTTACTTACTACTTGTTGGGCTCAGACGCTGTGCTCTTCAGGAGGAAACTTCAAAGCATCTTGTCCAACCCTAATCAGGGATGTCACAGCAGGTATGTGACCGAACCACCTGCTGTGATTGGAGTTCTCTTCTCATCAAATATCTCCTGGTGTTGAACATAAGGGAGGCATCGTTCAGCATACAAAATTATCTTTTTTATGTTGTCGTTAAATCCCTACCAAAGTCAGATAGGGGGGTCTTTTTTATCACCTTGAGGTTGCCAGGCCACCAGCAGAAACTCCAGGGAGTCACTGAGCCCAGAAGATTGTGCCACCTGACCCCCAAGCCACAATGTGTTGTTTTTACACTTCGGTTTTTATATGGCTTAAACAAACAAGACATCGTGTGTTTATTTATGAGCTTTAGAGGTGCTGGTAGATGGCTTTTTTTAAAACCTTTTTTACCTCAGGCTGGCCATTTCCCCCTGTTTCAAGTCTTTTCACTAAGCTAAGCTTGTCACGCTGGAGAGGTGAAATAGCCCAAGGCTTCTTTCAGTGATTACAACTGAAACAAACATCAAGAACATTTGAAATATATTTTTGTGTCATGGGTTACCATTCTGCATGCTGCATGCATTAAAGAGGCATTGCCTTGTTTGTGACCTAAAACAGGTAGAAAGCTCATACCCACTTAACTCAAACTTCTGAAACAGCATACCACACAAGTTCCTACTCCTACCTGACCCTAGGGCTGCAGTTTGATTCACACTGCCAAAGGTTTACAGAATGACATCTTCTTTCTCACAATGTAAATCTTTTCAGAGTCTTCTCTCCTCTGTCTGTCATGACACACAGAGAGCGATTTTAGACACAATCATTGAATTAACGCTCTCTCCCTCTCTTATTCCAGGTTTGTGGTGCCTTGCATACAGCTGAGCAACACCTTCCTTCCATGCCTGCGGTCCTTGTGTATGTGTGCTGTGAATGTTTTCATCTCTCCCTTCTGCACGTCTCTCGCTCTCTGCTGCAGTCAAATAGCCATTTCACTGTCGAACAAGGACTGGCATCCAATGAGAGAGAAAGAGGCCGTATGAATGTGAGAAATATCGAGTGATACTGAGTGACCGAGTGAATGACTGAGTGTGAGAAAGAGTGAGAGAATTTTGGTTAAATTTGCTTGCATCTTTTTGAGGTTTTTGATTGGCACAGTTCTACAGCTTAATGTTAATGCTATTTGATATATTTTCTACACGTAAAGCCAATTCATACAAATTATTATTATTATTATTATTATTATTATTATTATTATTATTGTCATTATTGCAGTTTATTTTACACTGACTTCAGATGTAATTCTGAGAAAATGTTATCAAGTTATCAATAAAATAAATGTCCTTAAATAAGTTCTTTAAGCATTTGTTTTGTTTTGTTTTGTTTTGTTTTACCAAATAGACTATGTGAATGTCTTTTGCACCCACAGATCAGTCTGGAATAACTTTGAATCAATCAATCAGTAAATACTAGCTAGCAGTCATTTTCCAGAAATTGGAAACGTACAATTCTTCTTCAAAGTAATTTATCAAGCAAAAAAATTCATTCAAATTCATTTGCTGCTTCCAACTTTATCGGTTTGCTACTTTTCTTGACCAAGAGTGATCAATTAATTGCAAAAAGAATGTATTAATTCATCCATTAATCAATCATCAATGACGAAATTAGTATTTACCAACCTTAATAAATTATGTGTTTCTTTCTGATGTATACTGCATTGTTGATTTGAGTTGTTGAAATTTCGCATCAATATACTGTAATGTGTCGTTCGGTCGTAATTCCGAGGTTTTCTGGGCAACGTGAAGGCAACATAGACACCACACTGCCCAGCATGCACCTCGTCACCGCCGCCATTTTTCTTGTTGTGGTGCGCTGGTACTGGGAGGTCTTCCTTCACACTTCTGGAAATATCTGTGTTTTACTTTAGAATTGAACTTTTTCTTTCTGTTATTTGAGCCTTAAATTCCGTACAAGCAAGCGTCGAAAACAAAGACAGCAACATGGCGCAGTACAAAGGAGCTGCCAGCGAGGCCGGGAGAGCCATGCAGCTGATGAAAAAACGAGAAAAAGAAAGAGAACAGCTCGAGCAACTTAAGCAGAAGATTGCAGAGGTTTGTAACTTTTTACCCTGTTTTATAACGGGTGTATCAGTCGTGTGGTATTACTGCGAGCTGATTCAGCCCTATGTCTAATGTCAAAAAAGCATTAGCCGTTAGAGTGTGTAACGTGAGAGCTCCGATGGACAGCGACCTGCAGGGTCAGTGAAGGGGTCACCGTTATATTTGATCCAGCATACATCCAATTTTACAGTGAGCGAACTATAGCATGACTTTTAAAGGAGTTTACTTGTTTGTTGCTCTAGTTGCAAAGAAACATTCATAGCTGCAACCATGTAGGGCTAATTGCTTTATGTCAGTTATAGACATACACACATCAATAATGGCCTAAGTCTACACATAATCCATGATAACAAAGATACAGAAACATGAAATAGCATATTGTCTGTATTTAAGTATTAGTATATGTAGTCAGAGACATGAACAAATCGTGTCTTTATGTCTTAAGAGAAGTTAATGATAATTACAGAATGTCAACCTTGTGAAACAAAGCCTATAACACTCATTTTACAGTACAGTCTTCTATGAGCACACTGCCAATCAAAATGCAATAAATGGTTAAATAACCTAACACACCTGCATGTCTGGTCCCTTCTGTGTGTGTGTGTGTGTGTGTGTGTGTGTGTGTGTGTGTGTGTGTGTGTGTGTGTGTGTCTGTTTCCTCTGCAGGACAACATGGTCAAATCCAACATTGATAAGAAATTCTCAGCTCACTATGATGCAGTAGAGGCAGAGCTGAAGTCCAGCACGGTTGGTGAGTATCTTTGTTGTTGCACATGAACCCTGCTGTAACTCTACAGTGAATGAGAGATGCCCCTGGACCGGTTGACCCAAATAATTTAATATATGACATGATGAAGGCAGAAAGAGTAAAGGATTAAAAAGATACCCAATTTTGCCTCACTGTATTGTAAACTTGTGAAATCGATGTGTATGCGATAACATCACTGAGAGGAAATATCCACCTGATTCTTGTTTGTTTTTATGTCTTGATCAGGTCTGGTGACACTGAATGATATGAAGGCCAAGCAGGAGGCGCTGGTGAAGGAGAGAGAGAAACAGCTGGCTAAGAAGGAGCAATCTAAGGAACTCATGCTGTGAGTTATTATTACTGCCCCTCTGGCTCACTGTCACACAGTAGTTTTGGTTGTTTGTATGGACACAAGGCTCTGCACTGGTCAAGTGTTTGGTTTAAAGGTCCAATGCAGGGATGTCCCGAAAACAGATTGTTCGCTACCAAGTCGATGGCAAAGTTCTGAAAACCTGGCCAGTACTCGGTTTTATACTGTATCTGATCTGATTAGGGTTGGGCGATATTTTAAAATTTTCCAACCAGCCACCGTTAGTCCAACGTCGATGATTGCCGATGTATTCGTCCATCCCCCCCGGCCCACCTAATCACCTCCCAGTAGTTGCAGCTCGGAGATGAGTGTTGAGCTTGCGATGTGGAACATTCTCTCATAGCTTTAACAAACAGAATAAACTCACTCAGAGGCAGAGCGGGTGCCCACTAATCGGAAGGTTTTCGGTTCGATCCCCGGCTCCTCCCGCCACATGTCAAAGTTTCTTTGAGCAAGATACTGAACCCCAAATTGCTCCCGAACTGAGCATCGGTGTGTGAATGTGTATGAATGAGTTAGTTTCTGTTCGATGGACTTTGCCATCACTGAGTGAATGTGTTTGAAAGGGTGAATGTGGCACGTAGTGTAAAAGCGCTGTGTGTGGTCGGAAGACTAGAAAGGCGCTATACAAGTACAGGTCCATTTACCATTTACAAGAAAGGGGAAGAAAAACATCTTTTTAAAAACAAAACTACGTCTGAATTCAAGTTTCTCTTTTATACCAAACTAAGCAATCTTTAAACACTCTAGATCTGAAAATACAAGCAGCCTTTCCCATTAATGATAGACTGTGGCAGCCCGCCACGTTTTAATTGGTCCCGCCACAGTTTTATAATGAACCAAAAATATTTTTACACTTCATCTCACTACATCTCTAACGTAGTGTTTTGCACCGTTGCTTCAGCAAAGCATCTTTCATTCCCAGTACAAGTATCTGTGATTGATTAGTCCAGCATCACTAAATCTTTTGTGACTGAATAAGAGCAAATCCCTGCAGGTTCTAAAATCTGGTGAGAAAAGCCTGTTATAACAGCAGGGCCAGGGTATACTTGATCAGAACTGGCTTGTACAATGTGTCGTTGTTCACAACTGAAAACAAAAGTTTGGGGAACTTTCTGCGGCGCCCTGGCAACTCACCTGGTGGAGCTAGCACCCCATGTAAAAAGGCTGTGTCAGTGGGTTCGAGTCTGACCTGTGGTCCCAGCGCACCATAGAGCGTCTCTCCTCCCAGGCAGGCAGACTGGAGTCCCACTGCCCTCTGTTTCTATCAGAGTTCCAATTTTGTGGTTTTAACTCGGGTTGCATTGATATAAACTCAAAAACAGTCATTACGGATGAGTCCTCCTCCTCCTGCATGTTCTGCTGGCGTGACCTTCCCCATCTGTGAAGGGGCAAATTTGGACAATGTCCCTATCTGACTCGCGGGACATTGTTCAGAGTTCATATGTGGAAACAGTGTTACTGTGGAGGAGCTGTTGCTGCAAGTTGCCATATTCAACGTGTTGTTGTTGTGTCGTCTGTGCTGGTGGGAGTTATTTTTCTTCCTATGGCATTATTGGCAGACTAGAATACTTTATAGGTGTATTCTGCCCCCTGATGGAAGAGTTAAATCCCTGGTACCTGTAAACAAATGAGTACCGTCACTTTTTTCGGAACTTTGGCATCAACTTGGTAGCGAAACATCGATTCTTATGACATCCCTTGCCTATACAGTACTGTAGTCTTTCATGTTAATTTCTTAAAAGGGGTTTAATACAAGTGACTTTAATGCAATGAGAGAGAGAATAAAGACAGTTCTGTATTTTGTGTATCCTCTTTCTGTTAGTGTAAAACTGATTTCTGTCATATCATTTAAATAGTCCTGCTTTTTTGTGTAAATAACCTATTATGCGACTGAAAATGGAAATGAAATGTTCCAGGGATTATCTTTCCATCTTCTTCTTTCCAGTTTTCCTGAAACATTATAATTGTAACCTCATGGTATAATCAATTCCTCATTTGTAATAGCTAGTCCTCAAATTCCACAGTACAATTGTCCTTCAGCTGCACTTTAAGACTGTCAACTGTCAGTGACAAAACACTGACAATACAAAAGCTGCGCAGCTAAAAACTGTCCATCCTTCTTCATTATCCTGTTTTGCCAATGCATCAGATCAAATGACTGAATGTCAGCTCGATGATTTACTTGCTGTGTTTCTAATTATCCACTGTAGTTGGAACAGGATTGGTATTCTTGTGCCAGTAAAAGCAACCACATCTGAGCTGAAAGACAATGAGCGATGTCTTAAAGGTTTGCACTGCTTCCTGGAAGCTTAAAAGAACATTTAAAAAAAAAGAACCAATACTCTGGGTGGCTATCCAGACGGCATAACAAAGCCAAGATAGCTGACGCCCATCCTCACCATGTTAACAATAAAACCTGAATGTTGTTTTTCTACTCACTTGGTAGTTTTTTTTAAATATGTATATTGAAAAACCCTTTTAAATAGTGTGGAAAAACCTGAGAACGGTATGTAATGATGGTTGTGGTGTGTGTCACTCTGCCTTTTTTGATTCTTCATGCCTCTCTGTTCGCAGCAAGCTTGAGAAGCAAAAAGAGAAGAAGAGAAAGGAGGAGCAGAAGAGGAAAATAGCCAGTTTATCGTTTAATCCAGAAGACGAAGGAGAAGAGGAGGAGGAAAATGAAGAGGAAGAGCAGGATTGTGAGTATTTATGTTAAGGATGTGAATGCACCAACTAAACAGGAAGTGCTGAGAGTTGGTTTCAGCCATATACTGTACCTCCTCTGCCCTCTTTTCTTTTGTTGTGTATGGTTTGGCAAGATAATCCTCTCCTCAATCTGTCATTCTGATTCAGTCCAAGCCATCACTAGTGAATTGGAACAGTATTCAAGAAGGGTCTTGGAGGGGTTAAAAGTGGGGAGTCCAGTAAAGGGAAACACACGTCCCCATCACATGTTATGAGTTGTTACCCATAATATGAATATAGAAGTTTAATATTTGATCATTTCATCCTTTTACAAAGTTGTTTATATTGTAGCTTTGGTTACCTATTTTGTTGCTCAATTATTGTCGTTGTCTGATGTTTAAGCACTGATAATGAGTGTTTTAAGGCATTACTTTGATCTTTAAGGTGTAGTTAAACAATAGGAAACAAATGAAATCAGCCAGGATGTCTCCATCTCAAGGTTGTTGTCATCGTCACCAGACTCCACAAAGTCGCTGCTCCTGTCCATGAAATAGTCCAGCACATGCCTCCCAGCAGAATCACAACATGTCGTTTTTACACTTTGTTTATTTTGCGGCTTAAACAAATAAGCTATAACATGTTAATTAGGATGTTTGACTTTGTCAAATAGACTCTCCAGTTAAGAAGAAGAAACTGGGGAAAAATCCAGACGTGGACACGAGTTTCCTTCCTGATCGAGACAGAGAGGTGAGGGATTTTAATGTGTACAGGTAGCTTCATAGATGGGTTTTTCTGTGTGTCTGTCTACATTCCAAGTAAAAACTGTAAACACCGGGAGGCTTGAAGGCTCTGGTTTACCTGGCAAGCTGCACAAACCAAGCAATAATTAGGGCATGAAGTAACTAGGTAATACCAGACTAACCAGATATACTCTCTAGTGTTGTCACAATACCAAAATTATTGTTTCGATACCAACACCAAGTCAAGAATTGGGATTTCGATACTTTTTTGATACTTTTCCTGAAAAGGGAGAAACACTCTCAAATATCATTGCTGTGCTTTATTTAAAAAAAAAATATATATATTTTAATCATATATCACACTAATGAATGAACATATGAACAACAGATATATTAAACATTTGAACAAAATATGAAATATAAAAATATCAAAAATAAATTAGAGCAATGACATTCAAGGTAAAAAAATTAATAAATTTAGCAGCATTATCTCAGTTATCATAAGAAACATAATAGAAAACATAACTTTATCTTGATTCTGAACTTTGAAAAAAAGCAAATAAAATTTAGCAGCAATATCTCACATATTGTAACTTATTATTCTGCCATTGAGCCCGTGGCTCCAGACTTCTGTAGCAGAAGAAAATGGAAATATTTAAAATATAATGGTCATAAATTTGTCATAACAGAGGACCTAAATATATGTGTGATAGTAACAATAACTTGTGACTAACCTAGCATCTCTATATGCAGTGGTTATAGTGATAACTGCTAACATTTACTTAACCATAAGATTACCATAACTAATAATAGGAAATAATGAGTTAACCTAATGTTATTTAAGCTGTGATATATGGATTAATATAGGCTAATGTTTCCTGTACTTCAACGTCTGATTTCTTTGATGGTTAACTTTATATTTGAGTCCATCATTTCTTACAAGGCGTTTCACGAATACACCTCCTTTGCGTAGGTCTGTGCTCTTTAAATGCTGTAATAACCCAATAGAAATAAATCACTGACAAACATGCACATGCTCTGATTATAATCATATAGCCTATTGATCATTTTAGCTGATGTTTGTATGCTTTATTTTAGCAGCTTGCAAATTATTATTATTATTATAACGTTATCTGTGAAAGTTGCGTTTTCAAAGATGTTGAATTAGCCGTAGGCAGGCTGTTGGTTAGCCATGAGGATAATGCCCATAGTTAGCCTACTGTTTCTCTAGATAGCCTCGTCAAACTACAGTGGTGCAAAATAGTGACTTCTCACAAAATAAACCATAGCCTACTCACTTGACTTATTTAAGGGCAACAGAACATGATCTTTCACATACTAACCTGTCGGTCTTTAAACTCCTGACAACTCGGCGTGCTGCGGCCAAGGTTCCCAGGTTGGAGGTGTTGGCTCCCTTTGTTTGCATTTGTTTGTAGCACTGACAGCAAACAGGTCTCGACTTATCGGTAGCTTTGCCCTCACTGTCAGCAAGGTAGGCAAAGTACTTCCATATTTCACTCAGTCGTGGACCGGCGGCCACGGTATCACTTGCACTCGCACATGCAGCCATCTCGTTATAGTGTTTGTCACGTGACAGCTGCAGCTTCTTTGCGGTCATTCTTAAAAGTATCGATACTAATAAATTTAGGAACGTGACGTTTTTAATTTCCGAGAATCGCGATACTTTTGACGCATCGGTGCACCGTGCAACACTAATACTCTCGCAGTTATCCCTGTGAGCTCTATGTACAAAACAAATTCTGGAAGAATTGTTTCTCCTGTAATAAAGGGCTTAGATTGACAAAACCACATGGTAAAGTTCACATTTTTATACTGGGAGTTGCTTATTTGTCTCTAATGTTATATTAATGCAATGTGGCCCTCTTCTGAAAACCTGTATGTTTTTACTGCATTCATTTTGTCTGATCTTTCCGTCAGGAGGAGGAGAATCGTCTCCGAGAGGAACTCAGGCAGGAATGGGAGCTCAAACAGGAGAAGATTAAGAGTGAGTGTCAGAATTACTTAAAAACCCACACATGCCTTATTATTACTTAAATTCAGTGGTATATCCATGTATATTTTCACTCTGATAACAAATAAACATTCTGTCCACAATGTCCCACTTTATGACCCATGTCTCAGCTTTGGAGACTTCCTCACGCTTTGTCTTTTTCACTGCTGCACGCTCACACTTCACTTCACACTCTCAATCCAAAAATAATGGTGCGTTTGTTTGTCTTCAGGTGAGGAGATTGAAATTACATTCAGCTACTGGGATGGCTCTGGACACCGTAAGACTGTCAAGGTAAAGCATGATTAGTATTGATAACAGGAGATATTTAAGGGGAAAACCCACACAATTCCCTTGGTCAGACAATACACTCAACATAGTGTTTACTCTTTTTATGTTTTCATTATGTCTCTGTGTGTTTCACTTCCAGATGAAGAAGGGAAATACCATCCAGAACTTTCTGCAGAGGGCTCTGGAGGTCCTCAGAAAGGACTTCAGTGAGCTCAGGTGAGACATGGAAGAGTTGAGGAGGCTCACCCAAACATACACTATTAATCCATAATAATGCTTGGTCATCTTCTTCCTGTGATTTCTCCTTTCATGCATTCCTTGTTTTTGTTTGAGAGCGCAGGAAGAAAATCCAAACAGACTAAAAGGCAACTGACACAAGAAATGTTTGTGTGTTTGAAGGAAGTGCAGTCTGAGCACAGCTGCTAAAACACAGCACAGATAATTATAATACTTTGAGACAGGGTTTCACCCTCAGGAAAGTTATCATGACGCCATTTATTTAAATATCAGTCGCTATATAGTAGAAATCCAGTGTTTATGTTACAAAGTAATCCATCAGGGATGTGTGCTTGCACGTACCCGCTTGGCCATCGCAGCACCTCGCTGGATGACGCCCAAGGTTGAGCATCGTCAAAATTTGAGCCAAGTTAAACCTTTTTGCCAGACCACATAGTGTATTTATTTATTCATTCATTTATTTATTTATGATATCTTTTTGGTTGGAGCCCTACTCTGCTGCGCCATCAGACTACCCTTATTTAAGCAGATAAGAGAGCTGCATTTTTTAATGCAGAGACAAAGTCTGAATATGGCAAGTGAGTAGTTGCAGGAGAGGAAACAACACCTGCTGTATCAGGTTTAAACAGCGGAGACACATTTCAGGGTTTGTACAAAGTCTTGAAAGATTGTAAAATGCTTAATTTTCAACAATATGTTTTTAAGGTTAGAAATACACTTGAATTGTATGTTCTGATAATGATTATTTAATGTTTGCCAATTACCAATGTAAATATGAATGGCTGGTAAAATGAACAAAATGACAATATACATTGATTGCTGTGAGTATAAAGGAATTCTGTTAACATTATTGTATTTATAGTAACAGTTTAGATGTGATGATAATCTTGCGTGGTGGAAAGCTCAGAATCCCAACAGACAACATTCAACAGAGATAGACAGAAACACTTATTCAGCTACACACACACACACACACACACACTGTCTGCCGTCTCTGCCCCTCCAATTGTAAACACTGTAGTGAAAACATTAAGCACTGTTGTCTGTGTCTCTTCTGATTCTACCAGTTACCTAGTACCTAGAAATATTACCATCTGCCATTCAAGCTTGAATTTAATGTTAAAATATGTTTATATGGGACTTAATTTCTTGCCTGCAGGTCTGCTGGAGTAGAGCAGCTGATGTACATCAAAGAGGATTTGATAATCCCACATGTAAGCTCAACTGTTCACTTAATTTCATTTGGTCTGTTTCACTTCACTTCATTTGGAGTTAAAGTGTTACAGCAGAGTCAACACTTCTGATGTGCGTCTGTCTTCACTCTCACAAAGGAGAGTCACGCTCTGCCTGCACCGGATTTCAGTTCACTTTAGTTTCAGTTAGCTCCCAGAGAGGGTTTGCTCACTTCAGTTTAGTTTTTAGTGTAGTTTTTATTAGTTTCAGTGTTTAGTTTTTTTAAATAATAATATGGGGGCTATTGGTCAGGGGCATGATTTCAGAAGTTCAGAATAGGTACTACAATAAAAACCCAACACTTGGGGTGCTGTGGTAGCTTACCTGGTAGAGCTGCTGCCCCCATGTACCAAGGCTGAGTCCTTGCTGCAGTGGTCACAGGTTTGACTCCGACCTGTGGCTCTTTGCTGGGTGTCATTTGCATATTCACAGATTTTGTCATTTTTAAGGGAAGAATGAGTAGATGTCTTTTCAAGCATTTTAATGTTGAATTTATTTATTTTTTGCAGAAAAAACATCAGCCCAACATTATTTGCATATATGTCTTAACATACAATGTCTGGAGGGGATCTTTAAAAAAGGATTTGGGGGCAATAAAAGACACTGTGGTTGCTGTCATTAGTGTTTATTAAGTGCAACAGCTGTGGCACTCTTTCACTTATTGAATGTCACCACACTTTATCTATTTGTCTCATTCAGCACCACAGTTTTTACGACTTCATTGTGACCAAAGCCAGAGGCAAATCTGGTAAGTCAACACCAACAGCTTATACACTACTTTGATTTGTTTTCACATATTTTACTATTTATTGGTTGAAAAGCCAGAAGCAGTTGCCTCTGTACAGTCTGTGGAGCAGTATGAAGTTGTTTCTGTATCTTTTTTCTTTAGGTCCTCTTTTCAGCTTTGACGTCCACGATGACATTCGACTGGTGAACGACGCCACTGTGGAGAAAGATGAGGTGAGGATTTGTTTACAGTAAAAACAGATGATGATGATGATGTAAACCAATGTCAGCCTCGATGGTAAAAGAAACTGAAATGACCTGTAGATGCTTAATAGATCGTCTACAAATCAGTCAGTACAATATGTTTGTCATTTCTGGTGTTCCACTGTGTTTCTTGTTTAAGACTTAAAAGGGTTGCTTACCTAAACAATATTTAATTCAATGAGACTGTTGGGTGGATTTTGACCAATTCGGCTTTCAGATTTCACAATCAGCTGCTGGTCCTTGTTTCGCCATGATCCAAGATTTATGTTTTTTCAATGTTTTTATGTTTTTAATTTTCTTGCTAAACTCTCCATATTCATAAAACAACAGATTTGACGAAGAAGCTAACTGGGAAAGAAAGCTGTACTTTTACAGCTGCCCTATCCAGTGAAGGACTGACAGTAAAATGAGTCTATGTGTAAACAAAACCAAATGATGTTTTCCATCCAAAACCTGTGCCCCATCATATATCAAACTTAATTATGATTAACTGACAGCTGCTGAATGCCTCATCGTACAGGACCTGATGTGATCAGTCTGTAGCCTGTACCAACATGTCCTGTCACTTCCATTTGTGTAAGCAAAACACAGGCTGGAGGGGCGCCTTGGGTTCCTGTCCTTGAAGATGAGTGTGATAAACCCACATGTAAAAGCCAAATTAACACAGTAATGCTCTTTCGCCTAAAGTCTCATGCAGGTAAAGTGGTGCTGAGGAGCTGGTATGAGAAGAACAAGCACATCTTCCCTGCTAGTCGCTGGGAGCCGTACGATCCTGAGAAGAAATGGGACAAATATACGGTGAGAGGCGTTTTGCTAAATGTGATGCTGGGTGTAAATTTAGTCAACGGCAGCTTGACTTAGCTTCATCAGTTCTTCTGAGTTTTTCGGGAATTGAACCTCTCTGGGTGATTCCGTCCCCGTGTAACCTCACCCTTTCATGCTGCTGTGTTTCAGTGGAGCGTTTGAAGCTCCAGGCCAGATAGAGTCTTTGCCAAGAAAACAAGTTTGTTTCAAGTCCAGCTGGACCACATACAGCAAGAGGAGAAACAGCAGCCATGTTGTCTATTACCATAGGGCCCGAATATAATTCACTATTCTAACATTCATTCTGACAGTGCTGTCCCATTGAATTATGGTGGTACACATTTCTAATGAATGAAATATATTGATCTGAAACGCAATAGAACATGATTTTTTTGAAATATAGTACTGTTGAAAAAGATAAAGCAAATAAAAAAAGTTGAGAGAGGCAGACTCTTCTCTGGACCACACATTTTTCCTGCAACTTTGGCAAAAGTCAAAGCAAGAGATAATTTCTGTACACAGCACATTGTCTTAATTCCGTTGTACGTGCCACTTTAGAACTGTTTGTATGAGACTTTCCTGCATGAGGCCCAACTTAAAAAGATCTAGTGAACACATAATATCAGGCTGATTTGTTGTATAAAATGGCAATTAAAGGGTGACTGTAAAGAATTCCAAAGCTTTGCACTGTTGGATTGTAACTATCAGAACATCCTTTTAAAAAAGCACTTGAATAAATCTACACTCACAAACTGTGTTCATGTTCATATGAACTTTATGATTCCCTTAGGGAAAACTGGATAAAAATCCCTGTGTGTGTGAGATATTGCTGCTCTGTCTGAGTCTTCCTGCCTAGGGCGCTGGAGCTGCCAACTTTTTCCTGCACGGGCTGGCTACAATATACGAGTGATACATCCAGATGGTTGGCAAGGACAGACTGTTTCCTCTCGCTAAATAATAACAAACGAGAGGCACAAATAGTTACCTTAGAATGAGCCGTTTATTTCTACAGACACTGTGGGTCCTCTTCTACAGAGGCTGCCACGTTGAACCGCCATGTTTCTACAGTAGCAAACCAAACACTGGCTCTAGATAGGGCCTTCTGTGTTTTTTTTATGGCCACTGTAGTTTCTCCTACACACTTGGAAGTCAAGTGGCAACTTCACTGCTAGATGCCACTAAATCCTCCACACTGGGCCTTTAATCAGTCATTTAGACTAGCATGTTCCTTACTGGTGGAGTAACATTGTGTTCTGTTTGTTTGTTTTTCAGATCCGGTGAAACGTCTGTCTTCTCCACTCTTGCATCCTTGATGCAAATGTTTCTCTGTTGATGTTATTTTACTCTGCTATAACATATTTCATCAATGCTTTATCAAGATTTGATAGACTATTGATTCATGATTTTACTAGCTATTTGAAATACTAGTTGTCCCAAATGTATTTGATTGGCCAGAGTAATGATTCCTGTGAAAACAACCCCACATTTGTATGTATATAGCTCATAAACATGTTGTAGCATCTGTGCTTAATAAAATGAACATGGCTGTGACCTACTGGGCTGAAGAAAAAACTTGATTCATTAGGCTGCAACACTTGAGGAGATGTTTGTCATTCCTGTGTTCATGTCTTATGTGATCATGGATATTCTTTGCTCCTTCTGCGAACTATCAATTGTGTGAGAGCCAAACTTGCAATGTGCCCCCTGCTCCTGCAGAACAAAATGAACTAGTTTGGCAACGTAACTCTTGAAGTGTGTGGGTGCCTCCACCCATAGCCTGAAGACACCACTCCCCTCATCATATCTCTCTCCCTCCTCCCTGGGTCCTGTCACTCACTCTCACGCACCATCGAGAGCACTTTGACTAAGATTTTTGTTTTCGCAGCGAGTGGTGGCTTCTAACAGCCGTTCAGTCCACTGTGTGTGTGTGTGTGTGTATCTGTCTGTGGTGGTCTGCTGCTCGCAGTTGGACAGTGTCATGCCGGCTGTAGCAGCATGTGGAAGGTAGCTCTCGTTTTGTACCAGCTGTTGGCACTTGGTCAGCCGCTCTGGGCTCACGATGATGTCCCAGCCGTCACTCCTCAGGACTGCAGTCTGGACTGTATACGACAGGTAAGCCAGATCTCACACCTTGTGTACATTTACATGTGTGTGTAAATGTGCCGCTGTGTTGACACAGGCTCATCTTCTGTAGCAGCTACATCGTATCCTAGTCCTAGACCGTCCTGTTTACTGTCAGACTCAAACTACTGAACCAGTACAGCTGGCCTGGAGGTGTGCTCTTCTATTAAACCTATACTTTCTCATGCAGCTGCTTTTGTTCACAAGTGGTAAGCACTTAAGCTCATTTGACAAACCTGGGCTTTATATTTAAGAGAGCACATTGTGTTTGTGAAACTGTGCAGGCATTTACTGGCTGGGTTATATTTTAACTGTGCCTTGCTCAATACATTTAAATGGGTTTTTTTCATCTTGTAATTCCAACAACGCCACCACTGGACTGTTCCTCTCTCTAACCCAGCACCTCTGGCAAGTTGTGATATAAACCGTATCCATAAACCAGGGAAATTTTTTTTTAATGAAAAATGTAAAATTAAAATCAAATAGGAAGAGAAAAAGAAAATGGCTTTCTGGTTGACTTGATCATATAACCTACAGCAGGTTCACGGCCTGGGGCCACAAGACAAATCTGTCAGTCAAAAGGGGACAGATTTGCAAAGCGGAAGCAATTGTTTTCTCTGCTGAGTAATTTCACCTAATAAGTAAGTAATGATAAAGAATAAAAGAGATTTAACAATTTGAGAAGCAGGGAGTCAGCAGGGTTTTTAAAAGTCTAAAATCTAATAATCTGAATGTTAGGCCTTAAAATGTCTTAAATAGGATTTTGATAGGTCTTAAAATATTATGAGATTAATGAAATGTTTTCTTTTTTTTTTCAGTATCGCTTTTAAATGTGTTTTTTACGAACAGGTTTCATTCTGATTATAAATACTTCATCTGCCAGTGCCGTATGTGTCTCACAACAGTCCCACCAAACTGTCATTTCCTCCTACATCTATAAGAAGGACAAAACCACCTAACTTTACTAAAAACACAGACAAAATGACTCTCCTCTTGTACATGTTCTGACCTGAAGCCACTCTACTTCAGTGAAATGTCAGAAATAATGTTCACGTGCTCAAATAGGTAGCTCTAGGCAGTGGGATGGTGAAATAATCTCAGATCTGAGCCACGGCTCACTGTTTTCAGCCTCTGCTATAGAGTTGTTTACATCTATAGATAGTGAATGCACAGCTCAGCTCTGAGGTTAGTGTGTGTTACAAAACTGACACACACTTTCATGTGGGAATGGCAATTTCTCTCGTTCTGTATCAAGTTTGTGATCCTCAAATTTCAAGACCAGATTCAAACAGAAGGATCACAGTGTACAGATGGGACTGGATGACTGAATCAAATGAAATGGAAAGCCACCCACACAGAGTGTCATTGGAGGATCTCTTATTCTTCCCATGCATGCCAAGCATGTTGATTTATGTTCTGTCAGTAGCTTGCGTGCAAGTTACTATTTAGGCTACAAAGACTTTCTGACAATCATTACCTAACCTGACACTATCATTGTGTGAACCTCCATACACATACACACACACACACACACGTTCTCCTTTCATGCCTGGGGCAGACGCAGTATTTCTTCTTCCCTCATTTTCTCCACCTGTAAGTCTAGTTACGGTCTCTAAACCTGCAGAGCGAGTCACCAATATGACTGTGTGTGTGCAGCTCATCACTTGTAGTGCTTACTATATATTATATATATTATATTTTTCAATTCATAATTGACAAAGACGAAAGACACTTCCTATATATTTTTGTTAGTTTTGTAAGTATACTATTGTTTTTTGTTTTTTTCCAAAGTCCAGTTTTTGTTTTTATTTTGGTTAACTAAAAAAATATTCACACCTAGTTTTAATTATTAGTCAAGATTTAGTGAACTATAACGTGGTTTGAAGTGAGCTTTTCACATAAATACAGTTAGTCTTAAGATGATTCTGAACAGATGATTAATATGTATTGTATCAAGAAAACTAGAGGGAGTTGACACCGAACCACTGTTAGACATTAAGGATTACATGCAGAACGTTCTGAAATAGACCCACATTGTTTTAACAGTTCTCTAGTTTGAGTCACTAAACCCGCACTGACAGCACTGTCAGTTCTAATACAGGGCTCGGACCACTGATCTAAAGTGTGTGCAGATGTTGGAAATTAAAGACATAGAGACATGTTCGGCCTTCTTTTTTTACCCCGAATGTGCTGTGTTCTCTCTTACAATATGTGACACTATTGTTTTACATCCTGTATTAGAAAAAAAGAAAAAAGCCATTTTCTGAAATATGTTTTTTAATGTGTAATGAAGGATTGCAGCAGAGTAGTCGGTGTTTAACAGCGGCAGATGGTAGGAGTACAACTAGTAGTACATTTAATTGATTGTTTTGTATACACACTCAATAACAACAGCACTCAATAAATCAATATACTGAGGAAGCACTGGAGGCAGGATTAGAAACCGATAAAAACTCAAGACAAAGATATACTAAAACATATTAAAATGTATAAATAGGTTGACAAATAAGTAAATTAGGTTATTTATTTGATTGATATAATATATAAGTATATTTAAAGTAACTTTATACTTCTACTCCACTACAATTTGGAGGCAAATATGGTACGCAACCCAACTGACCACTGCCAGAGCCCTATACCTACCCCCACAGTGCCATGGTGCCCAGAGCTGCCAGCTTCAGTGTTGTTATAACCTTTAACTTGAATTTCTCCCACGGGGATTGATAAAGGAACATCTTATCTTATCTTTAGTTGTTTTTCACTCCTATTTTTTACGCATTTCTTTCTTCTTGTTTTGGTTTTGCTTTGTCTAGATTTCCTCTGACTGAATGTAACATCACAGCCTATAGTATGTTCCTTTTAACCTTTCCCTAAGTACTGTACGTCTCTACCTCTGTCGGTGTTTATGTACTGAAACCAATAAAAAAAAGAAAAAAGGAAGGTGAAACTCAATCAAGCAAGTTTAAAAAACTTAAATGGCACACATTCTCAGTCACTCCTCAAAGGCGTTCATAGTGTTGTACTTGGTTGTACATATAAAGAGAATAATTGTGTAAAGAATGAAAGAAGTGGACTTGAGAGAGACTTATACTTTTTACCCTACTTATGTCTCATCTCTGAACACCTGAACAATCGCTGCGTTAAGTGGGCATGATTGTCAGGATATGTTGGTTTCAGAAAGCTATATCAAAACATAATTTTTACGCCTTCTGAAGGCAGAAAATCATCCTGACAAGCACTTCAGCTGGAGCTCATTGATGCCTTGAGGTTAGGGACAAAGGCCAAAGAGTAAAACTGCATTTCAAGTTCCCAGAAATAGGCACTGCAGGGTGAAAGGAATTCCTATGGAAGCCTAGATGGGTCGTGCTTCAAATTATTATTATTTTTAAACACAAAAGCCGGATTTCTTGATAAGTTAATTTATCATGAGAAAGTGACTTGTTTTCTCGTGATCAAGGTTGAAAATGCAGCTGGGCAAGTGACTGATCTGAATGCTACCTCTGACAGAAAGACACAATGCCATTTCTACTTGTGTCAGACCTTGCCTGACGTACAGTCTGATGTGTAAAGGTGCTCCTTGATCTGACATTTTCAGCTTAAATCGGTTGCTATTGTCAAGGCGCCATCTCTGTACACCTGATCTCTGATAAACATTATAAATACCCTTTTGTTTTCTTGTGATAACGGTTAGATTATCTTGTTTTCTTAATTTAAAAAAAAATTATTAACTTGTGGTCTTGAAATAACGGAATTTAAAAAAACAACACCTATGCAAAACATTTTTTTTTTTATTATTAGTTAATTTCTTTGTAGCTACTATTAATTCCTGACGTTCCCACTTAAGTAAGGTAAGTTCTTTCGCATTCTTGCCCCTGACCCCATCAGGCTCTTGGCAGCTGAACAGGTAGTGTATTCGCTTTGTGTGCATATTCCTGTTTTTGTGCTCCCTTAACAGTATTTATCCATATGCATAGGCAAAAATGCAGTTCATGCAGCTATATCTGAGTTCATTCTCGTTTTCTCCCTTGCAGGGAGGACCTGTATGTGAATACTGCAGAATAACCAGAGCTGATGTCAGGAGGGCTCTAGGTTTTAACTCCATCGAAGCATTTGGAAGTAAGTCGGATTGAGACAGGATGTGCGGGACTAATTACACTGTGAAACTTACAGTCTAATTGCTCAAACGTGTTTTGGCAGCAGTGAGATGTTGTTCGCCTTGTCTCTATCCTTCATGTCTTTTTCCCTTTTATATCATTGACTAAACTGCAGACCCATAAGTAAATTACATATTTTATGGGTTTTTCATATTATATTCAATACAGAACAACTGAAACTGTAAACAGTAAACTCAGTAACTGCAGAAAGTTTGTGTAAAACGAGCAGATAAATTCTGAGCAGATCATGATATTATATATATATCATACAGTTTTAATAGGCTTCCTCTTTGAAAATGTCATTGTTTCGTCTTCCTGACACTTGTTCTATTAGCTCTTTGGGTGTTATAACTGCATACTTTTTGAACGCAGGAAGATGAGATACAGACCGACTGTGTATATTTTTCTTAAAGCCCTTAAAATTAAGAAGGCCTTGTGACAACCTGTGAAGCTTTGGCAACCCCTAGTGGGGGTCCCGACCCCCAGGTTGGGAACCATTGCTCACCCAATAAGCAAAATTCAATTGCAATAGCCAGGTTTCAACCAGTAGATGGAGGTCGCTATGCATTTTTATAGCACAAGTTGAATGAGAATGAATGGATCGACAATAGAACTAAAAACCTATATACATTGGTTGAACAGCAGAAAAACGCTGTTTGGTTGCTTAGTAAAGTAATAATGGCGGATCATTCTTTGTTCCCCAAATATAAATGGCCCATAATGGGAACATGACAGAGGATCATGTGTTCTCTAGTTCTAAGGTTAGGTTTAGGGGGTTAGGGAACTTAGGACCCTGGGAACATTGGTAGACAGAGCCTCTAGCATGGCTGTAGACTAATCATGCTTAAATATCCAGTTTCCTTTCACATTACATATCCAGAAGAGTATGCTGCACCGTCTATAAATCATAATGTACTGAGAATGTCTAAAACACTGTGCATCCATTGTTATTTCTCCTCAGGTTGTATTCCATGGCCCTGTTTTGAGTTGCTAGGAGAAGAAGACCCTACAATCTGTCAGCATTATGTCCAAGCACCAAATGATGTGACGGTTGAGTTTGTACATGAGCCAAACCCCAAATCTGAAACCATTGTTGTCTCCTGGAAACCCAGTTACTATGGTATGTTAATACAGATTTACAGCTAAATACACGCACTTCTCTTCCTATAATTTAAAGCCAATTCCTGTGTGAGGTTGTTATGAGAACACATAGCATTCTTTAAATTATTAGAAGTTATACAGTGGTTTGGTTGTTTTTTAATAGTCTAGCCTGGCTCGCAGATTCAACAGGTTCCCAGGCTAACTCTAGCCAGTTTTGCAACTCATTTATCATGTCAGACACGAGTTACTCCCAGTAAGTCATTTTTTACTTCATACAGTAAATTGTTACTAAAAGGTAAAAATGATTCCTTGTATTATGAGAATGCCATGAGACAGCTTGTTTAATTCAGGCAACTGTAACAAAGTGTAATTTATCGTTTAACTGAGCTTGCACTGATATGGTGTGGCCCACGCATGCATGATGGATTGCCACAATCTGTGACACTGCTTTAATTCTGTCCTTTTTGCAGGGATCACGTTCCTGCGAGGCTTTCAGGTGTTCCTCCAGGCTCTGGGGGGGTCTAGTATTGCCTGTCAGCTCTTTCTCTTCCACCTTAACCTCTCCCTCACGCCGTCACATGCTCAAAGGGTAGGAAGGGCCCATTTGCTTTGGTCTTTGCTTGTTTTCCAGTCTAGTGGGCTGTTTTTGAAAACACAAAACCCTGTCTCAAGTTCTCACAGGAAGTTGTTACTCACAGGAACGTTCACAGCTCATTTTGAGTTTGGATAAACAACCAAATATCACTTTTTTTAAATTAGTGAGTGGAACCTAAATCTTTCCCACTCCTGTTTTCCCCCTTTTAGTTTCTGGGTGAACTGAATGTTTTGGGTGAGATCACAGTGATGCCTTCCAAAAGCACAAAAAGTATGTCCTTAGAGGAAACAGCTGTACATTTTAAGCCATAAAATTATAGAGATAGGATAAGATTATCCAAAATCTGTAAAAGAAGTCATGAGAGACTTTACATCAAGGGAAATCTATTATTTATGTAGCCTAATGTTATGAGAACAAGCTGAATTTTGAAATTGAAAGAAAGAAAGCAATACAATGTTGTATTATTCTATAATATATAACAACAATATAAACAAGATTTTGTATGAGAAGGCCGTTCTGCTCAACCTTTAATAAGCACATGTCAAAAACTCTTATCTCACCTTATCAGATAAAAATATGCAGTGTGTTTAAAGAAAACCAAGGTCATGATTGCTGCTGTATTCTGCAGGTGTACACGTCTGACCCTTTCCCCGGCCTCTCCCTTGGATCCCAGTATGCAGTTACGGTCATGGCCCTGCCAGTGCCTGAGAAGTGGGAGAAGTTCTACCAGAGCAAGATCTTCTCCACACGCTGTAAGACCCCCTTTAAGTTCTAGGCTAGATACTATCTTATAAAACACACACACACACACACACACACACACACACACACACACACACACACACACACACCGGTTTCAGTGAGTTCAGAGTTCAGAGTAACCTTTAAAATCTAAATTACTCTGTGGCTTATTTACTCTGCATTTAGTTATAATGTCATGTCATGCTCTGTCATCAGGAAGCTTATTTGCTCTCTAAGCATGGTACTTTACTTCACGTCTTTAAGTAAGACTATTGTCAAACAATAGTGAATTTATAGTAATAAGCACATTTTGTTTTACAGCATGTGCAGAGAAGAACGGTCTTGAGGAGTGCAGAAAAGGTGTTTGACATTTGATCAAATTCTCATAATTCCCAAATAAACAATGCCCACTGGTCATTAAATGTTTCTTCTCATAATCTATTGTATCTTTCAATATTTTATGGTCTGGTTATAGACTGGTACCCCAAACATGTTGAGGTGCAGCAGAAAGGGACTGCGATCACTGTGACCTTTAACTTGGCTCCCCCAAACCTGGGCATCAGAAGCTACTTCTCACTGTGTTACGCAAACGGCATGAAGAACTACATAGACATAACACCCGTGAGTGCTTTCAACTTCTGCAGCTTTGAATTTTGTGTTTCGGTTTCATTCAGTGTATTAAAACCTTCTTGTTTCTGTTATTTATATTATGGACGTATTTGATGATTAAGTGAACTTCATTATTAATTGTATCAACCATGCATATAATTTCCTCAGAATACCTCCAAAAACAAAACTCACCACAGCTATCAGCTGAATGACCTTCAAGAAGGAACTAATTACACCTGTGAGGTAAAATAAAAGAGCATTATAGCTCATTTATACTTCACATTTATGCATAATGTATAAAACTATAACAGTTTTTCAACCAAAAGATCCTAAGGTGGCTTTGTGTTTAATAAATAATAATGAAATATTAGTTATGAAATATGTGTTATATGGGCTATACTTATGTATATATGTTTATTCTTTGTATTTCTTGTAGTTTGACAAAATAATCTTAACTCAAGGTCTACTTCCAGCTTTTTTTTCTGGAGCTTTCCAACACATCTTATGGACTATGGACCTGTGGAGATACGGTTGAAAGCTCCAGAAAAAGCTAGTAAGTGGACCTTTTTCACAGCTGCCATTTTGACATGAAAGGGTAAACACAAATGTTACAACTGATACTAATTAAGGGTCCCTTCCATTCAGGTCAAACAGAGCTGCTATTGGGCATGTTGGCTCACTGGAAAGGCTCTGCTACACTAAATGGAACTGAACCCTAATTGGTATCATTAGTTACACCTGTGTTTACCCTACTGTTTCATGTCAAAATGGCCACTGTGAAAAAGGTCCATGGATCAAATAATAAGTGTAATGTCAAAAAGGTTGCTCGTGGTGGGAAACAGAGAGTTATCGCTGTGGTTCCCCTGTGCTCTTAGCATCTTTAAGCTCATTGTTTTGGTTTTACAGGCTGCAACATTTCTTGCTCTCGCTACTCTCCACAGCGTGGTTCCTGCAAAGATAAAGCCACTGTACCATACACATTACACGTTATGTGGAATATGATCAAAGCTAGCGGCCAGCTGGTGAACATAGCAGAACACTGCAAATAATGTTGCTAATGTTGCTTCGGGTCTCGAGGATAAAATAGGCAACTTATTGCTATACTAACTTATATATATATATGGTAATAATATCTCAGTGTTGTGTTTACATCTTGTTACGCTGCCCCCAAGTGGCCAAAAAAAAAAGAATTAATGCAGGTTTAAGATTATTTTGTCAAACTACAGTTACTATGGTTAAAAAATTAACTTTCATGCTCCACACTTCACTGGTTGCAGATTGCAGCTAACGAAATGGATGCAGTGAGGAAAACCTTCAATGTCCAGGTCTTGCACATTCAAAAAGGTAAGGAGGAGTTGGTTTTATTGCTGCTGACCCACACAATCACAGTGTATCAATATGCAAACCCCTCCTTACTCTGGAGATATGGAGATATAAAGTGTGCTTTGGAAAAAAGTATAAAGTTGAAGTACAATACTTTAAAATGTTGGGAAATATTTTTATTTGTTTTCCTGTTATGATTTAGATGAAAAGATCCATATCGCCCTCATGTCTGAATGCTAATTACAGAGCTAGAGCCAGGAGGCAGTTAGCTTAGCATAAAGACTAGGTAGAAACAGGTGTATCAGTTATTTTCTAGAGTTACTGCTAGCTTGCTGGTCTTGTGGGTGCTGGTAAAAACATTTTTGGACTGAGAGAACCCAAGAGAGCCAGGCTAGCTTCTTCCCCCTGCTTCCTCTCTTTTATGCTAAGCTATGCTAATCTTCTCCCAGCATTAGATGATAATTAGCACACAGATTGGACAGTGGTTATCAATCTTCTCATCTAACTCTTGGCAGTAATGCAAAGACTGTAGGCGCAATTCCTAAAATGTCAAACTACGTACAGCGCCTCTTGAAGGTCCGTCACAGAACTGTAATCACAACTCCTCCATCCTCACCAGGAGCCACACCACTCTCTGTCACCCCCTCCTTGGCTCTGATTCTCCCACTGTGCCTGGCTGTGGTAGCCATCGTTGTAGTCTTACTGGCTGTTCTCACCAGGCCAAGGCTGCAGCTGAAGAAACTTTTCATAAAACCAGGTGCAAAGACATACCACTTACTTCATGTAAAATCACTATAATAAATCATGATAACTGTTCATTTCACACCGTTTTATAGGGAACCTTTCTTGTACCTTTTCAATAGTTATTTTATTGTTTTTATTATTCATTGACGCTGTCACTTTTACTGTCTTCTGAAGCACTTTGCAACATCTTTGTGTCTTCTGTTACATAAACAACAATAACATTTATGATTATCCTTACCTCCGGCCTGTCTTTGCCATTACCAGCATTGTGTGAAATGCAACATCACCCAGGGAGCGGCACTCAGGAGGAAGTAGTGTCGTTGCCCAGAAACAGGCTGACCCCTCCTCGTCTTCTGATTTGCTACAGCAGCTATGATGGCCCTGCTCATGTCAAAGCCGTCATGCAGTTGGGGGCTTTCATACAGGAGCACATGGCCACTCAGGTAGGTTCTGCTTTGCTAGAATTTGACGGACAGAAACCAATTATAAACAACAAAAGATAAATATATATTTTGGCAACATATTACAAAGCTAATGATTATATTTTCTATTTCTTTGATTTTCTTTCTTTTAATATAAGATGGGGTGATACTGTTCTCCCTTTTTCTCCCCAGGTGTGCCTGGACCTGTGGGACTCTCTGAGCGTGGCTGAGGAGGGCAGTATGGCCTGGCACTGCCGGCAGATCCGGGAAAGCAACTTCATCTTGGTGATCTGCTCTCAGGGCCTAAACCACAGACCTGAGCCTCCAGAGCCAGAGGGTGACAGCGAAGATGGGGAGGCAGACGGAGGGCTGGACGCCTTCAGCTCAGATGCAGCCATCAAACTCATTGGAGAGGAGGTGGGCCGAGCCAAAGCCAGAGGCCAGGACTTGTCCAAATACATGGCGGCCATTTTTGAGTACTCTGAGGAAACTGACATCCCCACTGAGCTGAGGCTGGTATCTCCCTACACGCTGACAAGGGACTTATCGCTGCTCTTCTCTCACCTCCATGGAGTGGCTCTGCATAGGCCGGGGGGTTACCTGAAGATAAACCACATTTCAGAGGAAGGCTTTACTAAATTACCATCTGGAGCAGCACTGCAGTGGGCTATCTCTGAGGCTGGGGTGGAAATGAGGGCAAAAAGCTGTCACTCTGCAGAGGGAGGAGACTAAACACACACAATAAAGGAATCCATACGCCCTGACTTAATGATGATCCTCAGCCCAATGTAGGAGAAAGGTTGGCTGGAGGATAAATGGTCATGATGGCCACAAACTTGATGGCTCCATATCTGGCCAGAAAGGAGAAGCCATGAGTTCACAGCTAGAAGGTGACTAGTACATGTACAGTCCCTGCTGATTTGCCCTTAAGCATTTGCCCAGCTAAACACCCCTACCTCAGTTGTGCTACAACGTCAGCAACCGTGCACTTCGACCAGTTGAAAGTGTTAACATGCTACATGAAGGATTTGTAGAAAGAACATCCAGTAATGTGTGTAAAGGTCAGTTAAGCTATCTTAGACCTACAAATGTATCTTGTATACTTTTTTTGTCATTTCTGGTAAAAAAAAACAACCATTTGTAATAAGCACTGTATATTAATTAAAGACTTATAATCCCTATATAATTGAGTTATTGAAGTCAGAATGTTTTCATTGAAGTACATATTAAACATTGTACACATGCATGTTGACAATCATCCTTATAGTTTATTTATACATGTGCATATCTCATATATTAATGGATTAATGGGTCCTATCATTTTTTGCTAATATGAGGTTACACATATGGGAAAATGTGAGTGATCTTGCCTTTTGTATTATCATTTTTGTGAAATGTGAATTTTCTTTTGTGCATCTAATCATCTAATAAAATAATATGGAAACAAGTTTTCTTTGGCTCATCAAATTTATAATATATGTATGGAGAGCCATTTCATTCAAAAGCCTGCCCACACTACACACCACCTATCCAGTTACCAGACACCACAAATCGTGCTGTTTACTGGATTGGTGGTGTGCAGTCTGGATATCTGGTGTCTGATAAGCAGGGGTGTGTCCAGACTTTTCTTCTTTACAACCGCCAGTTGCATGGAATTAGCATAAAGTGGGTATGTCTGCAAAGGGGAGACTCATGGGTACCTATAGATCCCAGCTTCATTCACATATCTTGAGGTCAGAAGTGATCCCTTTGAAAATGGCCATGCCAGTTTTTCCATTGCTAAAACTTTGTCTAACTTTGTGCCGTTATTTACCCCCCCCCCTTCCCCACAGGCTAGCATGAAATGGCTACCAATGGTCATCTAGTTTTGTATGATACATAGGTGGACAATTACAATAGAGGCTGCTACAGCCTCTGAAAGACAGTGGAGTGGAAGAGGGAAGAATAATGAGGTGACCAATCAGGTTTCAGGGGTGGCAAGTTTCCCCTGCAGGTGACTGGACAGGTGGTGTGCAGTTTGGGAAGGGTTTTCAATGAAATGGCTGTATATATATATACACACACACACACACACACACACACACACACACACACACACACACACACACACACACACACACACACACACAATACAATGGGTTGCTGACATCTATATATGACTGATGATGAGTGAATGAGAAAGAAAAAGCAAAAGGTATGTCCTATGCTGTAAGTTGCCAGGCTGGAGGAAAACCCCCGACTTGTTTGTATCTAAAATAGCTTTTGTGATCAACCTCATCTGAAGAAGATTAATTACACAGCGTTTGACATTGTTTTCAGAGAGGCACTGGTTTGTTTGCCATGTATGTATAAGGAACCATTCAATTCAAATTGGGATTCCGGTTTATTGACTTGAGCAACAAGATCTGGCAACCCGGTCGGATGCGTCAACGTTGTGAGCTCAGTCAGGCTCTCTCTGTCAGACACACAGCGTGGAAAGATGGTGCTCGACTTGGACCTGTTTCGGACCGACAAAGGCGGCGATCCAGAGATCATTCGTGAGACCCAGAGGAAGAGGTTTAAGGATGTAACACTCGTTGATAAACTGGTGGCCGCAGACACAGAGTGGAGAAAATGTAAGCGCCTTTTCATTTCTGCTGTTTCAGTCATAGCAGCTAACGTTAGCGCGGTAGCTAACGGTGCTAATGTTAGCATAGTGTCGCCAAACGCCGAACTGCACTAAGAAACCCGGCTATTGTATGGTTAGCATGCGAATATAGCGGACTGTCACATCCCATCTGAGACTTCAAAAGATTTCACACATTTCTAAGACCCAGTCTTCTATTCGGCTGTTTGAAATGCAGAAATAGTTCTCGAAAATATGCTTTTTTTTTTTAATGAATTCGCTTGTCATCTCCACAATCACACACACACATATTGCAATAGTTACCGTGATGCTTTGGGGCATTAACGTTATATTCATGCCATATTTTTAGTTCACATTGGTTTAAGTGTGTGTTAAAAACAAACAAACACCTAACGTTAATGTACGTGAATTCGTCAGTATGCCAGGAAACAATATATAGACACATTTGAATGAAGTTCTCACAGCGGAAGAGTAGCACGCTAGCGTTAGCACAGCTAACACCATTCAACAAATCTACGTTAAATGAGCCATAGTGTTATCCTCCACGTAGTTAGGAGTAGATACTTAATAACAAGTGTCTAAATATAATAGAGGTAAATGGATACCGGATAACCTCACACACCCGCGGTCTTATTGACAGATGAAGAACTAATTGTTGCTATTGCCGGGTTAGCTTAGCGATGCCGGGTAACGTGCAATCTGATGCAATCCCAGTCGAGTCCACCTCGCCCTGCAGTGTAGCTACACACAGTCGGTGTCATTCCGATCCAGCTTGATAACATGGAGGACATTATCAGTACATTGCTAATGCTATTTAAGTGATCAGATAAAAAAAGTTTGTTTACACTTTCATCATATTTTTTGATTGCACGAGGGCGAATTGCTACTGACAGCAACACCTGGCCCCAGGTGACATCTCTCTCTCTCTCTCTCTCTCTCTCTCTCTCTCTCTCTCTCACTCACTCACTCACTCACATACATACATTCATACATTCATACACACTCATAAGCACAGTCCCATGCACTGACTGACTGTGATTTACTTTAACAGGCCGCTTTACTGCAGACAACCTCAACAAAGCCAAGAACCTCTGCAGCAAGAGCATCGGGGAGAAAATGAAGGTATGGAAGCACCGGGACATTAAATGACCGAACAGGTTGTTTTCTCTTCTAGTGCAGAATAAAAGAGGAGGAATAACCCTGTCGGTATGTGTCTAACCAGACATAATTTCTGGTTAGTGGATATTTGGACTGTAATTTTGCTTCTTAACACCTGTCCTTGTTTTGAATGCAGAAGAAGGAACCAGTTGGGGAGGATGAGTCCGTACCTGAGGAAGTACAGAACCTGGAGTCCCTATCAGCTGAAACACTATCGGTAAGACTGTCGGTGGTCTAAGCACTTATGACCACCTGTATGGCAGCATTTTTGCATTCTGTGAAACAAATCTCTGAAAACAGACTGGACTTGAAACCTACAAATTGCTTCTTTTGTTTCTTTGTGTTTGTGTCAGGCCCTGACAGTAAGCCAGATCAAGAAGGTGCGGTTGTTGGTGGACGAGGCTGTGGAGAAAACTGACAGCGAGAGGATAAAGCTGGAGGCAGAGCGCTTCGAGTACCTGAGGGAGATCGGCAACCTTCTGCACCCATCTGTACCCATCAGCAATGATGAGGCGAGTAGTTTGATGCAGGCCGATCTGGTTAAAGTGGGAGATGAATAGTTGTTGGTACAAGAAACAAAAACTCAAAATATTGCATTTACAAGGAGTACTCCGACCGTTTTGGGAGTATTAAAGAGACTTAAACATCTCGGCATGCTTTGTCTGCAGTTTTTATTGACGCTGCCTCATACTGTATAAAGATTAGGCTTCACTGAAGTATCTTGGTACTAGTTTATGTTTATAGTGTGCATTTATGAGGTTGTTGATGGGCTGCAACTAATTATTTTATTTTTATCTCTATATACATTATAAAAACAAAAAGGTTAGTCTATAAAATGTCTAAAATTGTTGTAAAAAAAATGCACATCACAATTTCCCAGAGATTTCAATGTTTTTTGTCTTCATGCTGCTGATGATATTTTTATTAATGGAAGAGTTAGACATTTTGGGACATATTTATACATTTTATAGTATCGAATGTACCAAAGTTATAAAATCTCCCCGTGGTCTATTGACAATTGCACACGGTATGTGGTATTGCGGCTAAGGCACAGATACTCTTTATTTAACAAGCATGGACCAGGTAAATAACGGTCATAGAGAACGGTCCCGGTTGGTGGCGATGTCATTCGGTCCCACGTTGATTGCAAGCCTCCTCCACATGTGGCGAATTGTATTGTTAGGTGACTTTGTAAAACATCCTGCTGTCCCTGAATGAGAGAGAGAGAGAGAGAGAGAGAGAGAGAGAGAGAGAGAGAGAGAGAGAGAGAGAGCTGGTCCTCACATTGTAGAAGCTGGAAGCCAATAGTGTTTGGCGTTTTTGCTTGATAAATGAAAAATGTAATTATCAAAATTGTTGCAGGATAATTTTCAGTCTGTTGACTACTCTGCTTAATCTGGTATTCCTCTGGTTTCCTCCTGACAGGACGCAGACAACAAGGTGGAGCGCACCTGGGGTGACTGCACCGTCCAGAAGAAGTACTCCCATGTTGACCTGGTGGTCATGATCGATGGCTTTGATGGAGAGAGGGGAGCTGTCGTGGCTGGGAGCAGAGGTTACTTTTTGAAGGTGAGTTTAAATATAAGCAGGGCATTAACTAGTATTTCACTGCAGACACAATCACACCAACATTCTTTCTCCTTTTTTTTTTTCCTCGCCAAAGAAAAAGCGCGAACAACGCTTTGCTTTGTTGCGTGTAAATCGAGAAACCAGCTGTTTCTTTATTTTCCTCTCCTTTGTTTTGTTCAGGGGCCGCTGGTGTTCCTGGAGCAGGCTCTCATCAATTTCGCCCTAAGGCTCCTCTACAGCAAGAAATACACCATGCTCTACACACCCTTCTTCATGAGGAAAGAGGTCATGCAAGAAGTTGCCCAGCTCAGCCAGTTTGACGAAGAACTTTACAAGGTAAAGCTTAACTTGTATTAAACTTCATAGGGTGGTGCCATTGTTCGTCCGTCCGTCCAGACAGAGAATATTCTGCCAGCATAGTCCTTCATATTGCTACAATTAGCAGTATAAGAACAAGAGAAAATAATATTATGGAAATTAAACACCAACCAAATTAAAACCACTGTTTTGGAATGAGATGTTGAGGTGTCCACATACTTTTGGCCATATAGTGCCACCTTGAGGCCCAACAAAGAGCTGCACATTGAAGATAGTACTAGCAGTAGCGCACCTTTTGTCACATCTGCAGTTAGTAAACGTGTGCCAATATACTGAATTTACTATATACCACGATGAAACACAGCAATGGTAGCAATACCACCAGCAGTTTTTGTTTTCTTACAATCATTGACTGTTGTTTCCCAGGGCGCCATGAACACAGCACAGCACTCCTTTCCTCATTAGCTGTTTTATTTTAATTAGCCACACAGGAGCACCTTTCCACTGGTCAACAGAGGCAGAGCAGACACAGCAGAGCCAAAGAACCAGCTCCTGGTTTTTCAGGTCTACCTACTGACAGATGCATGCATTTTATTTATTATTATTATTTACTTTATGTGACTGATGGAGGAAACTCACTGCGTCAGGATTGATCAGCTTCAGCTCAGGTCATGGTTTGGTTGCTAGAAGGGAGCCAGTGTGCAGAGGGATGGGCAGTGCCAGTGGCCTCTTATAGCCCAGTGTAACTATGCCATTGCCACGGTTTATCTTGAGCCAGGCCACACAGCAATGAACACAATCATACTGGTTTAATAAGTTCAGGGATTGCAGTCGGTATCAGGAAGGAAAAAATGATATTGTAACATCTTTAGGTTTGATCAAATCCAAGTCAGATGTGGTGTGAGGTTAATTTCACTGTATTTTGTCTCTTATTGTAGTTAGGAAAGTTTGATTAATATCATGATAATGGGATGTTTTTAACCACAATAAGCATTGTAGCAGCTGCTGCAGCCCACCACAAGCAGTCATTGTCTGCTAAACGTATGAGCACAACATGTTTGTGACTCGTGTGGCTCCACTTGCTGAACTCGACCGATTTACGCTTGAAAATCTTACTTCATGTGGTAATTGTTGGCTTAATATATAATGTATAACAATTACGCTTACAATTAATATAAACATTTGTTTTTGCCACTATTGTGATTTAAAAGGAAAAAAAGAAGCACAGGACATGATTTAAAACGGATAATCACTGAACCGTAGAAAATTAATGAAACTATGGGACTTCGCCTGGATTTTAAAGACTGAGTTCATGTGGATCTCTGCCCGTTGTTTCCTCCTTCTCAACGTCCGTGTGTGTGTGTTTCCATCAGGTCATCGGCAAGAGCAGCGAGAAGTCAGACGACAGCTCCATCGATGAGAAGTACCTCATCGCCACCTCCGAGCAGCCCATCGCGGCCTTCCTGCGGGACGAGTGGCTCAAACCCGAGGACCTGCCCGTCCGCTACGCCGGCTTCTCCACCTGCTTCAGACAGGAAGTGGGCTCCCATGGCCGAGACACCCGCGGCATCTTCAGGGTGCACCAGTTTGAGAAGGTCAGTTTACTTTGTGAGTGAAAACATTCAAATAAATGAATGGCCACATTTATCCAGTCATTAGATTTGTGCCAGGCACATACTAAATTAGTTTGCATGAGAATAATGATGAATATACAATGGGGATACGCCTGATTACCCCTTTTTTGTTTTGGCATTTTTGTAAAAATGATGTCATGACGTAATGGTTCTATCTCCTTGTAGATTGAGCAGTTTGTCTATGCCTCCCCACATGAGGGCAAATCATGGGAGATGTTTGATGAGATGATAGGGACGGCCGAAGAGTTTTACCAGTTGCTAGGAATTCCTTACCGCATCGTCAACATTGTCTCCGGTAGGTCCGACACACACACACACACACACACACACACACACACACACACACACACACACACACATGCGCACACACACATGCACACACACACACACCCACACACTTACATACCACAGCTTGCCCCACTTCTGAAGCAGCTGGAAAGCACCTAATAAACAGAGACTGATAATATGCAGGTTCCTGTGGTTCATTGTAGCGCTCCTAATGTTATTGGCAAGAATCCAGCAGGCCTGAATGACAACAACCAATAAATGATAAAGATTCCTGCACTGATTCCTTCACTTTATTTACTTGCTCTTAGGGAACTAAATTACTTGGCGGATGAGCTGAATAAATCAATTAGTCGACAAAAAACACCAACCACTAGTTTTTGGTAATATTTTAATAAATGAAGTCTCCAGTTCTAGTTACTCAAATGTGCTGCTTCTTTTTATGTGGTAATAAATGGAATCTCTTGAGGGCTTTAGGAAACTGTGATTCCTCATTTTAGAGACCAAAAGATCAAAAGTCAGTTAATGGAGAAAATAAACTGCAGATGAACTGTTCATTGCAGCCCTTATGTACTAGTACAACACACTCCCTGGTTATTTTCAACATAATATATTTGATGTTTACAAAAATCATTTTCTGTCAGGCAGTGAATGCAGACCAGCCAGGACGGTGCTAATATGAAAATCAGACCATGACATCGGCTAACTATTTACCACTCTCTGTCATTGTAGGTGCCCTAAATCATGCGGCCAGTAAGAAGCTGGATCTGGAGGCCTGGTTCCCTGGCTCTGGCGCTTTCAGAGAGCTGGTCTCCTGCTCAAACTGCACCGACTACCAGGCCCGACGCCTCCGCATCCGCTACGGGCAGACCAAAAAGATGATGGACAAGGTGAGCACTCTGTTCTGACGCAGCTGTGCATCTCGACAAACATCTGTCCCATAATGCAACCTCGGCTACTGCTGGGCAGCTAATTTAATTCCAGATTGTCAGTCACTGACCTCGGGGTGTGTCCCGAGTGGTTTAGTTTACCGTGTGACTGCTTTGGTTCAGTACACCCTGTGACCCACCAATTACTGTCAACATAGTCTATCTATGTCTAAGCATATGGTCACTTTGGAAGTTGATGCCAAAATTTAGAAAACTTGACATTTGTAGCGAAGGTACCAGGGATGCAATTCTTCCAGACTTGCTGTTGACAGACAGAGGGAGAAATCCAACAGATTTAGTGCACAGTGCAGCCGTTGTCCACTGTCTGTCTAGTACTGCACTGCAAGTTCAACAAAAGCCCCACAAACAAAAAGCGGATGAGAGTAATTTATTAATGTAATCTGTCCAAAAGCTGTACAGATGGCAGAAATCAACACACTTTTAAAAGGAGAGTGACCGTCACTGAAGACAGCGGTAAGACCAAAAGTGATGACAGAGAGTTTGTTAGGCTGTTTGTCAGGCTGTTTTACTGCCTACTTTGTTTTTTAGTAAAGTATTACAAAACATAAAGGGAACTGCTGTGATGCAGAGTTGGGAGCAAACTTGATCGGGACATCCCTATTTTTTACCGTGGTATGGAATTGGGTACTGGGAATCATGGAATGGTGTTGGTATCACTAAGTTTCTGGTATATTTGACATATTATCCTGTTAAAACAAGTGCAAGCTGCAGTTCAGGAATGATTAACAGGTCAGAGTCTGGTGATGGCGCCTGACCGACATTTGTGTTGTTAATTGTATTACAGTATGCCTGTTTTTGAGTGTATGAGCTGTTACAATAAGAACTGAACAGTGCTAATGAGCCACTGTTAAACGTTTACACTTAAAATAAATGACGGTTTTCCCTGCTGTACCAAAGACTGAGTTACATACAGAGCCGAGGATACTGTGTACGGTTCCACCCCTGACGCTATCCTATATGTGGCTCTGCATACTCTTAACACACTTCCTCTCTCTGCATGCTGTGTAGGCAGAGTTTGTTCACATGTTGAACGCAACCATGTGCGCCACCACACGCGTGATGTGTGCCATCCTGGAGAACTACCAAACTGAAGAAGGCATCGTTATTCCAGAGAAGCTCAGGGACTTCATGCCTCCTGGTAAGCTGTGCTGAATGCTGTCACATCTGGTGTGTGTTCATTCGAACACATAACTATGAGCTGCTATAAAGCATTTTGGCCAATGAAGGAATACAGGCCAAGTGAATAATTGGTTGTTTTACTTTCATCTGGTGGAATTTTAGTACTAAAATGAACATACACAGCGAGAATTGTGACTATTGATTAATACAAGGTATTAGTTTGTATAGAGTATTAGAGCTAGGGCAGGCTGATATATCAGCCAATATTAACTTATTGCAGATATATCAGTATGGATGTCTATGTTGGTCGATAAGGAATAAGAAGTTGTTAAACTAGGCTCCATTTTTATCTTGGAAACCATAAAAAAATCCCCCAAAAAACAAAGGGATCATATCTGATACCTCAGACATTCCAGTATCAGTCGGCCTATTGAGTATTAATAATATTAATTGCCTTTTGTATGGTCCCTGTCCACATTATCCAATAACACTGCCTTATGTAATACCTTGACCAAATGTAATACATTTTCACTCCATTATGTAATAACTGAAACTAATATGTGATAAATTATGCCACATTATGTAATAAATGATTGCCTATTGTGGCGATTATTACAGAATGTGGGATTTTTTTTGCATTGCGTTGAATAAGCTGAAGCTTAGTTTAGCGTGCTTTTGGGGAGTCCAAAGACCTGTTGCAGTAGTCAACCCTACAAGAAAGAAAAGCGCAAATGAGATTTTTCCAGGTCGGCATTTGACACAAAGTCCCTGAGTTTTTAAGATAATGACAAGCTGATCTAGGAGTCTAATTTAATATTTGGGAAGTTTAACTTAGCTTAATTGTTGAAAATATAATGTGTATAGATGAAGACAGGCTGTTTATTACAAAATGTTGGTGTTATTATATAGTAAAGTGAAAATATATGACATTTTCTCAAGTTATTCAATGATTATAATGCAGTGTTCCTAAGTGTCTCTGTGTTGATTTCTACTGCTAAGGCCGTACTTTGGGACATTACAAACTGTGGATGTTGACTTGTCTGTGTGAATATGTTCAGAGTTCTTGAAAAGTCCCAAACTGCAGCTACATTTAAATACAGGGGCAGCAGTACAATGCACGCCGAAGACCAGTGTATCATTTTCCAACCCACTTGTTTAACTACAGGACAAGCTCATGGGAAACACAGTCAGCCAAAACGCCCGTGGAGATTGCACAAAAGTCTAGAAGTGAAACAAAGTCACAAAGAAACGTCCACTTGCAATCAGAGATTTGAATGTGGTTCAGACTAACAGAGGTCTTAACTTAATAGTGGAAATTGATATAATCAGGCGGAGCGAGGCTACCCATTTCCAGTCTTTGTGCTAAGCTAACAGGTTGCTGGCTTTAGCTTCATAAGCATACGGACACGAGAGATGTACGGATGACCTTTTGTGTTTTGTTATTTTTCTTTATTTATTGGTTTGAAGGCTTGTGAAGTACATTGTTTCCCCCCCCTCTTTTCTGTCCTCCAGGTTTGACAGAGATCATTAAGTTCGTCAAGCCCGCTCCTATCGACCAGGAGATGTCTAAGAAAGCAAAGAAACAGCAGGGAGCAGGGGGGAAGAAGAAGAAGCAGGAAGGAGGAGACCAGAACCTGCCCAACGCCATGGAGACCATGTCCGTCAACGACTCATAGACTCCAGCACACGACGGCAGCGTCTCTTCACCAACCACACAGATAGAAAGTGATGGAATAGAGCCTCATAAGTAACGATGAACTAAAATGGTTAGAAAATGAGGAAATCTCTCAAGTAGGCACTTAATGTAATCCATAGCTTTATAATGAAGGCTGGCTCCATCTCATCTGTGTCTGTCTGACTGGTTGGTGTCATTCATCTCAGCTGTTCCTCTCCTCACTCACTGAAAAGGGATATCTCTCTCTCTCTCTCTCTCTCTCTCTCTCTGCACTCATCTACAGTCCACTTCAGAGTCCACTGACCGCCTGTCTGTCCTTTTCTCACATCTACAGCAACACTGATCCTAAAACAAACAGATAACCTCAGATATTCAGCAGCAGCATGTCTGGTTTCTGTGACTGGTGTGTAGTGCAGATAAAGCACTGCTTATACACAGGTACATGTTTGTTTCCAGCTTTTCGGCATCTGTAATCAGTGAAAGGTGTGGTTTTTGTAAAACTGATCAATAACTGTCTGAAATCTCTGTTCATCGGCTCTTTGTTGAGACCAAAACCTGCATCTCTGCTCTAAAATGTGGTTGATTACTTTGCGTCTGAAACGGCTTTAAAGCTGATCGAACTACTGTGATTGAGGATCTTGTGAAGGTGATCAGGTATTTGTCTGTTTTAGGCTTCCCTTCTTGTCGTCTCTGAACACAATCATCATCTTCGACCATTGTTGCTTGACGTCATTGTTGACCATAATGCCGTTCACTAGCTTATGATCGAGACATCGACATTGTCCGTATGAGCTTGCTAATATAAAGATATATATATGATCGAGCTTTGATGAAGTGGCACAAATAATAAACAAATATTAAATACAGTTGATATGGAACTTGTTTTTTGTGTTTTCATTCTGAGTCTACGGCACTGGTTCCCAACCTTTTTCCTTAAGGCTAAACTGATGACCCCTGACTAAGTGACATACTTTAGATATTTCATGTTATATTACATATTACAGTGCATAACAAAACAAAAGAATTTTGAGCAGATCAGAAATTAGTTTTTGTATTTTTAGCATCTTTTCTGTTATTTTGATTTTTTTGTGTTTAAAGTTTAGATCTCAAATAATAATCTAAAGTTTAAAAATAATTTCATCTTTTTTACACAGAAATGAAGAAAATGCTGAGATAGAGGCCTACTGTGTATATTTTTAAGTTTTATTACACCCCTCAAAATCAAGACCCCCGTGAAGCTTTGGCAGTCAAGGTGTCAGTGGGAGCTCACCAAAAATACAGTTCTCTTTAATATCTTTATATTACCCTGAATTTATTTCTCAGTGCATCTAGCAAGGAATTCCATCTTAAAGTCCCCCCCCCCGCTCAAATGTTTCTCTTCCGGTTCCTACAGCGTGCTGTCTTAATGCTGTCTGTGCAGAGTTTGACACTAGAAGGATGTTTTCACATTAATCTGCTGAAAGTGGAAAGTTTCTCTGTGCTCATTGAACATCTGATTTTAAGAGGCGGGGCCTACCAGCAGGATTTGTGACATCACAAATAGAGAAGATGCCTTTTTAAGGATTTTAATGTGTTTTTATGTTTAATTTTTGGGTGGAAAAAAACACATCAGACACATTATTCTACGCAGATTATATGTATATGTCTTAATACATGTCTGGAGGGGATCTTTACCTAGCTGTAGTCTAAAGTCTAAAAATCAACTACTTTAAGACTCTTGAACCTTGCTGTGCCTTTTAGGAAACTTTTTATTTTTTTAAATGTCCACACCCTTGTGCTGAAATTGCCTTTGATGGATCACCAGATGTGTTGATGAAATTTCCTGTTGCCCTGGATATCTGATAAAGAGCAATAAGGAAGACACGACAGTTACTTATTAACTCCAATAGACTTTACACCCATCCACCTGTAATTCAATAAGAAGCCGATTCACACTGGCTGAAGCATATTTACAAAAAAGGTAAGATGGATTTACAGTATTTCTTTAATGATTGCAGTAATTTGAACACATGTATCCTTAATGTCTCATCTTTACGTCAGGGTTTAGTTTGGGAGCAGACGTGTTAAAATGAGCGACACTTCAGAAGATGATAACGAGATCTCCTTTCAAGTAAAGGTAAATACTGATGTTAAAATCTCATTCTGAATGTGGAAAACAAAGAACATGGTGATATACCTGTGATTAATAACGGCAGCTGAACAGCAGACTGTGCTTAGGCTCAGTTGGTCATGTTGTGAACTTCACTTGTATGTATGTAAATAAAATACTGTATGTACAGCATGTATCATTCTATTAATGTGACATTAATCTGTCATGTCAGTGCTGATATTCAGCCTTATTTAAAGCACCATCTCCATTTCGCTTAATATCTTTTTCTTTCTCTAACCTGTAGTTTCTTGGACGAGTTGAGGTGGTCCGCCCTGATGGACTACAGATCCTGGATGAAGCAGTTGAGAGCCTAAAGGTCAGTAATTACTCTCACATCCTGTTTAGTTGCTGTTTTTTTTTCCCCTTACAAGGAAACAGTTTGCATGCAACTCTTTCCAACATGGCAGCCAAAGCCAGTGTGCTTTTTTTTAAGGCGCAAGACATAGACATAGTGCAATGCACTTTTCTCATTAAGTAAATTCAATTATTTTTAAAGTTTTTATTATTATTCAAGGTCTTAAATTTGAAGGCCTGAAAACAAGCTATCTTCACTCTCTGATAAACAGCTTTGTCCTGCATTAGAAAACAACCAAACAGCTAAAAGAAGCCTATTAAGTATATGCTTGTTGGAAATTCAAAATATTACACATTGCAGACAGAATTGTAGAATACGTTTTTAAAAATACCAGGAAAACTCATCTCTGATCAGTATTCACAGGAAAATAACAATCTTCTCCAAATCACACAACCGTCCTGCAGATACTGTGTTCACTGGCTGGGGAATAATATGAAATATAAAATATATGTAATAAATATTAGAAAAGGAAAAGGCTTGGGAACCAGTGTGTTAAACTGTCAAAATGTGGTCCAAGAATGGTTGACATGGATGCTGGGACTCTTCTGCAAGTCATTCTAATGACAAACACAGTCTGTGTCCACTGTAGGAGCTCTCTGTGAACTTTAAAGATGCAGTAACAAACATGACAAATAAAAATGCAATCAATCCCCTCTTATCCCCAGACACCAGATAAACACTCCTCAGAAAAGGCAGCGAAGAAGAGCAAAGTCTATCTCTTCCTGTCACTGAGTGGGATAGACATTTTGGAAAACAAAACCAAGGTGCGTGACAAAAGTGTACCAGTTACCATCCCACTCCAGGAATGTGCACAGTTTAATTACATGCCTTGCTTTCTCTGGCCTTGAATGATCACTCTTATTCATCTTCCCTGCCCTCAGTTTCTGTTGTACACGTGCCCTCTCTCCACTATCTCCTTCTGTGCCATCTTGCCATCTTCACCCAAAGTCTTTGGCTTTGTTGCTCGACACCCTGCAGCCGACATGTACCACTGCTACCTCTTCCAGAGCAAGACGTTTGTGAGTATTCCCAGTCCAGCATAGCAGGAGATCACCAATATATGAAAAAAAATGTAGCTTACGAACCAGAGAGGAACACTGTCCCCTAGCCAAATTAGATATTCTAGCTCTCAAAGTGTAAATTTGTCAAACACTTTTCAGTCTCACGTGCTGGTCTCAGTCATCGGGGATGCTTTCAGAGCTTCAAAGAAGGAGGAGAGTGTGAGGGGAGGACGAGACCTGATAGTGGAGGCACTCCGACACAAGGTTAGTTCTGCTTTCACATCAGTATCAGGACTTGGGCCCGCTGTTTCATTTTATTCTGTCATGGTGAGGAATTTATTTGAATTTGCTGCAAATAGGCTCTCAGTTTACCTTCAGGCAGAATTGAAATGGAATTAAACCCAGGAAATTAAAATGTTTTTTTCCCCCCCTGACTTTCTCCTTTGTCAGAATAAGATGCTGCAGAGAGAGAATGCTGAGCTGAGGAAGAGGCTTCAGGACAGACTTACTGACTGAGGATACTTGTTCATGCTGTTGTACACAAATACACAATACAATACCTTTTCTTTGTTTTCAGGTTTTCATACAAGCGTTTGGCCTCAGGAAACTCTTTTTATAGCCCAGTAATGATCAACTTCCTGATGCGTCATTAGTCCTGTTCTTCAATAGAAAGTAATATCAGAGAAGAGGCTCTGGTTGCAGCAGACCAGTAGAGGGCAGCAGTCAACTAAACTAAGCGGGTGCGTTCAATTGCTGCCTGCACAGTGTCGGAAATATTGAATGTATGAATGTAAGACGTGTAAAATACCACATAGAAAGACGAAATTTGTTATGTTGCAAATTGCTGTGCAACTTGTCTAACTTTTAAGAACTGGCACATAAGAACAGATAATGTATTAATGTATTAATGTATTCAGCGACTAATATGAGAAACATTGCAACTGGACAACAACTATATAAATAAATATCTCTTCAGTGCCTGACTTACTGTGTTTTGTTGCTTGACTTGTAAAATACGACACACCGCACCTGAAGCTACATCAACCACTGGGATGCGCCGATGAGTTGTATTGAATTATTGGATATTTGATTAGTGAAGGTACGCAGGGAGCCTGAAGGCAACACAACATGGAAAACTTTGGTGTGACAGAATGCGGAGAGTGTTCGCGGGTGTAAATACGACTCTGTGTGGGATGGCAAGGTTCACTTGTTTAGTCTGAAAGGTGAGTGAAGTAGGTTTAAATAAGCTAACCATCGTTACGGACGGTTACAGTCACTGGTAGCTAACCGCTAACTGGTTGAACAGCTACGTTAGCAAACCATTAGCTAGCTTGGGACGCTGCTCCGAGCGGCGTTCAATTCCGCTTCATTAGCGGTACATTTCGGCTCTGTCAGCTGTTTTAATAGCGATGGTCACAGTTTATCACACAGCTGACATTTTACAGTCAATACTCCTGAGTCAGTCTGCTCACATATCTCTTGTCCGAATGGCTCCTTCTCATCCACCTGCAGGCGGTTAGTGGGAAACCCCGTCCTCAGGCGAGTTGAGCCGCCATGGGGATGCGGTTGTCTCGGAGCAGCAGCAGCCTGTCACTCCTCCCGGAGAGGCAGAGCTCTGAGCGGCGGGGAGAGGACAGAGACTCCGATAATGAGTCTCTGGATGGGCTCGGCAGACGGGAGGACATAGCCCAGTTCCCATACGTGGAGTTCACCGGCAGGGATAGCATAACGTGTCCGACATGCCAAGGGACCGGACGGATACCTTCCGGTGAGTGTGAATACTGTTAGCGCACTGAGGAGACTCTAGCCTGGAAGAAGTTTGTTATATTATCTCAGAGCTAAGCTTAGAAACAGCTAGAGCACTTTTAAATGTACAATTCCAAGTCTTAGAATTCAGTCCCACAATTTTCTAAAACATTTAGTTATTGCGGTATGTGAGAAGACACCGTGCAGTCTGATCGACAGCACACAGGGCTACAGTGGATAGCACACAGGGCTACAGTGGATAGCACACAGGGCTACAGTGGATAGCACACAGGGCTACAGTGGATAGCACACAGGGCTACAGTAGATAGCACACAGGGCTACAGTAGATAGCACACAGGGCTACAGTAGGACGTTTCTGTTCTGTTTTCATGTTAGCAGCACTGGCCTTTCACACTGCTATTAAAGAGCCTTACTCAGTAATAAGTAAATATAAAAGTAAATAGCATAGCATTGTATGTGTTGTATTTTAATTTAAGAGAGCAGGAGTGTCACAATGCAGTTTTATAGGGTTGCACAATTAATTGAAATATTATGAAAATAGCAGCATGGCCAAGTGCAGAAGCACTCCAAATCCCAGAAGAACTATGCAAATTGCAAGAGCTGCAG